GCGATTACTCACCTCGTATTGGACGAAGATTTTTTCTTCAACAAGTCGGACGCAAAGGATATCCTACAGACACACGACAAGGCCCAAATCCCCGACATTCGCAGGAGAAAGAGACTGAGATATCGTGGACGGCAAGCAAGTAAACTGCCTCTTCCATCAAACCTATTAGCCAATGTTCAATCATTTGAAAATAAATTAGATGACCTAATATTACGGTTATCCTACCAACGGGACATTAAAAACTGTAATATCTTATGTTTCACCGAGTCGTGGCTGAACGACGACATGGACAACATACAGCTGACGGGATATACACTACATCAGCAGGATAGAACGGCTGACTCCGGTAAGACAAAGGGTGGCGGTCTGTGTATATTTGTAAAAAACAGCTGGTGCACAAAATCAAATACTAAGGAAGTCACAAGGTTTTGCTCGCCTGAGGTAGAGTATCTTATGATAAGCTGTAGACCACACTATTTACCAAGAGAGTTTTCATCTATATTTTTCATAGCTGTCTATTTACCACCACAAACCAATGCTGGCATTAAGATTGCACTCAATGAGCTGTATAAGGCCATAACTAAACAGGAAAACACTCATCAAGAGGCAGCGCTCCTAGTGGCCGGGGACTTTAATGCAGGGAAACTTTGTTCTACCTAATTTCTACCAGCATGTTAAATGTGCAACCAGAGGAAAAAAAACTCTAGACCACCTTTACCCCAAACACAGAGACGCATACAAAGCTCTCCCTCGCCCTCCATTTGGCAAAATCTGACCATAACTCTATCCTCCTGATTCCTGCTTATAAGCAAAAACGAATGCTTCACCAGTGACTCGGTTAATAAAAAAGTGGTCAGATGACGCAGATGCTAAGCTACAGGACTGTTTTGCTAGCACAGACTGGAACATGTTTCGGGATTCTTTGGAGAGCATTGAGGAGTACACCACATCAGTCACTGGCTTCATCAATAACTGCATTGATGACGTCGTCCCCACAGTGACCGTACGTACATACCCCAACCAGAAGCCATGGATTACAGGCAACATCCGCACTGAGCTAAAGGGTAGAGCTGCCGCTTTCAAGGAGCGGGACTCTAACCCGGACGCTTATAAGAAATCCCGCTATGCCCTCCGACGAACCATCAAACAGGCAAAGAGTCAATACAGGACTAAGATTGAATCGTACTACACCGGCTCTGACGCTCGTCGGATGTGGTAGGGCTTGAAAACTATTACAGACTACAAAGGGAAGCACAGCCGCGAGCTGCCCAGTGACACAAGCCTACCAGACGAGCTAAACCACTTCTATGCTCGCTTTGAGGCAAGCAACACTGAAGCATGCATGAGAGCACCAGCTGTTCCGGATGACTGTGTGATCACGCTCTCCGTAGCCAATGTGAGTAAGACTTTTAAGCAGGTCAACATTCACAAGGCCGCAGGGCCAGACGGATTACCAGGACGTGTACTCCGAGCTGTGCTGACCAAGTGGCAAGTGACTTCACTGACATTTTCAACATGTCCCTGACTGAGTCTGTAATACCAACATGTTTCAAGCAGACCACCATAGTCCCCGTGACCAAGGACACTAAGATAACCTCCATAAATGACTACCGACCCGTAGCACTGACGTCTGTAGCCATGAAATGCTTTGAAAGGCTGGTCATGGCTCACATCAACACCTTTATCCCAGAACACTAGACCCACTCTAATTTGCATACCACCCCAACAGATCCACAGATGATGCAATCTCAATCGCACTCCACACTGCCCTTTCCCACCTGGACAAGAGGAACACCTACGTGAGAATGCTATTCATTGACTACAGCTCAGCATTCAACACCATAGTGCCCTCAAAGCTCATCACTAAGCTAAGGATCCTGGGACTAAACACCTCCCTCTGCAACTGGATCCTGGACTTCCTGACAGGCCGCCCCCAGGTGGCCACGCTGATCCTTAACACGGGGGCCCCTCAGCGGTGCGTGCTCAGTCCCCTCCTGTACTCCCTGTTCACCCATGACTGCATGGCCAGGCACGACTCCGACACCATCATTAAGTTTGTCGACGACACAACAGTGGTAGGCCTGATCACCGACAACGATGAGACAGCCTATAGGGAGGAGTTCAGAGACCTGGCCGTGTGGTGCCAGGATAACAACCACTCCCTCAACGTGACCAAGACAAAGGAGATGATTGTGGACTACAGGAATAAAAAGAGGACTGAGCACGCCCCCATTCTCATCAACGAGGCTGTTGTGGATGAGGTAGAGAGCGTCAAGTTCCTTGGTGTCCACATCACCAACAAACTATCATGGTCCAAACACACCAAGACAGTCGTGAAGAGGGCACGACAAAGCCTATTCCCCCTCAGGAGACTGAAAAGATTTGTCATGGGTCCTCAGATCAAATCAAATCAAATCAAATGTTATTGGTCACATGCGCCGAATACAACAGGTGCAGACATTACAGTGAAATGCTTACTTACAGCCCTTAACCAACAGTGCATTTATTTTAAACAAAAAAAGTAAGAATAAAACAACAACAAAAAAAGTGTTGAGAAAAAAAGAGCAGAAGTAAAATAAAGTGACAGTAGGGAGGCTATATATACAGGGGGGTACCGTTGCAGAGTCAATGTGCGGGGGCACCGGCTAGTTGAGGTAGTTGAGGTAATATGTACATGTGGGTAGAGTTAAAGTGACTATGCATAAATACTTAACAGAGTAGCAGCAGCGTAAAAAGGATGGGGTGGGGGGGCAGTGCAAATAGTCCGGGTAGCCATGATTAGCTGTTCAGGAGTCTTATGGCTTGGGGTAGAAGCTGTTGAGAAGTCTTTTGGACCTAGACTTGGCACTCCTGGTACCGCTTTGCCGTGCGGTAGCACCAGAGAAACAGTCTATGACTTTTTCGGGTGTCTGGAGTCCCCCTTTGACCATATTTTTCGAGTGGCCTTCCTCTGACACCGCCTGGTTATAGAGGTCCTGGATGGCAGGAAGCTTTGCCCCAGTGATGTACTGGGCCGTACGCACTACCCTCTGTAGTGCCTTGCGGTCGGAGGCCAAGCAGTTGCCATACCAGGCGGTGATGCAAACAGGAGGGTGCAGCTGTAGAATTTTTGAGGATCTAGGACCTGCAAATATTTTATCTGAGGGGATGCTTCATAGATAAGTCGCGATCGAGGTTCATGAATGGTTGTCACGCCTGGTAGGCACTGTCTGAGGACACAAGGGTGGTGCGGCAAGAATTGCCAAGTTTGCTAGTCCTCATACAGGGGGTCAGAGGAAGCCTCAATGGTCAAGACTCCGCACCTATCATAATGTTCTTACCGCAGGCCATGGTACCGATCGCAGGCTAGTCCAAGATGGTTTGCTTTACCCCATCAACAGCATGGTATGGAAACTTCTGCTCGTTGCAACCGGACCATGTTGTTAAGGGCTGTAAGTAAGCATTTCACTGTAATGTCTACACCTGTTGTATTCGGCGTATGTGGCAAATACAATTTTATTTTATTTTATTTGATCTTCTGAAGCAGAGGTAACTCTGGGTCTTCCATTCCTGTGGCGGTCCTCATGAGATCCAGTTTCATCAAAGTGCTTGATGGTTTTTGCGATTGCACTTGAAGAAACTTTTAAAATTCTTAAATTAATGATGGACTGTTGTTTCTCTTTGCTTATTTGAGCTGTTCTTGCCATAATATGAACTTGGTCTTTACCAAATAGGGCTATCTCCCCCCTACCTTGTCACAACACAACTGATTGGCTCAAACACATTAAGAAGGAAATAAATTAAGAAGGCACATCTGTTAATTGAAATGCATTCCAGGTGACAACCTCATGAAGCTGGTTGAGAGAATGCCAAGAGTGTGCAAAGCTGTCATTAAGGCAAAGGGTGGCTATTTGAAAAATCTCAAATCTAAAATATTTTTTGATTTGTTTAACACTTTTTTGGTTGCTACATGATTCCATATATGTTATTTCATAGTTTTGATGTCTTCTCTATTATTCTACAATGTAAAACATTGTAAAAAATTAAGAAAACCCTTGAATGAGTAGGTGTGTCCAAACTTTTGACTGGTAGTGTAGTTTTCATTGGAGGAGGGCAGGAAGGGAGGTCTCAATTCAAGATGAGTCTAACATGAACATCAACTCTCCATGTCAACTTCCTAGACCTAAACCATGGTGATGAGGCAAAGGAACTATTAGACAGAACATGTGTGCAGCAAAACTGTATTATCATGAGACTGCACAATATACAATTATTTTAGGGGATGAAAAAATGGTTATGTGCCATATTGAACTCCTTGATTTGCCCAGTCAGAATGAGATTTTGCTTTTAATGACAGAGTCCTATCCAAGCATTTAATAAAGGATATTGGCTTGTTATTCAGTCATTCAGCCATTATCTATAGAATAACATGACCTGAAATACTGAACTTGCTGCCCAGTACTAGAGGTTATAGCATCCCTTCATGTAACAACTTTTGTTGGAGTAGATGAATGCACACCTTAAATACTCCAAGAGATGATTTTGTTTATAAACTGTACAAACAAGAACACAATTGTTTCAGACCTTATGATGAGTGAAAAATACTTTAACACATTTTATCACCCCAAAGTCTAAGTTTGTGAGATTTATTTTCAGATATTAAAATTGACCTGGATGGGAATGGGAAATACGGCACCATCTAATGCACTTTTATTACACTTTGAATAAACTTTAATGCTTGAGTGGTCTTTTATTAATTGGTGATCATGTTATATGTATTTCACTTGTGTTTTAAAAAGTCATTTTTATGAAATGTTGTTCTTTTTTGTAGCCAATGGCAAAGAATTCGCCTATTCCTCTCTGGAAAGATATATGAACTTTTATCTTGAAGTACCTACAGAAACTCTTTTGCCGGAAGTACAGTTTTTTCGATCAGTGCACTTCACTCCATGGCGTTGTTTAGAAGAATCCCTTTTGATCCACTTTACTCTGTGGCGTTGTTTAGAATAATCCCTTTTGATGCTACTGCTTTTTAGTCCTCGCACGGAGAGCTGAATATCTGGGTAAGTATTTGCACAAATATTATTTACTGTTCAAAGCAAATATTTCTCGATATATAGCTAGCTAGCTACACAATCGTTCGAACCGGCTCAAAGCAAGCCGTTGTTTACACCCCACGTATCTAACGTTAGGTGTTAGCTAGTTTCCCAGCCATCCAACTCTCTGGTTCCCTTTGTAGCTTGGTTGCTACAGTAGTTACCCAGCCACAAGCTCATTAGCTCGGCTAACGTTGTTGTCGTTTTATAGCTTGTTGGCTAACGTTAGCAGTCTTCCTACAGGTAACAGTAACATAAGCAGACAGGCATTGCTGGACAAAGCCCTCAGATCGAGTCTTGAATAAACATCACATTGAGGGGAAGTGGTTCAGGGGAAAGTCTATTCTAGTTAGCTCATCTACGTAAGTAAAACATGAAATTCAAGTTCCTCTTTAAGTCATAGCTAGGTCAACAGTGCATTTATTGCACCAACATTTCCTTTTTTGCATAATTTGTTGACACCATCTGAATAATGTAACATGAATGAACAATGATTGCAGAATGATTGCTTTTTCATCTAAAGGTTCTAAATTACACACTGATGGAAGAAATGCAAATGGATTCCACTCACAATGTAACACCTGCAAGATAACGGTCACATTGCAATCATCAAATAAGACGCACCAGAGGTGTTCCTGACTTTATCTGAATAATGTGACATGAATGAACAAAGTAGCTTTTTATAGCTGCACTCGAACAAACGTCCACCTTGTTGTTAATTTAACTTGTTAATTAGAGAGGACTTTTTAACATTCCTAGAATATGCATTGGACCTAATTCTGTCCAGCTTGAGGTAGATTTACCTGACGTGAAAGGGAATGCAGAGTGCAGACTCGTCGCCCATAGACTGCATGCGAGCGTGATGCCTAGGCGAAGCTTGCCGCTGCAGGGACGGATGCGCTGGCTGTTCCTGGGGCTCTTCCTGCTGCTGGTCATCCTCCTCTTTGCTTACTTGCTAGAGTGCACTCCCCCAGCTGACGTCAGCCTGGTCCTGCCTGGCTTGGGAGGGGAGTCCTATGGGAAGGAGTACTACCAGGCCCTGCTGCAAGAGCAGGAGGAGCACCAGCTCAGCCGCGCCTCCAGCCTCAAGCGGCAGATCGCCCAGCTCAAGCATGAGCTCCAGGAGATGAGCGAGAAGCTCAAGGTCCTGGAGGACAGAAAGGAAGGCCCCGGGGTCCAGGGGCTGGCTGAGACCAAGGACCAGGTGCCTGGGGATCTCCTCGAGTTCCTCCACTCCCAGATCGACAAAGCCGAGGTGAACACGGGGGCGCGGCTGCCCAGCGAGTATGCCCTGGTCCCCTTCGAGAGCTTCACCTCTAGTAAGGTGTATCAGCTGGAGATGGGGCTGACCAGGCACCCAGAGGAGAAGCCTGTGCGGAAGGACCGCAGGGACGAGCTGGTGGAGGTCATCGAGGCGGCCCTGGACGTCATAAACAACCCTGACGAGGAGGATGGCCAGGAGGATGATGTGCCCATGCAGAGGCAGACTTACACTGAGAGCCACTTTACTGAGGGTAAGAGAGTTATACTGGGGTAATGTATAACAGTGGTTCTCAACCTGATCCTGATGATAAGTTGACCAATTTTAATGTGCTAGTGCTGCCAAATATCTGGTGGGGCTGAGGGCCAGCATGGGAACTCCTAATGCAGATCACTATCTGCTTGTTTCATGGCTGCAAAAAATGATGTAATCTTGCCTTTAAAGTTGAACAATATTTGTTCCCTATGTTTGACAAAGCTGTGTTTACCCTTATGTGGGCAGGGCTATACAGAACAGAACGGGACAAAGGCACACTCTACGAGCTCTTCTTTGCAAAAGAGGACTCCGACAATGTCCGCCACGTTACTCTTTTCCGTCCATTCGGTCCTTTAATGAAAGTCAGGAGCACGTCTGTAGAAACGTCCGGAGTCATCATCAATATCATTGTGCCTTTGGCGGGCAGAACAGATGCATTCTCACAGTTCCTACACAACTTCAGGTCAGTGGTGGTGAGTCATGTGAAAATGGCAATATGCAGCCTATGCCTAGTATTTGTAAAGATTGTGTTAAGTTTTTTTGTGATTTCAGGGACGTTTGCATAAAACACGATAGGGGAGTGCATCTTACGGTGGTCTACTTTGGACAAGAGGGCTTACGAGAGGTGAAGTCTTATTTGGAAAAAATGTCCAGGTTTGTTTTGTCTTTTAATATGAATGAAAGGATTTATGATGTGCTTTTGATAGGATTTTACTGCTGTATATCTGTCACTTGTCCATATGTTATTTTCTAGTCTAGACATTTCGTGCTCAAACAACAGACAACTGAAATTACATTGTTAATTTGTAGGGAGGAGAGCTTTTCCAACTACACCCTTATCCCAGTGGACGAGGAGTTTTCCAGGGGCAGGGGTCTGGACATCGGAGCCCGCTCCTGGAAGAAGGGTGACGTATTGATGTTCTTCTGTGATGTGGATATCTACTTCACACTGGACTATCTCAACAACTGCCTTCTTCACACCACTCCAAGTAGGTGCCTTCTATCAAAACATTGTAACCTACACATTCCTGTTTCCTAGGGATGTAACGATTCACCGATACGCATCGGTCCCCGATTCAAATGTTTGAGATATGACTGCAGCCGCGGACCCGAAACTGATCCAAATTTGGCAAGCATCGGTCAGAAAATCGATTCAAACGTTACGAATCAGTGATTTTATTTTATGTTGCTCATATTACTTTCTACCTGCTGAAAATACCTCATATTTTGTGACAACTGTGCATCCTGTCCTTCAGTGTCGAACTAAGCATGCACTTGTGTTGACAGTCAAGTCATTTTGCATGCCGAACAACCTCAGTATCAGTAGCCTGGTCAAACTGCGCACAGTGCCCAGCTTCGTGTGCTGACCAACGTGAGGTAGGTGGCCTGTTCCTGATCTTGCACATCTGCGAGGCACCTTCAGCGTTCAAATGCTAAGATGGCTTACACGACATCAGGCTTTAATAGTTGAGTGACAACCTATGTAATTTGCTTGGTTATTGTTATCTATGCGCTGTTGAAAATGGTGTTTTACCGGAATAAAAGTAAACTACCGGAGACACAACTCTCATCTGGTTATAGGCTACCTGCTGAATGGGGCTTAACAATATATTTTATTTAGATTGTTCAGGTTCACCATCAGCATTTTTAGATAGGTTAAAGTAGATCATTTTATAACGAGGACAGCAATCACTTTGCGAGGCGCACTACATGGCCAAATTGGGAAGAGAAAAGAAGCTCACTAAAAACTTCCAAACGATCAAAACCATTCGGTTTTGAGATGGGGGTGAAATCCAAAGTTTTGCTATATATTCATTGGCTATGTCATAGCTAATTTGTAAATGATAAATATTGATACATTACTAGCGCAAACACTTAATCTTCAAAAATGACAAGTTAATTAGTGAGTGATGGTGATTTCAGAACCAAAGTGGGGGACAAAAAACATATGCTACATTGCCCCCCCCAATCTGATTGTGGTAGTGCGGTGGTAGATGCCTACAGTGGCTTACGAAAGTATTTACCCCCCTTCGCATTTTTCCTATTTTGTTGCCTTACAACCTGGAATTAAAATGGATTTTTGGTGGGTTTGTATGTCTCAATAAGCTTGGCACATCTAGCCACTGGGATTTTTGCCCATTCTTCAAGGCAAAACTGCTCCAGCTCCTTCAAGTTGGATGGGTTCCGTTGGTGTACAGAAATCTTTAAGTCAATTGGATTGAGGTCTGGGCTTTGACTAGGCCATTTAAATGTTTCCCCTTAAACCACTCGAGTGTTGCTTTAGCAGTATGCTTAGGGTCATTGTCCTGCTGGAAGGTGAACCTCCGTCCCAGTCTCAAATCTCTGGAAGACTGAAACAGGTTTCCCTCACGAATTTCCCTGTATTTAGCGCCATCCATCATTCCTTCAATTCTGACCAGTTTCCCAGTCCCTGCCGATGGAAAAACATCCCCACAGCATGATGCTGCCATCACCATGCTTCACTGTGGGGATGGTGTTCTCGGGGAGGTGAAAGGTGTTGGGTTTGCGCCAGACATAGCATTTTCCTTGATGGCCAAAAAGCTCAATTTGAGTCTCATCTGACCAGAGTACCTTCTTCCATATGTTTGGGGAGTCTCCCATATGCCTTTTGGCAAACACCAAACGTGTTTGCTTATTTTTTTCTTTAAGCAATGGCTTTTTTTCTGGCCACTCTTCCGTAAAGCTCAGCTCTGTGGAGTGTACGGCTTAAAGTGGTCCTATGGACAGATACTCCAATCTCTGCTGTGGAGCTTTGCAGCTCCTTCAGGGTTATATTTGGTATCTTTGTTGCCTCTCTGATGAATGCCCTCCTTGCCTAGTCCGTGAGTGTTGGTGGGCGGCCCTCTCTTGACAGGTTTTTTGTGGTGCCATATTATTTCAATTTTTTAATAATGGATTTAATGGTGCTCTGTGGGATGTTCAAAGTTTCAGATATTTTTTTATAACCCAACCCTGATCTGGTTTCTCCACAACTTTGTCCCTGACCTGTTTGGAGAGCTCCTTGGTCTTCATGGTGCCGCTTGCTTGGTGGTGTCCCTTGCTTAGTGGTGTTGCATACTCTGGGGCCTTTCAGAACAGGTATATGTGTGTGTGTGTATGTGTGTGTATATATATATATATATATATATATATATATATATACACACACACACACACACACACACACACACACACAGTGGGGGGAAAAAAGTATTTAGTCAGCCACCAATTGTGCAAGTTCTCCCACTTAAAAAGATGAGAGAGGCCTGTAATTTTCATCATAGGTACACGTCAACTATGACAGACAAAATGAGAAGAAAAGAAATCCAGAAAATCACATTGTAGGATTTTTTATGAATTTATTTGCAAATGATGGTGGAAAATAAGTATTTGGTCAATAACAAAAGTTTCTCAATACTTTGTTATATACCCTTTGTTGGCAATGACACAGGTCAAACGTTTTCTGTAAGTCTTCACAAGGTTTTCACACACTGTTGCTGGTATTTTGGCCCATTCCTCCATGCAGATCTCCTCTAGAGCAGTGATGTTTTGGGGCTGTCGCTGGGCAACACGGACTTTCAACTCCCTCCAAAGATTTTCTATGGGGTTGAGATCTGGAGACTGGCTAGGCCACTCCAGGACCTTGAAATGCTTCTTACGAAGCCACTCCTTCGTTGCCCGGGCGGTGTGTTTGGGATCATTGTCATGCTGAAAGACCCAGCCACGTTTCATCTTCAATGCCCTTGCTGATGGAAGGAGGTTTTCACTCAAAATCTCACGATACATGACCCCATTCATTCTTTCCTTTACACGGATCAGTCGTCCTGGTCCCTTTGCAGAAAAACAGCCCCAAAGCATGATGTTTCCACCCCCATGCTTCACAGTAGGTATGGTGTTCTTTGGATGCAACTCAGCATTCTTTGTCCTCCAAACACGACGAGTTGAGTTTTTACCAAAAAGTTCTATTTTGGTTTCATCTGACCATATGACATTCTCCCAATCCTCTTCTGGATCATCCAAATGCACTCTAGCAAACTTCAGACGGGCCTGGACATGTACTGGCTTAAGCAGGGGTACACGTCTGGCACTGCAGGATTTGAGTCCCTGGCGGCGTAGTATGTTACTGATGGTAGGCTTTGTTACTTTGGTCCCAGCTCTCTGCAGGTCATTCACTAGGTCCCCCGTGTGGTTCTGGGATTTTTGCTCACCGTTCTTGTGATCATTTTGACCCCACGGGGTGAGATCTTGCGTGGAGCCCCAGATCGAGGGAGATTATCAGTGGTCTTGTATGTCTTCCATTTTTCTCAATTTGTCTGTCATAGTTGACGTGTACCTATGATGAAAATTACAGGCCTCTCTCATCTTTTTAAGTGGGAGAACTTGCACAATTGGTGGCTGACTAAATACATTTTTTTCCCCACTGTGTGTGTGTGTGTATATATATATATATATATATATATATATATATATATATAGATCATGTGACAGATCATGTGACACTTAGATTGCACACAGGTGGACTTTATTTAACTAATTATGTGACTTCTGAAGGTAATTGGTTGCACCAGATCTTATTTAGGGGCTTCATAGCAAAGGGGGTGAATACATATGCACGCACCACTTTTCCGTTATTTATGTTTTAGAATTTTTTGAAACAAGATATTTTTTTTACTTCACCAATTTTGACTTTTGTGTATGTCCATTTACATGAAATCCAAATAAAAATCCATTTAAATTATAGGTTGTAATGCAACAAAATAGGAAAAACGCCAAGGGGGATGAATACTTCTGCAAGGCACTGTAGTCTCCCTTATGGCTCAGATCAGGTGCCTACATAGTACATATACCATAGACATACATCATTTACGCTCACAAACACACACAGAAGTCAGCTCAAACAGATCCAGCTAAGAGACCCAGCTCATGAGCTCCATCAGCAGCATATTTGAACTTAGAAAGGAAAATGAATGTGTTTATGCAACAAATGTTAGTGCATGGAATCGTATCGTTTCGTTTTCTAATCAAATCAAAATGCACTGAATCGTTTCAAATTAAAACGTATTGTTCCTGTATCGTATCGGAGCCCATGTATCTACAGTGCTTTCGGAAAGTATTCAGACCCCTTGACTTTTTCCACATTTTGTTACGTTACAGCCTTATTCTAAAATTGATTCAATTGTTTTTTTCCCTCATCAATCTACACACAATACCCAATAATGTCAAAGCAAAAACAGGTTTTTAGAAATGTTTGCAAATGTATTAAAAATTATCAAATTTACATAAGTATTCAGACCCTTAACTCAGTACTTTGTTGAAGCACCTTTGGCAGCGATTACAGCCTCGAGTCTTCTTGGGTATGATGCTACAAGCTTGGCACACATGTATTTGGGGAGTTTCTCCCATTCTTCTCTGCAGATCCTCTCAAGCACTTGTCAGGTTGGATGGGGAGCGTCGCTGCACAGCTATTTTCAGGTCTCTCCAGAGATGTTAGATCGGCTTCAAGTCTGGGCTCTGGCTGGGCCACTCAAGGACATTCAGAGACTTGTCCCGAAGCCACTCCTGTGTTGTCTTGGCTGTGTGCTTAGGTTCGTTGTCCTGTTGGAAGGTGAACCTTCGCCCCAGTCTGAGGTCCTGAGCGCTCTGAAACAGGTTTTCATCAAGGATCTCTCTGTACTTTGCTCCGTTCATCTTTCCCTCGATCCTGAAAAGTGTCACAGTCCCTGCCGCTGAAAAACATCCCCACAGCATGATGCTGCCACCACCATGCTTCACCGTAGGGATGGTGCCAGGTTTCCTCCAGACGTGATGCTTGGCATTCAAGCCAAAGAATTCAATATTGGTTTCATCAGAACTGAGAATCTTGTTTGTCATGTTCTGAGAGTCCTTCAGGTGCCTTTTGCAAACTCCAAGCAGGCTGTCATGTGCCTTTTACTGAGAGTGGCTTCCGTCTGGCCACTCTACCGTAAAGCCCTGATTGATGGAGTGCTGCAGAGATGGTTGCCTGTCTGGAAGGTTCTCCCATCTCCACAGAGGAACTCTGGAGCTCTGTCGGGGTGACCATCGGGTTCTTGGTCACCTCCCTGACCAAGGCTCTTCTCCCCCGATCCCGATTGCTCATTTTGGCCGGCTCTAGGAAGAGTCTTGATGGTTCCAAACTTCTTCCATTTAATAATGATGGAGGCCACTGTGTTCTTGGGGACCTTCAATGCTGCAGACATTTTTTGGTGCCCTTCCCCAGATTTGTGCCTCGACACAATCCTGCCTCGGAGCTCTGTGGATAATTCCTTCGACCTCATGGCTTGGTTTTTGCTCTGACATGCACTGTCAACTGTGGGACCTTATATAGTCAGGTGTGTGCCTTTCCAAATCATGTCCAATCAATTGAATTTACCAACAGGTGGACTCCAATTGAGTTGTAGAAACATCTAAAGGAAGATCAATGGAAACAGGATGCACCTGAGCTCAATTTCGAATGTCATAGCAAAGGGTCTGAATACTTACGTAAATAAGGTATTTCAGTTTTTTTATTTGTAATAAACTTGCGACAGTTTCTAAACACCTGTTTTCGCTTTGTCATTATGGGGTATTGTGTGTAGATTAATCAATTTTAGAATAAGGCTGTAACGTAACAAAATGTGGAAAAGGGGAAGGGGTCTGAAATACTTTCCGAATACACTGTAGATACGTATCGAATCGTCTTGAAAGGGAAGGATGCACATCCCTAATGTTTCCTTCCTTCAAATTCTTTGGGGTTTTTCATGAGTACTGGCAGTATGTGACTTGTCTTTTTTCTAAATGTGTACTATTGGCATTTTGCATGTAATTTGTACCAAAATATATTTCAACCCCTCCCTCTTATGTTTTCTTCTTGTAGACAAGAGAGTCTTTTATCCGGTGGTTTTCAGTTTGTATAATCCTGCCATAGTCTATGGAAATCTGGAGCTGGCTCCCCCCATTGAAAGTCAACTTGTAAGTACCTTTAAAAATGCTTGACCAAAAAAATACATACACTACCGGTCAAACGTTTTAGAACACTTACTCATTCCAGGGTTTTTCTTTATTTTACTATTTTCTACATTGTAGAATAATAGTGAAGACATAAAAACTATGAAATAACACATATAGAATCATGTAGTAACCAAAAAAAGTTTTAAACAAATCAGAATATATTTTATATTTGAGATTCTTCAAATAGCCACCCTTTGCCTTGATGACAGCTTTGCACACTCTTGGCATTCTCTCAACCAGCTTCACTTGGAATGCTTTTCCAACAGTCTTGAAGGAGTTCCCACATATGCTCAGCACTTGTTGGCTGCTTTTCCTTCACTCTGCGGTCCGACTCATCCCAAACCATCTCAATTTGGTTGAGGTCGGGGGATTGTGGTGGCCAGGTCATCTGATGCAGCACTCCATCACTCTCCTTCTTGGTAAGGTACCCCTTACACAGCCTGGAGGTGTGTTTTGGGTCATTGTCCTGTTGAAAAACAAATGATAGACCCACTAAGCCCAAACCAGATGGGATGGCATATCGCTGCAGAATGCTGTGGTAGCCATGCTGGTTAAGTGTGCCTTGAATTCTAAATTAATCACAGACAGTGTCACCAGCAAAGCACCCCCACACCATAACACCTCCTCCTCCGTGCTTTACTGTGGGAAATACACATGCGGAGATCATCCGTTCACCCACACCTCGTCTCACAAAGACACGGCGGTTGGAACCAAAAATCTCCAATTTGGACCCCAGACCAAAGGATAGATTTCCACCGGTCTAATGTCCATTGCTCGTATTTCTTGGCCCAAGCAAGTCTCTTCTTCTTATTGGTGTCCTTTAGTAGTGGTTTCTTTGCAGCAATTTGACCATGAAGGCCTGATTCATGCAGTCTCCTCTGAACAGTTGATGTTGAGATGTGTCAGTGACTTGAACTCTGTGAAGCATTTATTTGGCCTGTAATTTCTGAGGCTGGTAACGCTAATGAACTTATCCTCTGCAGCAGAGGTAACTCTGGGTCTTCCATTCTTGTAGCGGTCCTCATGAGCGCTTGATGGTTTTTGCGACTGCACTTTCAAAGTTCTTGAAACGTTCCGTATTGACTGACCTTCATGTCTTAAAGTAATGATGGACTGTCGTTTCTCTTTGCTCATTTGAGCTGTTCTTGCCATAATATGGACTTGGTCTTTTACCAAATAGGGCTATCTTCTGTATTCCCCCCCTACCTTGTCACAACACAACTGATTGGCTCAAACGCATTAAGAAGGAAAGAAATTCCACAAATTAACTTTTAAGAAGGCACACCTGTTAATTGAAATGCATTCCAGGTGACTACCTCATGAAGCTGGTTGAGAGAATTCCAAGCGTGTGCAAAGCTGTCATCAAGGCAAAGGGTGGCTATTTGAAGAATCTCAAATATAAAATATATTTTGATTTGTTTAAAATTTTTTGGTTACTACATGATTCCATATGTGTTATTTCATAGTATTAATGTCTTCACTAATATTCTACAATGTAGAAAATAGTAAAAATTAAGAAAAACCCTTAAATGAGTAGGTGTTCTAAAACTTTGGATCGGTAGTGTATATACACTACATGACCAAAAGTATGTGGACACCTGCTTGTCGAACATCTAATTCCAAAATCATGAGCATTAATATGGAGTTGGTCCCCCCCATTTGCTTCTATAACAGCCTCCACTCTTCTGGGAAGGCTTTCCACTAGATGTCAACAATGCTGCAGGGACTTGCTTCAATTCAGCCAGAAGAGCATTAGTGAGGTTGGGCGATTAGGCCTGGCTCACAGTCGGCGTTCTAATTCATCCCATAGGTGTTCGATGGGGTTGAGGTCAGGGCTCTGTGCAGGCCAGTCAAGTTCTTCCACACCGATCTCGACAAACCATTTCTGTATGGACCTCGCTTTGTGCTCAGGGCCATTGTCATGCTGAAGCAGGAAAGTGCCTTCCCCAAACTGTTGGCCATGTCATTGTTTGCGGTAAGATTTCCCGTCACTGGAACTAAGGGGCCTAGCCCGAACCATGAAAAACTGCCCCACTCCATTATTCCTCCTCCACCAAACTTTACAGTTTGCACTATGTATTCAGGGCAGGTAGTGTTCTCCTGGCATCCGCCAAACCCAGATTCATCCGTCGGACTGCCAGATGGTGAAGCGTGATTCATCACTCCAGAGAATGCGTTTCCACTGCTCCACTGGCGGCGAGCTTTACACCACTCCAGCCAATGCTTGGCATTGCTCATGGTGATCGTAGGCTTGTGTGTGGCTGCTCAGCCTTGGAAACACATTTCATGAAGCTCCCGACGAACAGTTCTTGTGACGACGTTGCTTCCAGAGGCAGTTTGGAACTCTGTAGTGAGTGTTGCAACCGAGGACAGACGATTTTTATGCGCTTCAGCACTCAGTGGTCCCGTTCAAATCAAATGTTATTTGCCACATGCGCCGAATACAACAGGTGTAGACATTACCGTGAAATGCTTACTTACAGCCCTTAACCGTCAATGCATTTATTTTAATAAAAAGTCAAATAAAACAACAAAAAAGTGTTGAGAGAAAAAAAGAGCAGAAGTAAAATAAAATAACAGTAGGGAGGCTATATACACGGGGGTACCGGTGCAGAGTCAATTTGCGGGGGCACTGGCTAGTTGAGGTAATATGTACATGTGGGTAGAGTTAAAGTGACTATGCATAAATAATAAACAGAGTACCAGCAGCGTAAAAAGATGGGGTGGGGGGCAGTGCAAATAGTCCGGGTAGCCATGATTAGCTGTTCAGGAGTCTTATGGCTTGGGGGTAGAAGCTGTTGAGAAGCCTTTTGGACCTAGACTTTGCGCTCCGGTACCGCTTGCTGTGCGGTAGCAGAGAGAACAGTCTATGACTAGGGTGGCTGGAGTCTTTGACAATTTTGAGGGCCTTCCTCTGACACCGCCTGGTATAGAGGTCCTGGATGGCAGGAAGCTTGGCCCCAGTACTGGGCCGTACGCACTACCCTCTGTAGTGCCTTGCGGTCGGAGGCCGAGCAGTTGCCATACCAGGCGGTGATGCAACCAGTCAGGATGCTCTCTGGTGCAGCTGTATAACTTTTTTTTGGAGGATCTGAGGACCCATGCCAACTCTTCACGACTGTCTTGGTGTGTTTGGACCATGATAGTTTGTTGGTGATGTGGACACCAAGGAACTTGAAGCTCTCAACCTGTTCCACTACAGCCCCGTCGATGAGAATGGGGGCGTGCTTCTGTGAGCTTGTGTGGCCTACCACTTCGCAGCTGAGCTGTTGTTGCTCCTAGACGTTTCCACTTCACAATAATAGCACTTACAGGGAGGGAGCAGCTAGCAGGGCAGAAATTTGACAAACTGACTTGTTGGAAAGGTGGCATCCTATGACAGTTGCCACGTTGAAAGTCACTGAGCTCTTCAGTAAGGCCATTCTACTGCCAATGTTTGTCTATGGAGATTGCATGGCGGTGTGCTCGATTTTATACACCTGTCAGCAACGGGTGCGTCTGAAATAGCCGACTCCACTAATTTGAAGGGGTGTCCACATACTTTGTGTATATATAGTGTATTTAATTGTAACTCAATGTTTACATTAGTCGACTTGCCAATGTCAAGTGTTCTTTCCGTATAGATTCACAAGAAAGATGCTGGATTCTGGAGAGATTTTGGCTTTGGAATGACTTGTCAGTACCGCTCGGACTTCCTCAATATAGGTAAGCCGTGTTAACCGAGAAGTATTGCTACGGTGTTGTGTGCTTTCTATGTATTTATACTGTGACATTTCTATAAGCAAGAGGTCTTCTTTCTAGGAGGTTTTGACCTGGAAGTGAAAGGTTGGGGTGTGGAAGATGTCCACTTGTACAGGAAGTACCTGCGGAGCGACCTGATCGTGACGCGTACGCCAGTATCCGGCCTCTTCCACCTGTGGCACGAGAAGCAGTGTGCAGACGAGCTGACTCCAGAACAGTATCGCATGTGCATCCAGTCCAAAGCCATGAATGAGGCGTCCCACTCTCACCTGGGCATACTGGTGTTCCGTGAGGAGATCGAGAATCACCTCCGCAAGCAGGCCTATAAGACCCAGGGCAAAACTGAAGACTGAATTATGCCTTTTCGCTAGGCGGCCATCTTAGGTACTCTCTGCATCAGAACTCCTCGCTTTTTTAAAAGAAACAAATACAAGAACTGAGGTCCTCTGTAGCTCAGCTGGTAGAGCACGGCGCTTGTAACGCCAAGGTAGTGGGTTCGATCCCCGGGACCACCCATACACAAAAATTTATGCACGCATGACTGTAAGTCGCTTTGGATAAAAGCGTCTGCTAAATGGCATATTATATTATTATTATTACACTCATGTTGTTACTAACATGATTAAAATGCGCTATACAGAAGACCTGTTTACACAAAATCCTGTTATATTTCACAGATCAGCTAAAGACACGTATGGGAATGTACAAAAAATTTACTTAATGTGAAGCGTCAACTTAAACATTTCAAAAGACTGAGAATGACACTACCTGCGTCAACACAAAAAGACTGATGGAACGTCTTTGCCTTAACTTGATAATAACTTCAATGTCCTTAATGTCCTTGCCCGTGAGGTCAATGGACAGTGTTCTTCTTTTTAAAAAATGTATCGCTACGATAGCTCTACTGCCATAGTTGTATTTATTTATAATAATGTCAAGATTGATTTAAAGTTGTACAGTGATAAAAAATAAAGGGACCTTTATGTTTGAATAGGCTTTGTTGAAAGGTGAAAATAAGTCAGAGGCAGTGTTTATCAGCGTCGAAGAAGATTATTTATCCTATCGGTTTTAATTTGTTTATTTGGGAAATGTACCAAAATATACAGATCGGACTGGATTGTGACTGAAGATGCATCACAGTATTAAACTTACCTTTCATTAAGTTGAACCTTGCAGCCACTCAATGCCAATGCTCAATGATGTGGTCAATCTTCAATGGAATAATGTATAAATCATTATTTCTTATATAGAATGTTTTTCAGCGACGGATTACGACGTACTTTGTCTAAATATGTGCCTATTAGCTGGAGAGGAGGATATTACAGATGCTAACTAGCCCTCCCCCTGAGGCCATTGATACAGTTATGAGACTTGGTGTTCTTCAATCTGTATCGCTGAAGCGTTACAGATTGCGTGATAGAAAGGTCATTTCCGATTGAGCCGACATATGCAGTGTTTACAGTGAATGCCGTCTCCGCTAACGCGGGGGAAATTGCCTTTAAACTTCAATCACAATGTAACACTGAACTTCCGTGATACAGAGTAGGTTGAAGATAAAAGTTAAGAAAACGTAATAATTCCATGCAGAAGCGTTCCGAAATAAACAAAATCATTGGACCAGCGCCAGAGCGAAAATGACGACGTGAGTGTTAGCAGTAAAGAAAGTTTGCCATCAAAGTGGAAAATCAACACAATCGTAGTGAATTTCAGATAACTATCCAGCAAACACATAGCATAACTGTTTCTGTCATTCTATTCATTTAAATGTTTTTCAGATTATCTACAGCCACTTCATTACATGATCTCTCGACCGCTCGTCACATTTTCAACGCCAATACTGTAGAATCAGCAAATGCACTGGGCCAATGAATGTTTTTATTTTCTAAACTCTGCCACATGGAATTATTACATTGTCTTAATCTGTAATCTTTCGACCTGGGATACGGATTGAATAGAACCCTGAATGTCATATCGGCAGTTACCATACTTGTCTGTTTTGAAATGACCTCATCTTTATTGATAAAACATTACTTGGAACTACCCATTCCAGTGTAAAAAATGTGAGATAGTAGTTTAGGCTTACATATGAATAAAGTGCAGCGTTGTATTAAATGTTGAAAATAGAGCAAGAAAAATACATGTTTGCGATTTATTGTGATTTCAAATGGATAGCAGGTACGACAGAACGGTGTGCAACGTTGAATTCAACGTATTGAATGACCAGTTGAAAAACTGATTACGGTTGCCCAGAGGGCAGATGTATATGTTGCACAAGTTTTGCGATTTCAGATGGTCACACCCATTGATCAGGCCACAACTCGCCACACCCACCAAACGGAGCAAACATACCTCAAAGGCTGTTGAACAGCTAGTCACCTTTTTATATCAAACATGAGTAATGACTGCCTGAATTTCTTTAGTTAAATGCCTATTTTCTCATTAAACATTGCTCTCCTCCTTCTGTATACAATAGAGGTATCCAGTCTTTTGGTTCTTGAATGCCTCAGAGCTCAATCTTTTCCTGAACACCTTAACTGAAAAACACAAGTATTGGTCCTCTTTTCGCTCTATTCCATTCAAGTAGTTACACCAACCGTTGTATATTTAAGCACACTAGGGTGATTAGAGGAACACTTCATAAAATATCGTAAAGCAGAAAGTAAAAGCTGTCTTCTATTTCTACCCAGACTTAAAGAGGATATGTGGTAGTCTAATTGTGCAAGTAAAATTTTTTAAGGGTTTCTAACAATCAACAACAATTCAACATAAAAACATCACTGAAGACTGAAAATAAGAGTCACAAGTAATGTGAAAGTAAATGGTTTATTTTACGGCTATTGTTAAACACAAAATACATTTGAGGTAAATATTTAATTTGTGATTTCTCTTGTAAATGTTTCATTTGATGATTCCATAGCAATCCAACTCCACACAAACCTCACCATTATTTCTATAATTTAGGCTATAAAAATTTAATTTCAAACAAGTAAAGTGGTCTTGGAATCCACTAATTTGATCTATTTTCTTAATTTAAGACAAATGGCATATTACAAGCATATTCATCCTCATACAATAGACTATGAGAATATAAAATCAATACTGACAAAGAACCATATACAGTATCAAATCAAAAAGCATTGACATGGACAAACCTGATGGGGAGAAACAGTACGAGAGCTTCAGAATGGTTTATTTTTCCATTAACCTGCTGGAACCAGCCTGATCGCTGCATTCACCATTCTATTTCACTTACGTGCAGTGAAACAAAATGAACGCAGCAATCAGGGCGGTTCCACCAGGTTACCAATCCATCGCATTAATGTAAAATCTGTTCTGGGTATATCCCCATGGTCTTGTAGATCTCTTTTAGGAGTAGTAGGGCTGTGTCTTCAGACTCCCTGGAAAAAGAAAGGAACAAATAAATATGAATGTCTGCAGACTGAATTATTTTTCAAACAGCTCAACATAAAATAGATAATCTGCAGAGAATACAAATGTATTCCAAGTCTTGGAGTAGGTCTTCGCCTCAGGTTCAAAACTCTTAATCAAGCAGTAGACTCAAAATCGGCAGTAAAGCTGTTGAGAATAATATGGCAAAATGTTCATCAAATTATATGGCTAAATATTCATCATATGGCAGCTATAAACAACCACACACAAGTGTGACCTCATGTGGAGTGCCCAAGGGGCAGAATGAGATGATTGGCCGATCCAACCGTGAAATGTATTCAACAGTGCACATTCATCAACATTTCTGTTTCCACCTTAATATAAAAAGGGCCAGAGTAAGCAGCAGAGCTGATTTTCATACCAGTAGCACAGGTGACTCTGCAGGGCGAAGAGGTACTCGTTGAAGCTCTCGATGGGCTTCTCCTGTAGGACGTAGTCGATGCGGTTCCCCCCATTCAGCATTCCTATTTTCACCTGGGGCTCCTCTTCTCTTAGCAGCTCAGGACTCTCCACTATCCTGTGTTCTGCGACTAACCAACGTTTTGACGTTTAAATAAAGTTGTTGGTTGATAAAGCCCTATCCAAATAAACCGAAAGAGCAATATTGAATTACTTATTTAAATCACTCTTATACTCACCATCACTGTGTGCATGCTTCTCCTCCTCCTCCTTGATCTGATTGGCCACCATAGCGAGCTCGGCTGCCAGCTGGGCATTGGAGGTGTGAGCACGGGCAAAGTCGTTGAGGGTCTGCCAGGCACTCTTCAGGGAGCTGATGACGCCATGCTTCAGGTCCGAACCCATGCGGGACAGACTCTCCTTCAGCTCTGCCACACATAAAACAATCCATGATGTAAACCCCTCACCGACATAAATTAAACATATTACACTTTGGAACCCTGGTCTTGTTGGTGAAGTTTCACTATGCCAAGATTTGAGTCGTATTTCATTTACTTCCTCTAATTCAGTGTTTCCACTAGGATTCTTTTCAGCAGTGGTGGCAAGGGTAACGGTAGCGCAATGACATGCTAGCTGTTCCCATTGACTTCCAGTCATTGAGCCAACGACTATCCATTTAATTGCACCGCTCGGCAGAAATATATACACAGTGTACAAAACATTAAGGACACCTGCTATTTCCGTGGCATAGACTGACCAGGTGAATCCCGGTGAAAGCTATGATCCTTGATTGATGTCACTTGTTAAATCCACTTCAATCAGCAATCAGTATTGATGAAGGGGAGTAGACAGGTTAGAGACATGGATTGTGTATGTGTGCCATTCAGATGGTGAATGGGCAAGACAAAATATGTAAGTGCCTTTGAACGAGGTATGGTAGTAGGTGCAAGGTGCACCGGTTTGTGTGAAGAACTGCAACGCTGCTGGGTGTTTCACGCTCAACAGTTTCCCGTGTGTATCAAGAATGGTCCACCACCCAAAGGACATCCAGCCAACTTGACACAACTGTGGGAAGCATTGGAGTCAACATCCCTGTGGAACGCTTTCGACACCTTATAGAGTCCATTCCCCAACGAATTGAGGCGTTTTGTTTTTTTTACATTTTACGTCATTTAGCAGACGCTCTTATCCAGAGCGACTTACAGTTAGTGCATACATTATTCTTTTTTATTTTCATATTGGTAGAGCATGGTGTTTGCAACGCCAGGGTTGTGGGTTCGACCCCCCCATGGGAATAGAACCCACAACCCTGGCGTTGCAAACACCATGCTCCACCAACTGAGCTACCTCCCTGCCGGCCATTCCCTCCCCTACCCTGGACGACGCTGGGCCAATTGTGCGCCGCCCCATTGGTCTCCCGGTTGCGGCCGGCTACAGCAGAGCCTGGATTCGAACCAGGATCTCTAGTGGCACAGCTAGCACTGCGATGCAGTGCCTTAGACCACTGCGCCACCCTGTTCTGAGGGCAAACGGGGGGGGTGCAACTCAATATTAGGAAATGGTTCTTTAATGTTTTGTACGCCGAGTGATATATATAATTGAACAAATCATGTTGTTTGCGGCGGTGGCCCACCGCTGCTAAATAAATATAGGGGAAACACTGTTCACTTCCTCTACTTTGGAGACCAGGGTCTGATTAGTCAAAATGGGAAGAGACAGTGACGACAATGGTAGGGTTAACCTAGCGATGGTAAGAAATAGAACACAAATCTGAAGATAAAATAGCCAGTGGTGAATCTATAGTTCCATACCAAGATGCAGCCTCTTCCTCCCTTTGTGATGTGGAATCAGAACAGGTTTCAAGTCCAGGTCTGTCAGGATCATGGGCTCAATCCTGTAAGCAACTGGGTCCAGCTAAAACAAACAGTTCGAGCAAACAGATATTTTAACATTTTGAAAAAAGTAATATTACACCCTTCCATATCAATGAATGTATTTGCTACCCTGATCTACTTTAAACACATTGGCATTAACCATGTCACAGCTCAATCAAATGTATTTATAAAGTCCTTTTTACGTAAACAGTTGTCACAAAGTGCTTTAGAGCTGACAGTGGCAATCCTGTCACACACAGTATGTAATCTGCATGCACACCTCCTCTCACATACTCCTTTCAGAACACCTGGAGGAAAGATTGGCTAACCGGATGGTAAATGTTGAAGAATCCCTTGCAGGTGGGTAGCTGGTAGTTTTCCTCGATCTTCTCCAGCCCACGAACTGTGAGGAACATCCCTATGGGAGATCCCAGGGCAAAGAAATTCACTGGTTCGAAGTCCAGAGTGTGGTACACCACCGACACCTATGGGGCAGAACACCAACACCAGACAGTGCTTTTTATATATGCCCTGATGAAAATGTATGCTTATGCGTGACATTACAGAAAGGCTGTAGGCTAACGTCATTACTCCACACTAATGTGATGTTGTAGACATAAGGGTCAGGATTCAATCAGATCGGCGGAAACCCACGTTAGCTGACAAACATATAGCTTTTCATTGCTTTTGTTTAGGCTTGTCGGATGTGTAACTGCGTTAGAGCTGTCAAATCAGTGAGCGGCTGCTGTTGTGGTCATTGTTACGAAACGACAACCGTCCTTATATCCCACCCACGTTGGACGTTCAGAACGAGAAAGTGTAGGCAATTTATGTGAAAATGCCATATCCTCCAAACACCGGCTTCGAGGCATTATCACTTTTATACAACGGGTTACCAACATATTCAAATAATTATTGACATATTTTCATTAAAAACGTTATTTTGATGAATGTATTCATACTATTTCATCCTTCCACAAGATATAGTCCCGACACAAATCCATGGTTGCTACCCAAGCCGGCTGGTCGTTCGTTCGCTAGAGATGTTCAGTCTTTTTGTTCTGTATCTATGGACAACCCAGTCTTTCGTTCTAAATGTTCCATTGCCATACTGGCTGGCAACGTTCTTATCCCTTGCTTGCTAGTTAACCAACTACAGCTAACTTACAGTCACGTCAAAAAGTGCAGGCAGAAAATCTGCATTTGCATAAACTCTTTTCTAGTGACATTTATTTGGATGTATTTATTTAGCCTGGCATAGAAAATGTGCTCACTCGTCAGGCCACTGTTGTTCAGAGGAGCTAGCCAACAACACAGCTAAAACAATCACTTCAAACTGAATCTGGAAAGACTGCAAACTAGCTGCACTTCGTTTCGTTTGACCTTTTTTCAATTTACATTTCTTTGTATATATATCCATAAAAATGCCAGCTGATTCATGATTTAGACTGGCCGAGAAACGCTGCCTGCCTGTCTGTCTCCTCCCGACACGTTCATTACTACACGGGACATACACATCTCTGCTGTTGAAAACTAAAATGTTAGTCTAAAAGAAATGTGAGATAATGTCTAAATGCTTTTTTATAGTGGAGATTAAGTTTATAAATTGCTTGGCTGGGCTGATTAGACAGTGGATTGGCAGTCAGATGGAACAGAGTAAATTGGCATTTTATCATAGATTTAGCCGGTGTAATTTGTGGAAAAGACACCGGCTGGAATGCGGTTTTAACCAATCAGCATTCAGGATTAGACCCACCCAATGTATAAATGGAAATAATGATACTCATTTTTTGAAATCATTAAATTAAATAAAAGGGATTTATATTAGCCTAATCGAGTTGTAGATTACATCACACATTCCAGTATTCAAACTTGTAATACGGCTGCGACTCGGTGCATTCAACAGCAATGTCTGCGATCGGTAACACCAGGAGCCGCTTGAGGATTTGACAGCTATAACGCAGTCACACCTTCGACACCGACCTAAACAAAAGCAATGAAAAGCTACGAGTTACGCGGGTTACCGCTGATCTGATTGAATCCTGGCAGAGGTTTAGGTTTACCTGTCCAGTGCCAACTTTGAAGTAGTTGTAATCCACATGGACTGACGAGTAAGTCCCGCCAACAGGAAGCTTCGTGGTGCCGGGCCCTGGGAGGGACTCGCTTAATTGGGCGGGGACGACCTCTTGACTGGCCGCCTTCACTTCTGATGCATTCTTCTCTTGTGCTGCCTGACTCGTTGCCTGGCGAAAGGAGTCCGAAGATAGAAGGCACATGAACACAGAGGATTATGTTCAGTTGTCACAGTTTTAACCATCACTGGGTCGTGTTCAGTAGGGCATACTGTAGTGAAACATTTAGGAATAGATACAATGTTGTATTCTAAGTTCCGGTAGTACCGGGCCATTTAAAAATATATATATTCCTATTGAACACAAAACTGGTGTCAGAGAGACAAAGACGATTAAATGCTCACCTGCTTAATTGCTCTTTCTTTGACAAATTTAGCTATTTTCTTCCTTGGCCCTAATGGAATGCCCATCTCTTTCAGGTCCTCAACCGTGCACATAAGCTAACAAAATATAGAAAATAGTAAATTAATCAATCAGATGTAATTTCACAGTGGGATTTGGTAATGGAAATGGACCATAGATTGTAACCACCAATTCTAGGAAATGGCCTAGGGAGGCATTGTAATACAATTTAATCATTTACTTTAGGTTTCTGGGAAATTTCACTCAAAAGTCAAAGTTATTTTCAGGCCTCAAATGTGGGTTTTTTACCCCAGGACATTTGTTTTATAGATCCAGCGATATCCTTATAGAAACAATCCAAAATAAATGTTAAAGATAAGCACCGTAAAATGATATTTTACATTAATTTGGGGTATGAATAATTTAGACATTAAGCTGGATCTGCACACCCAATGCCGTGGCATGTGGACTCACCTTGACTTTAGAGGTCTTAAAACATCTGACAAACGTTTATTTTGGAGTGTAATGTCTCTTTCATAGTCTCATAAGCAATGTTCCCTCTAATTTCTTTCATCACTGAGCAAATCTCAGGCCTGTTGAGCGCAAACTTGAACGTTGTGAAAACTCTGTGCAAATTCCGGCACGCATATACTGTGAACCCTGAGGCTGCACCTACTTTAAGTTAGCTTTAACAGTGGTCATGTAGGCTACTGCGGCTATTTGATCATAATGTAGGCCTACCAGAGTGGCCTACCATAAAAAACTATGGAGAAAATGCATTTCATAACATTTTAACATGGAAATATCTGTTCTATCGTTTAGCATACAGTAGCAGCCAATGTGTGGTGTTCAATGTAGGCCTACATTCAATGAGACTTTTGAAAAAAACATGCAGGGCTTGACATTAATCTGTTTATCCACTTGTCCTTCAGACAAGGAGGTGACTGAAAATGTTGTTGTGTTTTTTGATGCAAGAAACCACTTTACAAAATAAAATGCATCATTACTCCCATACCACTATTACAGATAATCAGACAAATTATGCTACCCTCTGCCTATTGGCTACTTAGCTTATTCAAGCCTGTCTCAAAATACAACACTCCCCCTTTAAGACAAAAAAAAGCTCTTTACCTGACCTGCTTTTCAAAGATGCACACCTTTTGTGCTCTTGTAGGAAGCAAACACTCCCCCATTGCTGACTACAAATGATCTATAACTGGGCTAATAACTCACTAACTAGGAAAGGATATGAACAAACGTGAATGTCGCTATATGTAGCTCACTTTGATCTAAAAACAAGTGCATCTACTCACAACCGCTCATGCTGTAAAAACAGTCCAGTTCAAAGTGAATGGCACTGATCCATATGTGGCAATGGTCTATTTGCATATAGCTCTACTGCAGCTCTGATTGGTTATTGTAGAGTAGGGCTTGAGTCGTGCCTGTCAATGCAATAGAATCCTACTCCGATGCATTCTGCCTACAATCTCTTGCATAGTTAGTTTTGTTTCAGTATGTTGTATTGAAAGTGGCTAATATCGTGTTGATTCGATCACAATTCCCACAGTAAAGGGAAACGTTGATAGTGTTAACTAAAGGGGAAAACTCTAGAAAGTTGGGTGAAGTTCAATCTCGTGCTTCTCTACGTGCGCTGATATTTCCTCTGCGCATGCTGATATGTCTTCTGCGCAGCAGTCCCGGGGGAGCTGCGCGCTGCTTAGCGGGAACATTGGTCATAAGCATTGAAAGTAAATATCAATAACTATATGGGTCCATGACAAGCAAGGAGGGTTCTTACGAAAGATTCAAGGTCAATCTTCTCCTGTTCTAAAGTGCTCTGGTACTCAGACAGGCCCAGATGTTCCAGCGATGCAGAAAGATCGGCAAACTCCTCCCCTTCCTCCTTAGGCTCCTCCCCTACCGTAGCAGGTGGGGTAGCAGTAGCGGGGGTTGCCACCTGCTTTAAGGAGAAGAGGGAGGGGCCTCCTATTATACTCCTGTTGTTACACTCTCTGGGGTCACCGAAATAATGAAATAAACAATGTTTGGATAGCTATGGAGCCATTACCTGTTTGTTGCCTGCAGGGTGGCCCCCATTAGCAGTTGGCATGGTTTGCAAAGGTGAGCCATTCTTCTGGTTTGACAGCAAGTCGAAAAGTATGAGGGAACCTGCAAACACACAGAGAGACAGGTTTGTCCAAATCTTTCTCACATGACTTAGCTAAAAGTATGAACACTTGGGGCCGGTTTCCCGGACCCAGATTAAGCCTAGTCCTGGACTAAAAAGCGCACTTTCAATAGAGATTCTCAATTGAACAAAGATTTTGTAAGCCAGCACTAGGATTTCATCTGGGTCCATAAAAGTGGCCCTTGGTGTTTGGGTGTTTGTACCTAAACTGTGTCCGGATACTGAGACGCCTCCTGTGAAGTCTGGATTCCGCTGCATGAACAGGGCATAGATCCTGTTAATCTCCAGGGCAACTGTGTCCATGATGGTCTGGCAGTAGGTGGGGCTGTTGTAGAACAGCACGTCTAAGAGGGTCTCGTTAGTGAAGTGACGCAGTCGACCCGTGCTGGGCAGGGTGATCTTCTTTATCCTCCTAAAACAACAGTAGGAAATGGACTGAGCCAGAGTGGGAGAGATTGTCTGTGTCTGATGTGTTACAAGCATTCAAATCCTTGCTTCCTCCATCTTTGTTTCCTCTATTCCTCTCGAAGCGCATTGGAGGACGGGATCTATGGTCCCTCTCACGGGCGGAGGCATTAGCAAGGACTTGACAGCTAGTAACATTCTCAGACACAGCCATTGTGTGGTTACATTTGTAAAAGCTTGCCGCTCAGGTCAGCATATATTTGTTGTGTTACAATATAATTTCCCTATCCCACAAAAACAGGCCCTATTCCCAAGTGTATGAACGTCCTTAAATTCCATTATGGGGCACTTCCACCTGAGGCTTACCCCACACCAGTTTGTTGCCAATGTTTACAGTGCATTCAGAAAGTATTCAGACCCTTTCCATTTTTCAACATTTTGTTAAGTTACAGCCTTATTCTAAAATTGAAGAAATAAATAAATGTCCTCATCAATCTACACACAATACCCCATAATGACAAAGCGAAAACAGGTTTTTAGACATTTTTGCAAATGTAAAATAAATGTACATAAGTATTCAGACCCTTTGCTATAAGACTCCAAATTGAGCTTAGGCGCATCCTGTTTCCATTGATCATCCTTGAGATGTGTCTACAAGTTGATTGGAGTCCACCTGTGGTAAATTCAATTGATTGGACATGATTTAGAAAGGAACACACCTGTCTATATAAGGTCCCACAGTTGACAGTGTATGTCAGAGCAAAAACCAAGCCATGAGGTCGAAGGAATTGTCCATAGAGCTCCGAGATAGGATTGTGTCGAGGCACAGATCTGGGGAAGGGTACCAAAAATGTCTGCAGCATTGAAGATCCCCAAGAATACAGTGGCCTCCATCATTCTTAAATGGAAGAAGTTAACAACCAACAAGAATCTTCCTAGAGCTGGCCGCCCGGCCAAACTGAGCAATCAGGGGAGAAGGGCCTTGGTCAGGGAGGTGACCAAGAACCCGATGGTCACTCTGACAAAGCTCCAGAGTACCCCTGTGGAGATGGGAGAACCTTCCAGAAGGACAACCATCTCTGCAGCACTCCACCAATCAGGCCTTTATGGTAGAGTGGCCAGATGAAAGCCACTCCTAAGTAAAAGGCACATGACAGCCCACTTGGCGTTTGCCAAAAGGCACCTAAAGGACTCTCAGACCATGACAAACAAGATTCTCTGGTCTGAAACCAAGATTGAACTCTTTGGCCTGAATGCCAAGCGTCATGTCTGGAGAAAACCTGGCACCATTCCTACGGTGAAGCATGGTGGTGGCAGCATCACGCTGTGGGGATGTTTTTCAGGGACTGGGAGACTAGTCAGGATTGAGGGAAAGATGAACGGAGCAAAGTACAGAGAGATCCTTGATGAAAATCTGCTCCAGAGCGCTCAGGACCTCAGACTGGAGTGAAGGTTCGCCAAGACAACGTAGGAGTGGCTTCGGGACAAGTCTCTGAATGTCCTTGAGTGGCCCAGCCAGAGCCCAGACTTGAACCCGATCTAACATCTCTTGAGAGACCTGAAAACAGCTGTGCAGCGACGCTCCCCATCCAACCTGACAGAGCTTGAGAGGATCTGCAGAGAAGAATGGGAGAAACCCCCCAAATACAGCTGTGCCAAGCTTGTAGCATCATACCCAACAAGACGCAAGGCTGTAATCGCTGTCAAAGGTGCTTCAACAAAGTACTGAGTATAGGGTCTGAATACTTAAGTAAATGTGATATCAGTTTTTTATTTTTAATACATTTGCTAAAATGTCTAAAAACCTGTTTTTGCTTTGTCATTATGGGGTATTGTGTGTAGATTAATGAGGGGGAAAAACAATGTAATCCATTTTAGAATAAGGCTGTAACGTAACAAAATGTAGAAAAGGTCAAGGGGTCTGAATACTTTCCAAATGCACTGTATGTTAATATGAGCTCTAGAGTTATTTTTCGGGAACTGCGTTTCCAGCAGGAGTGTGACGCTAAAGACTTGGGGCGAGCAGAAGGTGAGAAGTTGGAAGCGTGGAAGGTGTTAACCCATGTTCACAGTTAGCCATTATGTTCATGCCAGCAGAAAAGTACCAGTGGACTGGCCCTTGCCCCAAGTCGGAGCAGGTCCACGGCCCAGTGCTGGAGCTGGGCCGTGGAAGTGGAAACACAAAAGTCGGAGACTTTTTCGTCTCCTCACCTGTCCACCCCTGTGGCGTCCCCATGCAGGGCCGTGTGCCACTGAACAGGAAGGAACTCCACTCGACTGATGACACGCTCTTCCTGCGCATTCTTAAAATGACTCTGCAGAAGCTTCAGGGATACACTCCGGAAATCATCCACTGTGAACACAAGGAACACACATTTGTAATACTATCTGGGGTAGTATGGAGTACTAAATGGATATTCAACACAGTTACATTCAATACACTTTATTCATCCCCAAGGGGCATTTGCTGGGCATAGTAAGAAACACCATGACAGTCAGAACATACCACAGCCTATACCCTTCATGACATAAACAAACACATCCATAATATGATATGAATATAGATCTGGGCAATATGGAGACTTAATGAGCCATATGGAGCGAAAGATCACACATACCACACTCCACCATGCTCCTAAACCTCAGGTCACAGACTGGACCGATGCCATGCACCATGAACACCAGGTGATCCACCTGAGGGAGCTCCCCGTCGGGGACTTCATCATGGTCATCATCAATGCCCCTCTTGACCACCCTGGGTCTGGTCTGACCATCCTGGGTCGTACCCCACTCGTCTGGCATGGCAGATGGCTGGAATTGCACTATCACCTGTAGAAAGACAAAAAGAAATGGAAATACAGTCATGTCTGTGTCTGCAAACAACAGTCCACTCAAAACCATGATGTTATTTTTTGTTACGGTCTTGTTCAGTGTTCACAATTGGTAACTACACTTTGTAATTACCATTTCATGTTTTAGTAAATACCTGGTCATTCTGCACTTTACAATTAAGTCATACGAACATACCTTTGGATTGTGCATGACAATGGTTTCCCCTGATGGGAACTCCAGCCGACGGTGCCATTGGTTGGTTGACACAGCTTTCTTATATTCTCCCTACATAGAGAAGACAGCCAATCAAACAACGCTCAAACATAATATTCACTTCTCAGTCCAATCTCAGGGCTAAAACCCAACACACCACACTGTTCAGCTGTATTCTAATCTGGGTAACAGTGAAATCTGGGTCTTTTTCATTAGGGCACACTGTAGTAAAATATAGTCAAACATTTTGCAATGGAAAAGGAACACAGGACCGTTTTCTTTCATTGCGTGCCCTAATGAACACAACCCTGGTCAATACAAGGTCCTGTTTTTTGACATTGATGGGACAAACCTCTAGCTTCTCGCTGAACTCCTCTGAGTATGGGATGAAGCGGCTGTCTGTGTCTCCCTTGTAGAACCAGGTGCAGCGCCGTACCTCTGTAGGTTCCTCCTCCCAAAATACAGCTGTACGTACGCGGTCATAGAGCTGCACGTCGTAGCGCCCTCCTTCTGTGCGCACAATCACATTCTCAGGGTCTGGTTGCACTGGAGGAGAATGAACAAATAAAATCATATTAGATTCGATATTTCTTTATTGTCTTGTTTCTCAGATATTTGCTTTACGTACAAGAACATACACTACGATAGGAAAAGATTCACAACAAAAAGAGAAGACATGGCATAGGCTGGACATAACATCAACCATACAAATGAATGAAAAAAATTCAACAAAATGACAACAGACTGTTTATTAGGGCTGTTTATTAGGGTGCGCAGCGAATAATGTTTCAAAAGATTTTGCAACATTTGGTGCCTAATGAACACGCCAGATTTCCAAATTGCTCCGTTTAAACAAACAGGTTTGACAAATATCTAGGCCTACATAAACAAGAGCGCTATGCAAATTCAACTTGGATATCTAGAATATAAAATGGCTCTTATGATTATAATTTTTTTATAGTAGAAATCACATCATTTATCTCACCTGAATTGTAGATCTCCTCCAGCTGAATGGAGTCCAGGATACTAAAGGGAAGCCAGACGCTCTTGGACTCCACTTGTTTGCAGAAGAACCAGTGAGGCTGGACAGCCTCATACACGTTATAGTTGTATTGCATCATTTGATTGGCTGGGACCAGTGCTCCAGCAGTGGTGGAGTGATGGGCCATAGGGGGCGGCCCCTGAATCTGTGTGGGAGGGGGCTGAAGAGAGAGATAAAGGAAAAGTTCGCTTTTTTTACAACCAAATCTCTATTTTTTATGTAAATGGCATGTTGTAGAAGGGTCCAGACACTTTCTTTGCAATTTCAGTCATTTCCTCGTTGTGCAGTATGGGGGTTCTAAAATAGCATGAACAAATGCTCCAAAAACACCCAAATACATCCTTTTAGAAATGGATAAGCTCTCAGTATAGTGAAGCAGGTCTTTAGATGTTGTACACATGAAATTGTGTCATTCCGAAATGTATCCGCAACATTATATCCATTTTGTGCAACTCAAGCTGTTTCCCCTTTCCAGCTGTTATATTCTCTGTGTAGCCTGCTGCCGAATGGAAGGAGAGGTATCGCTCGGGTTGCAACAAAATTGAATATAACGTTGCGGATAATGTTCGGAATAAAACAATTTCATGTGCAGAACATCTAAAGACCTGCATCACTATACTGAGAGCTTTTCAGTTTCTAAAAGGACGTATTTGGGTGTTTTTGGAGCATTTGTTCAGAACCCCCGTACTGCACAATGAGGATGATTTAGTGAATCGCTGGTTGGGGTAAGTTTCTCAAAAATGAATGAAATTGCAAACAAAGTGTCTGGAGCCTTCTACAACATTCCATTTACATTTACATTTACGTCATTTAGCAGACGCTCTTATCCAGAGCGACTTACAAATGTACATAATACAATTGAGATTTGGTTGTAAAACAGCAAAATTATCCTATAAGACATTTATATTAGCCTGATTGCCAGTAGTTTCATTCATCTTAAAATAAGCGGTTCACACCATTCACTACTAAGCAATAAACAGCAACAGATACCAGTGAATGCTAACACCCTTTCAGAGTGGAGTTGTTCTTTACCTTTGTGTATGTGGAGGGTGCCGACTGGAATGTTGGCGCTTGAGAGCCCATAGTGTAGGGATTTTGCTGCAGCAGTGGGCTGGATAGCGACTGGACCTCTGGAGCTGGCATATAGGGTTTGGCTCTGCTGCTGAGGGATGTGTGACGGTACGGATTGTAACTCTGATCGGGGGCTTGTGGAGGGGGTGGGGTCACTGTGCTAGGGGGAGGAGTGTATCTTCCCATGGGGTTCTGGTAAACAACACTGCCAAATGGTTGTGGCACAGCAGGGTTGGTTAGTGGGACAGGGGGTGTTGGGGCCATGCTGGCAACACTGGGGACAGAGGTTGGTCCCGATGTCGCGGGGGCTACTGATAGTGATGCTGGGGGTGGACATGCCGGCTGATGTCCAATGGAGGCAAATGGGTCACTGCTGTTCACGGGACTGGAGAAGTAGCTGAATGTGGAGGGTGCTGGGGCATTTCCAGAGGTCTGGCCAAGAAAGCTGTCTTCTTCTCCGACATCTACAGAATCATCTTGGGAAAATAACAACAGAAATATTGGGCAACTGAGTTATACTGCAGTAGATTTAAACTTGTCAACAGTAACTTACATTCAGTCTAACTGTGAGCAATGTCAAGAATCCAATGTTAATCCACCCTTTTGAGAACCTCGACTCTGATTTACTACAGACAAATCAGATGAAACAAGGGTTCTGTTGATATGAGTTTTGTTGACCTGACATGACACACCGCTGTAGCAAGTGTTATTCTATTTATTTCCCAAGCTACAATTCCCACAGAAATATCCTGATATCTATTAAATTGCATGGATTTATAATTATTCTAACGTATAATGGGCTTGTTGGCAGCTAACTAGCTAGCAGCTAGCTAACGTCGTCTGATAGCTAGCTGTCATGTTTGTTCTAGGTGCCCTGCTGTGGCCCTAGCCTTATCTTACCTCCTGTTAACACCGCCGGACCACTGGCATTACTGACAGGTATGAAAGGTAGGTTGAAATTGAACTCCGGTGCTGCAGAAAACAGTAAATTTGCGCTGGAATTTGGCACATTATTGGTTTTCCTATCAGCCATTTTCACCCCAAATTACACGTAGCCAAGCTTATTATACAGCCAAAGCAGCATAACTTCACAACCCGGATCTCAGACGTGGTTCTCAGTGAAGGCGTTTGGATAAATTCACTGATCTGTAATACAGGTGATAAGGTCAAGTATTCCTTGTTTAGTAGGTGCTGATTGTAAACAGCTCACTGAATCTCCGCAAGTTCTTTGCAGTCTTGATGGACCGGTTGCGAAATTAAATATGAGTAAGATTCAGTGCTGCCATCTACTGCTGTGGCTGAGCTACTGCAATTAAAAAATAATACGTTTACACAAAGTTTCTGATTGACTTTACTCTCTAGTCGACAGTCAACATTAGTAACATAGATATTATTTAAAATGCAATCATATTAAAGATATTGTCGAAAATATCTCTAAAAAGATCCCGCGACTACGAGGACGTTACGTTCTAATTTCTAGTGACGCAATTTTCCCGCCAGTGTGAACACGGACTGAGTTGTGCTCCCGGAGAGAGAGTGATAAAGTTATTGAGGAATAATTATTGATATTTTCTGTAATTTGTTTTATCTGCCCTCCAAAAGATTTACTGGTAAACAATGCCTTCATCTCACGATTGGATAAACAACCCATTGGGCGTTATCGAAACGATGTTTGGTAAGAAGACAAATGCGGTGAAAGAGGTGCTGCTAGCGATACCATGCTGGTTCAGGAACTTAGCTAGCTAGCTAGCCGATGCCCGCCACTGTTAGCGAACTAGTTACGAGTTTGAAAACAGCTGATTTGCAGATAAATGGATCAATACAGATGGTCTTATCAGATTAAACAAGCTGATGAGACTGAAATAACGTACTAACGTTAGCTAACATGGAACTGCTATAAGTGTGGTTTTGTTTTAATTTTCCAAATACCACTTGCTAACGTTAGCTAATAAACATTGGTTGATTCGGAGTTAATTAATATTTAGTGGAATTTCTCTTTTGTATTATAATAGTTACTGTTGTTTCTTATGATTGGTCAATACACATGTTTACGTCTCCCCTTTACACGGTGTTGTGACTTTCTGCTGATTAGCATGCATAATGCGGATGTGGTTTGTCTGGCTCTTCTGTTGTCCTGCAGCCCAGAGCAACTCTAACCCAGAATGGGAAGCAAAAGTGTTGGAATACTTCAAAGGGCAGCTGAAAGAAAAAGAGGCTCATAGCTGGGTATGGACAGTTGAAATGTCACTGAAGAATGCTATTTATTCTCATTTGACTAACATTGGTCTCTGTGAAGTAGCAGCACACTAAGATGAATATAGAATCCAGCACACCCTGCTTTTGTACATAATTTCTAAGCATGTTTGTTTTCATTTCAGGTTCCTTCGCTAAACGATGTGCCCCTGCACTACTTAAAGCCCAACAGCCTTGTGAAATTCCGTTGTTTGGTCCAAGACATGTTTGATCCAGAGTTCTACATGGGAGTGTATGAGACTGTGGACCCCTCAACCAAGGCCAATGTAAGACCTTTCACTCTTCCATTGCTTTGGTTCAGTAGCTGCATAATGCACTATATTACACAGACACCTGCTGTCAGTGTTATCTGTCTAGACATTTGCTGAGACTCAGAGAAATTATAGGATGTTCAAGATGTATTTCACCTAGCCCTGTGAAAACAATCAGTTTTCGTTTGGTAGATAGTTCATAGTCAATATACTTGTTGAAAGTGCATAGTCAATTTACTGTAATTGTTGGAAGTATATGGTCAATAGGAAAAAGCTTTTCCGATCTTGTTCTCTTCCTCCAGTCATTTGTTGTCTGTCTGACAATTCTCAGGTTTTGAGATGTGGGAAGTACAAAGATGTCACAGAATGTGGGGTAAGCTCATCTCTAACAGGGTCCTCTGTAGCTCAGTTGGTAGAGCATGGCGCTTGCAACGCCAGGGTTGTGGGTTCGTTTCCCACGGGGGGGCCAGTATGAAAAATGTATGCACTCACTAACGGTAAGTCGCTCTGGATAAGAGCGTCTGCTAAATGACTAAAATGTAAATGTAACATTGTCTAAGCTCAGCAGTAGCCATAGTTTCAAAGATGTGTAGCTAATGTATTAGGCCTTTGCATGGAAGCAAGTGGTGTCTACAATGTAGATGTAGTTTGAGCCCTGGAGTGGCAGTGTTTTAAGATTCAAATTCACATGACTACTCTTGATTACCTGTGTTCGTCATCTTCAGGTGGATTTGAACTCCAGAAACACTGTGACTGCCGAGAGACAGACCTTCTATTGTGTCCCTATTCCAGGAGAGAGCCCTTGGGCTAAAGAGATATCCTTTCTTTCTGCTGTGGTATATATTCAACAAAGCATTTGTATTTGGCTATTTGCCAAAAGATGAGGGACTTATCATCTGCCTTTTTGGTCAAAATTTGGCTTTGAGTCTATGAATATGATTATGCAGTACGCTCTGTGATTATCCATATTAATTGTTTGTTGAATTGAGTCTGAATTTTGCTCACTATTTGTGAAGGTGAAGTGGTTTGCCTAAGTAGCTGTCTCAAGCTATGGAGTTGTTCTTAACTCTGCCACACAGCTATGGCTGTTCTAGTCAGGCCAGAGTTGTCCCATCCACCTCCTATGTCCCAAGCAGACAGAAGCGCAGCTACGAAGAGGACGACGACATGGACACACAACCCCAGAAGCAGAGAGAACCACACGCAGGTGGGTACACACTCCTTAAACATGCATCCAAGTAAAGCAGTTCTGAGTCATGTTCATTAGGGCACATTGTAGCAAAACCTTTTAAAAACTACATGCATTGAAATAGTACCTCCCCAGTTTGGACAGTTTTCTTTTAGTTTCATGCCTAGTGAACACGACCCTGGCTGGTTCAGCCAGGTTGAAGCCACGGTTTTGACAGTACTACAGTGGTTCCTCATTTTAAAAGTTGCATCATACCACAGTAGAGTCTGGCCTCCTGTAGCTCAGTTGGTAGAGCAGGGTTGTGGGTTCAATTCCCACGGTGGGCCAGTATGAAAAAATAAATAATAATGTATGCACTCACAAACTGTAAGTCGCTCTGGATAAGAGCGTCTGCTAAATGACAAAAAAACTAAAAACTGCTTCGGTGAGTCGCGGCGCTTGCCATTAATACTAATTTCAAACACCAGAGGGCATCTTTGAGCACATCTTCTTCATCTAGTCTTTTTTATCATTATTTTATTAACAAAAACACAAAGATGTTGATGAACAAATACTGTATGCTTCTTTCTATTGGATAAACAGTGTATATACAGTGAGGGGGACAAAAGTATTTGATCCCCTGCTGATTTTGTACGTTTGCCCACTGACAAAGAAATGACCAGTCTATAATTTTAATGGTAGGTTTATTTGAACAGTGAGAGACAGAATAACAACAAAGAAATCCAGAAAAACGCATGTCAAATATGTTATAAATTGATTTGCATTTTAATGAGGGAAATAAGTATTTGACCCGCTCTCAATCAGAAAGATTTCTGGCTCCCAGGTGTCTTTTATACAGGTAACGGGCTGAGATTAGGAGCACACTCTTACATTTACATTTTAGTCATTTAGCAGACGCTCTTATCCAGAGCGACTTACAGGAGCAATTAGGGTTAAGTGCCTTGCTCAAGGGCACATCGACAGATTTTTCACCTAGTCGGCTCGGGGATTAGAACCAGCGACCTTTTGGTTACTGGCACTACGCTCTTAACCACTAAGCTCTTAAAGGGAGTACTCCTAATCTCAGTTTGTTACCTGTATAAAAGACACCTGTCCACAGAAGCAATCAATCAATCAGATTCCAAACTCTCCACCATGGCCAAGACCAAAGAGCTCTCCAAGGATGTCAGGGACAAGATTGTAGACCTACACAAGGCTGGAATGGGCTACAAGACCATCGCCAAGCAGCTTGGTGAGAAGGTGACAACAGATGGTGCGATTATTCGCAAATGGAAGAAACACAAAATAACTGTCAATCTACCTCGGCCTGGGGCTCTATGCAAGATCTCACCTCGTGGAGTTGCAATGATCATGAGAACGGTGAGGAATCAGCCCAGAACTACACGGGAGGATCTTGTCAATGATCTCAAGGCAGCTGGGACCATAGTCACCAAGAAAACAATTGGTAACCCACTACGCCGTGAAGGACTGAAATCCTGCAGCGCCCGCAAGGTCCCACTGCCCAAGAAAGCACATATACAGGCCCATCTGAAGTTTGCCAATTAACATCTGAATGATTCAGAGGAGAACTGGGTGAAAGTGTTGTGGTCAGATGAGAACAAAATCGAGCTTTTTGGAATCAACTCAACTCGTCGTGTTTGGAGGAGGAGGAATGCTGCCTATGACCTCAAGAACACCATCCCCACCGTCAAACATGGAGGTGGAAACATTATGCTTTGGGGGTGTTTTTCTGCTAAGGGGACAGGACAACTTCACCGCATCAAAGGGATGATGGACTGGGCCATGTACTGTCAAATCTTGGGTGAGAACCTTCTTCCCTCAGCCAGGTCATTTGAAAATGGGTCCTGGATGGGTATTCCAGCATGACAATGACCCAAAACACACGGCCAAGGCAACAAAGGAGTGGCTCAAGAAGAAGCACATTAAGGTCCTGGAGTGGCCTAGCCAGTCTCCAGACCTTAATCCCATAGAAAATCTGTGGCGGGAGCTGAAGGTTCGAGTTGCCAAACGTCAGGCTCGAAACCTTAATGACTTGGAGAAGATCTGCAAAGTGGGACAAAATCCCTCCTGAGATGTGTGCAAACCTGGTGGCCAACTACAAGAAACGTCTGACCTCTGTGATTGCCAACAAGGGATTTGCCACCAAGTACTAAGTCATGTTTTGCAGAGGGGTCAAATACTTATTTCCCTCATTAAAATGCAAATCAATTTATAACATTTTTGACATGTTTTTCTGGATTTTTGTTGTTGTTATTCTGTCTCTCACTGTTCAAATAAACCTACCATTAAAATTATAGACTGATCATGTCTTTGTCAGTGGGCAAACGTACAAAATCAGCAGGGGATCAAATACTTTTTTCCCTCACTGTACATCATTACCTATTGTAAGGTTGTTTTTTTGTAGGGGTTCGATGTATTTTCGTCAGGGCAAATCAGGTCTGTGATATTGAGTTAGAAATGTCAGACTTTAGTCTTGTCAGGTCATCTTTTGGTCTGATAATTTCATTCAAGCATTTTAGTTATAAAAATAAGTTACAAAGGGAGCCTTGAATAATTAAACAGTAAATGAACTGCATGTTGGCTAAAGCAATTGCAATCATGAATGCATGCAACTGTTTTTAATCTTGGCTGTACTATTATTGTATTTGTTGTTCCAAATGGTCAGAATCTTTTCAATAATACATTTCCTTCTCTCTGCTGCCAATTGCCAGATATCTTAATTCTTATTAGCCAATGCCCATCACATGATCGGGTCCTTCTCACAGGCATTGAAGCTTCGAAGTAGGCTACAAGTGAAGACAGACTGATGCAACGGAGCGCGTAACGTAACAAAATGTGGACGATTCAAGGGGTCTGAATACTTTCCACAGTGTATTTGGAAAGTATTCAGACCCCTTGACTTTTTCCACATTGTTACGTTACAGCCGTATTCTAAATGGATGAAATAAAACATTTCCTCATTCATCTACACACTAACCCATAATGACAAAGCGACAACATGTTTTGAGAAATGTTTGTAAATTAATTACAAATAAAAAACAGAAATACCTTATTTACATAAGTATTCAGACCCTTTGCTATGAGACTTGAAATTGAGCTCAAGTGCAAAAACCAAGCCATGAGGTCGAAGGAATTGTCCGTAGCGCTCCGAGACAGGATTGTGTCGAGGCACAGATCTGAGGAAGGGTACCAAAATATTTCTGCAGCATTGAAGATCTCCAAGAACACAAGGTCCTCCATCATTCTTAAATGGGAGAAGTTTGGAACCGCCAAGACTCTTCCTATAGCTGGCCGCCTGGCCAACCTGAGCAATTGGGGGAGAAGGGCCTTGGTCAGGGAGGTGACCAAGAACCCGATGGTCACTCTGACAGAGCTCCAGAGTGCCTCTGTGGAGATGGGAGAACCTTCTAGAAGGGCAACCACCTCTGCAGCACTCCACCAATCAGGTCTTTATGGTAGAGTAGCCAGATGGAAGCCACTCTCAGTAAAAGGCACATGACAGCCCGCTTGGAGTTTGCCAAAAGGCACCTAAAGGACTCTCAGACCATGACAAACAAGAATCTCTGGTCTGATGTTTTTCAGCGGCAGGGACTGGGAGACTAGTCAGGATCGAGGGTAAGATGAACTGAGAAAAGTACAGAGAGATCCTTGATGAAAACCTGCTCAGGACCTCAGACTGGGGTGAAGGTTCACCTTCCAACAGGACAATGTACATTTACAAAGACTTATGTGTTTCTTAAAAGAATAGCTACTGTTTTCCGGTTTTCAAATCAATTTGATTGGCTACTTTGGTTAATTGCCTTTGTGTGCTGGCAGATTGGGCACCTATTGAAGGCCAAATGGCCTTGCCCCTAAAATCATGAAATTCCAGGCCTGACTATACCTAAAACATCAATTTCAAGTCCCTAAAAATAGAAATCAACTCAGCAAGTCTCTTGTCCTGCTGATAGATGGCTTCTTTTGTATTCCAATAATAGGTTAGGCCACCGAACGATTCACACCTGGCCCGCAGTTGAGGCATCGCCAGCTGTGAACTCTACAGCATGCTCTTTAATTATTGCCTTATGTTGGCATGCATAACATTATTTAACAAATTCTGGTATTTTGAGTGATGTGATAGACAATGCACTGAATCATACAGCATCATGCCGGTTGAAAGGAATTTTGATAATACACTGCTCAAAAAAATAAAGGGAACACTTAAACAACACAATGTAACTCCAAGTCAATCAGACTTTGCAAATGGAATAGACAACAGGTGGAAATTATAGGCAATTAGCAAGACACCCCCAATAAAGGACTGGTTTTGCAGGTGGTGACCACAGACCACTTCTCAGTTCCTATGCTTAATAATATAAATAATATGCCATTTAGCAGACGCTTTTATCCAAAGCAACTTACAGTCATGCGTGCATACATTTTTGTGTATGGGTGGTCCCGGGGATCGAACCCACTACCTTGGCGTTACAAGCGCTGTGCTCTACTACCAGCTGGCTGATGTCACTTTTGAATGCTGGCGGTGCTTTCACTCTAGTGGTAGCATGAGACGGAGTCTACAACCCACACAAGTGGCTCAGGTAGTGCAGCTCATCCAGGATGGCACATCAATGCGAGCTGTGGCAAGAAGGTTTGCTGTGTCTGTCAGCGTAGTGTCCAGAGCATGGAGGCGCTACCAGGAGACAGGCCAGTACATCGGGAGACGTGGAGGAGGCCGTAGGAGGGCAACAACCCAGCAGCAGGACTGCTACCTCCGCCTTTGTGCAAGGAGGAGCACTGCCAGAGCCCTGCAAAATGACCTCCAGCAGGCCACAAATGTGCATGTGTCTGCTCAAACAGTCAGAAACAGACTCCATGAGGGTGGTATGAGGGCCGACGTCCACAGGTGGGGGTTGTGCTTACAGCCCAACACCGTGCAGGGCGTTTGGCATTTGCCAGAGAACACCAAGATTGGCAAATTCGCCACTGGTGCCCTGTGCTCTTCACAGATGAAAGCAGGTTCACACTGAGCACATGTGACAGAGTCTGGAGATGCCGTGGAGAACGTTCTGCTGCCTGCAACATCCTCCAGCATGACCGGTTTGGCGGTGGGTCAGTCATGGTGTGGGGTGGCATTTCTTTGGGGGGCCGCACAGCCCTCCATGTGCTCGCCAGAGGTAGCCTGACTGCCATTAGGTACCGAGATGAGATCCTCAGACCCCTTGTGAGACCATATGCTGGTGCGGTTGGCCCTGGGTTCCTCCTAATGCAAGACAATGCTAGACCTCATGTGGCTGGAGTGTCAGCAGTTCCTGCAAGAGGAAGGCATTGATGCTATGGACTGGCCCGCCCGTTCCCCAGACCTGAATCCAATTGAGCACATCTGGGACATCATGTCTCGCTCCATCCACCAACGCCACGTTGCACCACAGACTGTCCAGGAGTTGGCGGATGCTTTAGTCCAGGTCTGGGAGGAGATCCCTCAGGAGACCATCCGCCACCTCATCAGGAGCATGCCCAGGGGTTGTAGGGAGGTCATACAGGCACGTGGAGGCCACACACACTACTGAGCCTCATTTTGACTTGTTTTAAGGACATTACATCAAAGTTGGATCAGCCTGTAGTGTGGTTTTCCACTTTAATTTTGAGGGTGACTCCAAATCCAGACCTCCATGGGTTGATCAATTTGATTTCCATTGATAATTTTTGTGTGATTTTGTTATCAGCACATTCAACTATGTAAAGACAATTATTATTATTTCATTCATTCAGATCTAGGATGTGTTATTTTAGTGTTCCCTTAATTTTTTTGAGCAGTGTATTACAGTTATCAACACACTCGTCACTCCCGTTCAACAACTCTAAATCGCTTTTGCATGCGCTCCAAATTGATAACTTGAAGTAACATTTAAGTAAATGAAATTATCGAAAGGAAAATGTGATTATTTATTAGCCTAGTGGTTTAGTATTTCCGGGCATATCATGTGAATTAGGCCTCATGTAAATTCATTGTCAAAAGCTCAAGAGATACTATTGCATGTAGGTCTAGATTATTTATGGGTTGATCATATAGAAATATAAAAACGTTATTTTAACAACTCCAAAGCAATTGTCTGTCTATGGCGGAGGAACCACTGACTCACTACCTTTTTCCATAATCAATGCACATGCAGGTAACTCTTAACTGTTAGGACAGCAGATGAGGTCTCCTAAATATCTGTTGACTAGGTGGATCTCTTATGACTGGAGAGGCTTCACACATAGCAAGTTATGGTATTAAGACTCAAATAATGACATTACTTATTATATTGATGATCATAATAATTGTAATAACAAGAAAGAGGGTTGAGGTGCGAGAGCTGCTTGCATATTATATGACAAACAGGTGGTGTTAGATTACAACAACAAAAAACAGCCTTTATTATAGCAAAGGTTAAAAACAGCCGGATTTGTGAAATTGCTTTATCCAACATTTTGCAGTTGCGTGAGGCTTGGTGCTCACGGAATCAGTAGGCTATTAAACAAACACTCAAACGGGCAACAGAAGCAGGATCTGTCTTATTTCTGTAGATATATAGATGATTTATAAATCCAGGCACATTTAACAGTTAGGCTGTTGATTATAGACCTAATTAAGTTGGAGTTGGACTTTTTCGTCAAATTCACTATTATACACATGGTAACAAATGAGGAAAGGCTCCAATTCAATGGCGCACTGAAGATTGTTTCAGAACCGTGGACTGCTATATTTTTCAGCATAGGACTAAGTGACTCACTCAGTTGTAGCTTTCATTCAAAATAAGTTATACTATAAAGCAGGGTTAAAGACACATTATTTCTGATCATCTTTAGCATACCCAGTCTCTTGCTCGCTACAGCTCATTTCGTTTGAATTATTATGTGGATTATAATAAATTGATATTTTTAGGGGTTGATGTATTTTTCATTAGGGAAAATCAGGTCTGTGATATTGCGTTAGAAATGTACAACTTTAGAGGACTTAAGCCTACATTTCAAGTTTGCCCTTTTTGGCCATTAGGCTGCACGTTACAATAGGTCAGTCAGAGTTATCTGTATCCTAAACTGTGGCACAAATTGGGGGATTTTTCACACCTAGCCGAGCTATTAGACTAACCCTTTGTAAATTAATGGAGGTGGGAATGTTTCTGTCCGAGAGTCTCTCCTCTTGCGCTAGAGTCCTGCATCGGGCAAAAAAATCAGCTGGCGGATGGTCCAAGAGTTGAGAGAGAACTTGGGTAAACACAATGGCGCAATTACACTTGACATGTGGATTCCGATTTTCAAAAAATAGGATACTTGTGCCTTACAGTCCATTACATAAACCAAAAGTGGGTGCTGGTGGAGAGCCACTCATAAGGCCAGCTATTGTGAAAGAATACTTATGGATCTTGTTGATTTCCTCTATCGCATCAGAGGCCACACTCACCTTGGAGGCAAGCAAACAGCCTACTTTTCACTTGATAATTATGTGGTTCTAAAGGATAAAGCGTGACCTACAGATGGATTTGTGGTGTCCGAGAGAAGCGAGCACGTTGGATGACGTCCTTTTCCTGCACAGCAGGAAGGATTTGAAGAAATCTGAGTGATGAATGGACTGTTTTTGAAGTTATTGTTTTAGTAGCTATATTATAAGGCTCTTCCAAAGCGATTTGAATTGTCAATGTGCCGCATTGTGAAAATAAAAATATATTGTTGTTTCAAGGCATTGTTTCTGTTTAGCCAAATGTTGAATAGACATGCAGACAAATGAATTAATGCAGGGAAAGAGGAATAATAGCCTACTGTCTGTAGTCATAAAAACAATTAGGCTAAATCAATGTATGTTATTTTGTTGGGTAACGGATTGACTCTCGGAACTAAGAAGTCTGCTTTTTTCTTGAATATAATCATTCAGAAGGTTAAACCCATAGGTCTTAGGCCCGCAGTAAATTAAATTAGACAGGTTCGTTTTTCATTAGGTTAAAATAATCCATGCCTTCTGGCAATGTTATAAAGTCTAAACGTTATGGGCGGAGCTAGAAAGTTGGCTGTCAGAAGTATTACAATGGAAATGTACTTTTAATCCGTCTGTCAGCATATTTCAAGACATGGCATATGAAGGTGCATGCAGTGAGATACCCGATGGGTTGGATAATACTTTTCTTGTCAATCATCTTGAAAAAACCGTATATTTAACTGGAAATCAACCGATATTCCATCGTTAACACAATGGAAAGGTCAGATGCTTTATCTAAATGTTGAAAGTGTGTGGGCAATGGAGAGAAACAAAATGGTGCAGTTTGAGGCCGTGTGGTGGAGAGTGATGGTGATTTGAGAATGTGGAGTTGAGCAGGTGTGATGTAGTCGATCATTATGTGATGATGTGGTTTGTATGTTTTGTAATGCAAAAAAAAATCAAAAGTAGTGCGCAAATTTTGGGGGGTGGAATTACCGCTCCCAACACAAATCTAATTATTAATTCTGAATAGGATTTATTTGATTTATTTCGTTTACATTCTTCATTGTAACCATAATGTCACAAATAATTGAACACACACATGAGCAGATGAACTTGGTCAAAACATTTTTTTATTAGACTCTATAGGAAAGAATGTCGTACTTATTTATTTTGATCCAAAGCCACAAATGAGTGAGTCACTCAGCTTTATGCTGACAAATATAGCTTTATGCCCCAAAATAGCCTACTAAATAGGCCAAGCCTAAGCGAATACATTAAAAATTGTCTAAATAAACTAGTACATTTCATAAATAAAACTAATTTAAATAGCTCAGGTCTTGAGAATATGAGCAACCTTTTTCTGTCCATATCCTCGCTGGACTCTTCTGTTTCTTCTTCTCATAAGCAAAGAAGGACTCCATGTTTCAGAAACTCACTTTTATATAGAGGGGCTATCAGTCTTTCCACACTGTGGTAAATAAAGCCAGTTTGTTCTCTTAGAATTCTTTGTCTGTTTTTGGAGGGAGAGAAGCCAAAAGCGTAACTCCCCCTTGTGATAGTGTGGCGCCACGACGGAATGATGCAATTTACCACAATCTGCCACCATCTACCACAGTGTCGCCGCATAAGCTCGAAACGTTTAATTGAGGAACCACTGTACCAACTGTTCTCTCTTCTATTTATAGAGCCCCATGGCAACGGGGACTCCAAGCGGCAGGAGACTGAAGCCCCCTCCAGCCAGACGACGGCCCCCTCAGACTGTTCCTCCCATCTGGACCTCAACTTTCCACTGCCTGGGGAGAGGGGGCCAGCCTGTCTAGTGAAGGTAAAACTAACAAAATCATCCTGTGATTTTAGGCCCAGACTGTCCAGTGATTGCTTCCTTTCCAAGAATTATATAATATTTTGCTGTCTTGCCTGGGTTCTGTAACTAAGCTGTATCAAGGGACTAGCATATTTCCGTGTCAGAATATTCAAGTGATTCCAAAGATCCCATTGACTCTGTCACTCACCAGGTGCTCTGTTGACAGGTCTATGAGGAGTTGGACAGCTTCAAGCTGAACGACACACTGGAGGTCTATGGGATTCTCTCAGTCAACCCAGTCCTGGCTGTGCTAAGTGAAGAAAAGTAAGGCGCTTGAGTTTGTTTTAAATAAGGTTGATTTCATTTTTGTTGTGGTTATGTGTGCGCACGTCTGTGTGTGTCCGTATTGCTCACAGCATTGTGTATCCACACAGAGACCCCTCGTCGTTGCTGCTAGACCCCACAGAGAGTATGGAGACTCCAGAGGAACAGAGAGCTCACGACCCCCCTGCTTCACTGGTGCCCCGTCTCCACTTGCTCTATGCCCGCCCCTTGCAACACAACAACCCTCTACTGCCCTCTGCTCCCACGGAGGACCAAAGCGCCTGTAAGACTAGGACACATCACAATATACGTTTACTTGTATTCACTGAGGGCAGTGCAATTCTCCCACTGACATCAATTAATTATTTATGCGAAAGTCTGAATTTGGGTCCTGATTTGAATGCTTTTTAAAATCAAATTATAGAGTTCCTTAACTGTTCCGTGGAGGTTCTGTTTTAACTTTTGGGTCTCACCTTCTCAGTTGTATCCTCTTTCCTGGTTGAGATGGCATCTGTGAGGGCAGAGCTGCTTGCTTACCTCACTCACGTTCTTCTGGGAGACGGACTGGCTGCTGAGTACCTCATACTACACCTCATCTCTAATGTGTGCGTGTGCACTCCATACACAAAGGGATGGTTTCCCAAACCCAGTTTAAGCTTAGTCCTGGACTAAACCATTCAATGGACATTCTCCATTGAGAATGATTTTTAATCCAGGACTAGGCTTAATCTGGGTCTGGGAAACCGGGCCAGAGATAAATGATGTATCTTTTCTTACACTATTTATGACTCCATATCTGTAGAGCATAGTGAGTACCCCCACAACTCTTTATTCGAATAAGCTCGAAGGTGGTTCCTGATAGTGATTGTGTGGGTCTCTGTCATCACAGGTATACCAGACGGGATGTCCTGCCTTTGGGTAAATTCACCCTGAACCTGAGTGGCTGTCCGCTCAACTCATACACAGAGCGACTCTATCAGATCATCCAACAGCTGGTGCCTTGTGTGAGTTAATATGTCCTATCATGGTCCATATTAAAGCAAAACTGGTTTGACTGTTATTTGAGATTTGAATTGTGATGCTGCAGCATTTTTGGTTGCCACTAGTAATTGAGGTTAAAATGGTATGGAACACTGATATGCAACTCTAGCCTGAAGTATGGCAGCACAGTTTCTAAATTGTCATGACTAAATTAATTTAGCCTTCCACTTAAGGTCAGTATTAGATTAGAGTCTGACAATACTGAAAGAATGCATACTTTGTAGATCCCGAGTGCTGAAGCGGGTAGCGCGTCAAAATCGTCTGTCCTCGGTTGCAACACTCAATACCGAGTTCCAAACTGCCTCTGGAAGCAACGTCAGCACAATAAGTGTTGATCGGGAGCTTCATGAAATAGGTTTCCATGTCCGAGCAGCCACACACAAGCCTACTATCACCATCCGCAATGCCAAGCGTCAGCTGGAGGGGTGTAAAGTTCGCCTCCATTGGACTCAGGAGCAGTGGAAACGCGTTCTCTGGAGTGATGAATCACGCTTCACCATCTGGCCGGCCGATGGATGAATCTGGGTTTGGCGGATGCCAGGAGAACGCAACCTTCCCCAATGTATAGTGGCAACTGTAAAGTTTGGTGGAGGAGGAATAATGGTCTGGGGCTGTTTTTCATGGTTCGGCCTAGGCCCCTTAGTTCCAGTGAAGATAAATCTTAATGCTACAGCGTACAATGACATTCTAGACGATTCTGTGCTTCCAACTTTGTGGCAACAGTTTGGGGAAGGCTCTTTCCTGTTTCATTATGACAGTGCCCCCGTGCACAAAGCGAGGTCCATACAGAAATTGTTTGTCGATCGGTGTGGAAGAACTTGACTGGCCTGCACAGAGCCCTGACCTCAACCCCATCGAACACCTTTGGGATGAATTGGAACGCCAACTGCGAGCCAGGTCTAATCGCTCAACATCAGTGCCCGACCTCACTAATGTTCTTGTGGCTGAATAGAAGCAAGTCCCCGCAGCAATGTTCCAACATCTAGTGGAAAGCCTTCCCAGAAGACTGGAGGCTGTTATAGCAGCAAAGGGGGGACCAACTCCATATTAATGCCCATGATTTTGGAATGAGATGTTCGACGAGCAGGTGTCCACATACCTTTGGTCATGTATCGCACAACATACATTACAAGACTTGAACCGTCAGACAGTTTATCAATGTACATTTAAAGTAACTGGTTACGGTTTTCCTTCTCCCCGGTAGTCTTACCGTCTCAGTATGAGCCTCCACACCATGAACAGCCTGCGTTTGGTGCCTAAGAAGGACTACGTGGCCAACCGGCTGGTGAGTGGAGCCTTGCAGCTGGCTAGGAACACCTCCCTCTTCCTGGATGAGACGCAGCTGGAGCAGGGTCAACTGGACAGCTCCGGTAAGAGGAGGGGGCTCTGGGAACTAGGGCTTTGACCCTGAGCCACTAGGGCAAGAAACCGAGGCCCTGGCCAGAAACAACTTTTAGGCTCAGACACTTGTGTAGATCTGAGAGGATTTGATGTGGTAATTGCTCCACCTTGCCCGCTGATAGGCTAGGTGGATTTTTTCGACGTTGCTTATACCTGTCTTATCCTCTCAGATCTCCACAAGTGGGGATAGGGGGTAGGGACAAGGGGTTGATTCTGGGCAGGGGGCGAAAGAACTACAGGACTGTACTGCAGTGACAAACGCGCAGCAGATATCGGAGTGCCTCTAGCTTTTGTGTGCGAAAGCCAGGCTATATTCATTAATTCATTTGGTTTACCAATTGCGGTAGTGCAATGTCATTTAATCCATCGAATAGCTTTGTGTTGTGGTAAGATGTTCATAGATATCCGTGTGTGCTATAGGTGTGCGGAACATCACTGCCCTGGGGAACCTGATCTCTTGGCAGAAGGTTGATTATGACTTCAGCTACCACCAGATGGAATTCCCCTGCAATATTAACGTGCTCGTCACATCAGAGGGCCGATCACTGCTGCCGGTGAGTACAAAGAGGGTAGAGGAGGCAAGGCCCACACCAGAGGGCGTAGGAGGGGCCCCTGTGTGTCCCCGTGTGTGTACAGGGGTTAGGTTTCAGCCAGGCTCTCAGGAGACTGACACGTGTCAAATGCCATGGGGTTGTTTCCAACCAGCGTCATCATGCTGCCCCCTCTCACTGCCCATTGGTCAGCCCCAGCCCCCTAGCAGCGCTATGGTCTGGCTTTAGAAGTTGGCCTCACTGTGTTGCAAACGGCCTAAAGAATGCGCTGTGTGCTATTTCTGTGTGTTGATCTAATGGAGTTGCTATGACTGCAGCTGTGCCACCGGGACAATCCTGGCCAGAGGTGTCGAGATAGGGCTGTCTATCAGGCCACACCACATTGAAGGGCAGGGTGAATGTGTCATAAACAATTGTGGGAGCAGATGGTCACAAGTTAAATCTTCCTGTCGATGTTGAGTACGTGTTGTGAATGTGAAATGAGCGGATGAACTCCCCAACATTTATATACACACTTAAACTCAGTGGCATGGTTTCCACCAGGCGAGCCAGTGCTTACTAGCGTCAGAGGTTTGAAATCAAGCCCTCAACATGACAACATCCTGCAAATACCTTGTCAACATATTTGCCAATCTCCCATTGACTAGATGGTCTGAATCTTTGTCAGGGCCGTTACAGGAAATAATCTCATGTTGAGTCTCGGGTTTTAAACATTAGTAAGCTGTGTCTTGCATGGAGATGGTGCGATGTGGAAATTAGGCAATCCCCCCCCCTGTGTTTCTCATAGAATCTTTCCCATCCCACAGTCGGACTGCCAGGTACCCCTACAGCCTCAGGTGACCCCACCCAACATGGAGGAGTATCTCACTACCATCCACATGGCACAGTTGACATCACAGATTAACAAGTTCCGTGTGTACCTGAGTGTGGCCCGAACCCTCGACTACAGCATCTCTGATGAGGTCACCAAGGTAAATGCTACTTTAGATTTTCTGATTTCCAAACCTGGCCTTTATGAACCTAGCTTCTGTGCTGAAAGCAGGATTGAATAGTTAAGCTCAATCAAGGTGTTTGTTTGTCGTGGTATCAGGTTTCCAAAACCTGTGTGGTTACCGTGTCCACTCCTATTTTCTATAGAAATGAGTCTTTGTTTCTTATTTTTGTTGATTCTTATTCAGTTGCCTTGTTACTGTTTTCCACAGGCAGTTGAGGATGACTTTGTTGACATGCGCAAAGATGACCCCCAGCGCGTCACCGCAGAGGACCTGCATAGGATGCTTGTTGTAGCAAGGTGTGTGAAAGTTACGTGAAAGTTATTCAGCCTTGTCCTGATGTCTTAATTCAGCATAACATGCTCCTCAAGTGAAGCAGTCATTTTGTGTCGCTAACTCGCATAACGTTTGTCCTCAGGTTGCTCTCCTTAAGTTTGGGACAGACCACCCTTTCCCGAGATGGATGGATGAGAGCCAAGCACATAGACCTGCTTCGCAGGAGCAGGACCGAACAACAGAAGAGTCTCAATGGCAACGAGCCTTAATCACAAACACCCATTCGGTGTGGAAATAAAAATATGTTATGTGGAACAAACATTTTTCATTTTGATATCAGAAGAGCACATTTTTGGAAAAGTTCAACTTAATAAAACTTTTATGTACAAAAGTTGTTGTTCTTTTTGTATAGCACTGCGATTGTATTTAGCTTTTTTGCTTCTGTGTTGGGAGATCAGGATAAGCTTTTTATCAATTGTCATATTAGCAATTTCTTGATAAGAAAATTAAAAAAAAAGTAACAGGACTACCGGTAATTGTACTGACGTTTTCAGTGCCTTGTATGTTACTGCCTTAAACTCCATTGTAGTACTTTACATTTCGGATTCTGTCTAGGTAAGTTTGTGAACTAATGCAAAATATGCTAAGCCAATGTTCACTTTTCCTCCCCTTAGTCTAGACCATAACTTCTAGTTTTTATATCAACATGTTGGATCTGGTACATGTAAACAGGGCATTTTGAGATCATTTTATTTCCCCCCCCTTATGCCTGAAAGTTCTCAGGAGTCAATACAATGATCTTCCCAAAAATGTAAAAATAAATGTCTTCAGTTTGTGAGCTATACTTGTTTGTACTCATTAAAATATGGTCAGCTTGACATTTTGTTATTTTGGGCTAATTATTAAGGGACACCCTGGATTCGGACCCAAATGCATATATCCAAAATGAGTTGAAGCATGAACATTTTCACCCAACTCATGAAACAGATTCAGAACAGTTGGACATGTAAAATAGTTTATTCAATTTACTGAAATTATTCGAGACAGTGTGTAGCTACAGTATATTTTTCATAAACCCAGGAAAAAATACTTGCAACGGTAGAAATATGAATAAATAGGTTATTTTAATATTGAATAAAATGAGTACAACATGACAAGTAAGTTTAAAGAGATGACAGTACAACCACAAACATGGGACTATGCAGGAAAATGTACTTAAATGCTGTGCATTCGTGTTGCGTCTAGTTACTCACAAATGTAACTGTACATTATCTATGGGCAGGATTAGGGTTGCAAAATTCTGGGAACTTTCAATAAAAATCCCTGGTTTTCCCAATATCCCTGTTGGCGGTTTCCCGGAATGAGGGAATATGCAGGAAATCTGGAATCCTCCAACCAGGATTTCTGGAAAACCAGGGAATTTTGCAACCCTAGGCAGGATTCTTACTGGAACATGTCTGGTAAATTTTTCCCCAACCCTGGTCCTCGAGTACCCCCAACAGTACACATTTTTATTGTAACCCTGGACAAGCACAACTGATTCAACATGTCAACTAATCATCAAGCCCTCAATGAGTTGAATGAGGGGTGTTTGTCAAGGGCTACAACGAAACTGTACTGTTGGGGGTACTCTAGGACCAGGGTTGGGAAACACTGTGGTAAGTGAAGTCAACCATTGATGCAACCTGATCTCAGCGCATTTTGTACTATTCTGTACGTAGATCCAAGACACCCCGTTTAGTACACTGTTACATTTGGTATGGTTACATAAGACCGATGGTTACTTAAGGCAAAAACGAAAAGAGGGTGGTGGATGGGTGGGCGTATAACACGAACGTCTAGCAACCCAAAAGTTGCGAGTTCAAATCTCATCACAGACAACTAACATTGTAGCTAATTTGCAACTTTTCAACTACTTGCTACTTTGCATATTAGCTAACCCATCCGCTAACCCTTTAACCCAGGGTTCTTCAATCCTGGTCCTGGAGGGCCGAAACACTTCTGTTTTTTATTTCTACCTGGTAGTTAATTGCACTCACCTGGTGTCCCAGGTCTGAATTAGCCCCTGATTAGAAGGAGAGGATGAAAAACAGAGGTGTCTCGGCCCTCCAGGACCAGGATTGAAGAACCCTGCTTTAACCTAACTCCTAAACTTAACCCTAACATAGCTAACGTTAGTCACCTAGCTAGAATTCGTAACATATTATACGTTTAGCAAATCCGTAGCATTGTATATTTTGAAAATTCAAAATCCGTAGCATTGTATATTTTGAAAATTCGTAACGTATAATACAAATTGTAATTCGTAACATATAGCATATGAAATGGTTGATGGACATCCACAAATGAATACTTACCATACGAAACGGAGTGTACATATTTACGTACAGAATAATAAAGAATGCTCTGAGACCAGGTTGTATGACAAATGAAAGGTGGTTTTAAAAGCACTTGGTATATATAAAAAATAAAAATAAAATCCCCCTTCCCCTCTGCAAATGTAAGGAATATGCCTATTGCATATGAAGAAAACAAAAAATACTCAATTCCAACATTAAAACCCCATCTCAAAAGGAATGTTTACACTTATTTTCTTAATTTTTACAGTAGGTCCAAGTTGCTCCAGTCCAGTATATGCAATCCTAAATACAATAAAATCACAAATTCAACCCTTAGCCCTGCTTAAAGCCTTATTATATTCCTATTGCATTGCAGCTATCATATTAAAGCTCTGGCAGTGCAAGACAATATCAGCAGGTCTGGTGACTGAGGAGTCAGCACCCACAATTCCCAGGACAGACAACAGTCTCGCTATATAAGGTTACAAAGCAACATGTACAACCATCCCAGACTCTGGGATACAGCTGGTGAGCAAGCTACACCACTGAATGCTGCGAAGAACAGAGGAAATGACAGATTAGTACAAAAACACAAACGTTATAAGGTGACAGTGACCATTTATCTTGGGATATTCCTGCCTGAGGAAGAACAGAAGATACTCCTAGTAGAAGCTACCACACCCGGAACATGACTGCAAATTAACCGCAAGAAGCCCAAACAGATATAATATTGGAATAAAATGTCATAATTTCAAACATTGCTTACATTTGTTTATGATCACGTGTCTATTATTCTTGGAAATACTTGGGAACAGATTTCCCAAATAAAAAATCACTTGAAGCTGATTTCCTGGTGTTTTTTATATCCAACAATGAACATTCAACAAGAAAAAATGATATATATTTTTTTGCTCAGAAATCTTGGGGGGCAAAATTCGGCCCACGGACCGCCAGTTGGGGAACCCTGCTTTAGGGGGCGTCGTCAGTGTTTAGAACAGAGCTCTCCAACCCTGTTCCTGGAGAGCTACCGTCCTGTAGGTTCACTCCAACCCTAATCTAGCACACCTGATTCTAATAATTAACTAGTTGATGGGCTGTATCAGGTTAGTTACAACTGGGGTTGGAGCGAAAACCTACAGGAAGGTAGCTCTCCAGGAACAGGGTTGGAGAGCCCTGGTTTAGAATCAGTAACGAGTTCAAATGGGTCGCGCTAACTATAACCATTAACCAAATGAGAGTAGCACTGCACTGCCTGGTTCGCAGATTATTTTATGGTATGGCCCATAGGCCACATGGAAAAGGCTATGGATCAACAGGAAAGACCTGCTGGAGCGCCCCCTTTGACTGGGAGTTACGGTAGTTCAGATACCGTTCTGTACATGGGGGGAAAATCTTCCATACATAATGTGTTCACAGGAACACCCCATATTATGAGGAGGTTTAAAAGCCCTGATTCACACAGTCACATGGCATATAGTAAACACATAATCACTAGATATAGGGCATAATCACTAGATATAGGGCATAATCATTAGATATAGGAATGTTGCTATAGCGCCTTCTAGGACTGAAAAATCATGTCAAATGGAGAATCTTCATAAACACTTCTTTTGTCCAGTATTAGGCTTAATCTAGGTCCAGGAAACTGGCCTATGTGGTGTACCTGTGTCAAATGCCATTCCATTGCACTCAATATGTATGCAAGTTTGTATCCCTCCAAAAGTTGTACATAACAGATATTATAGTTCTATTTCTACAGAGGGCACACAAAAATACCAGCAGCAGGTGCCTGGGATGTTTTTCTGCACATCTATTGTTACACAATCTCCAGTCTTCCACAGGACTGGCACTGCAAGATTGTTACACAAACATGTGCCACACAAACACACACAAAGCTCATGTCCTGAGCATTCAACACCATTTAAAAGCATATAAGCCGGAGGATGGAATATCCCAAAATAACGCTGATGTTACCCTGAAAATGATCTCATATACAGTCCCAAGATCAAAGAAATGATGCTGCACCATGACGGAATAAACTAAACTCTAAAAAGGTAGATTTGCCATAAATACCTGCTATACACAATCGCCCACTTTAATTTCCTGTTAAAGCTCACGCTTTAGATTCAGGAGTGCATAAACATTGAACAGTGTGTTTTTATAAGGTTTGGACAGGCCACGTTGCATTATTCTATATGCTACTGTACAGTGTCAAACATGAGACAGACTTAGGGTTTCATAAACCTAATGCACCCTCACAGACATTAGGTACAATCATTTGTATACTGTTTTTATTAAATCCTCTCTACCCACTAATGCTTACAGAATCAAACCAAAATTATTTTGTCAGTTGAAAGTGAATATTGGGTATTCTCAAAGAAAAACGCTCATTACCCTTCGGAAATGTTCAGCAGCAGTGCATCTTACTCTAACATCAATATGATCAAAAGCCAAAGTGTACAGAGATATAATTCTATGTCCATCAACATATGTTGGTCAATGGAAAGGTTCTACTCAGGGAACAGATATATATAAGTATTCAACCCCTTGGATTTCTTCACATTTTGTTGCGTTACAAAGTGGGATTGAAAAATATTGAATTGTGATATTTTTGTCATTGATCTACACCAGGGATGGGCAATCCCAGTCCTCGGAGGCCTGACTGGTGTCACACTTTTTCCCCAGCCAACACCCCTGACTCCAATAATCAACTAATCATGATCTTCAGTTTAGAATCCGATTAGTTTAATCAGCTTTGTTTGCTAGGGATGGGGAAAAAGTGTGTGACACCACTCCGGCCCCCCAAGGACTGGAGTTGCCCATCCCTGACCTACACAAAATACTCCATAATGTCAAAGTGAAAATATTTTTAAAATTTTTATTACAAATTAATACCTAAAATATAGCTGTTGCATAAGTATTCGTCCCCTTTGTTTAGGCAAGCCTAAATTAGTTCAGGAGTAAAATGTTGCTTAATAAATCACAATAAGTTACATGGACTTACTCTGCGTGAAATAATAGGGGTTGTCATCATTACTTATTCTGTCCCCCATACATACAAGGTCTGTCAGTCAAGTATTGAATTTCAAGCACAGATTCAACTACAAAGACCAGGGAGCCTTTTGAAAGCCTCATAAAGAAGGGCAGTGATTGGTAGATGGGTAACAATAACAAATCAGACATTGAATATCTCTTTAAGCATGGTCACGTTAATAATGATGCTGTGGATTATGTATTAAACCACCCAGACACATAAAATATACAGTCATCCTTCTGAACTGAGCTGTAGGACAGGAGGGAAACTGCTCAGGAATGTCACCATGGGGCCATTGGTGATTTTAAAACAGCTACAGAATTGCTGTGATATGAGAAAACTGATTAATAACATTGTAGTGACTTCACAATAATGACCTAAATTACTGTGAAAAGAACAAGAAGCAAAGGAATACACTGTCTTATGTTTGGGGCAAATCCAACTCAACACATCACTGAGTAACTGCCTCCAGTCTGCTTCTGGGAGAGGAATTCACCTTTCAGCAGGACAATAACCTACAACACAAGGCCAAATCTATACTGGAGTTGCTTACCAAGAAGACAATGATTGTTCCTGAGTGGCCAAGTTACTGTTTTGACTTAAATCTGCTTGAAAAATCTATGGCAAGACTTGAAAGTTGAAGATTTTTTGAAAATAATAATGGGCAAATATTGCACAATCCAGGTGTGCAAAGCTCTTAGAGACTTACCCAAGAAGACTCAGCTGTAGTCTCTGCCAAAGGTATTTCTCACATGTATCGACACAGGGGTGAGTACTTATCGAATCAATATATATTAGTGTTATATATAAGAAAAACTTTGACAGAGTATTTTGTGTAGAGCGTTGACAAAAATTACAATTAAATCCATTTTAATCCCACTTCAGTAACAAAATGTGAAGAAATCCAAGGGGGGTAAATATGTATGATAGGCACTGAACATACAATACAATACTTACATATCAAACAGTATACTATTACCATAGTTCTTGTACCTTGATTAAGTCCTACATTGGTACATTTCCTATATTGGTAGGGAAAAACTCAACAACACTGATTCTACTAGGAGTTTATTTTCTTTTTAGGGCACTATCTAACATTGAGCTGCCCTTTGTTTCCAAAAGAAGTCTACGTTTTTGACCAAATTTCCCTCTTGATTTTCAGAGCTATAAACTAGGCCTATATCACAAATGCCAATTGGTGCACTGCACATATGGGATCACAAAAGTGATAAATTCAGAGCTTGTCTCTCAACATGCACTGGATATTGCCTGCCTTATCTTACTCAGCTATTACCAATAGCCTGACATGCAAATATAGCTGGAAAATCTATTGAAAGGAATTGCAACAGGCTTAAGGACGCTGTCATATTGAGCTGGGGTATTATATACACTACACAACACTGGCTGTAAACATGGTCATGTCAACTACAGGGGAATTGAAGAGTGGGGTTCTTAGCTGAGTCAGCTTATGCTACTGCTAGCTACTGTACTGGAAGTCACATAGATACTGTACAAAAACCTGCTTAGAGGCTACAACCTGGGAAGTGCTAGATCTGTATGATCCTGGTCTGGCACTGTGTAAACATCGCCTTCAGCTCGTTCTCTTGGGTCTCGTTGAGAGCGGCCATTTCTGGCTCTGGGCTCTTCTGCACCTTCGCCACAGCAAAGTTGAGGCCTTGGGTGAGTCCAGCCTGTGTCAGGCTGGCCACCTGCACCATGGAGCTCTTGATCTTGGCAAAGGGGGAGACCACGCGACTGCCGTTGCTGTCGGCGGGTGAGGGGCCCAGGCTGCCCTCCATATGAGAGCCCAGGCTCCTCTGGGAGCTGCCGGAAGCTGCAGAGTTAGGCTTCTGGACGGTCAGGAGATTGGGGCCAGAGGCGACGTCTAGCTGGGATGGCCTGGGAGGGAGCTGGAGCTGCTCCTCATGCACCTGCTGATCTGAACCTGGGTGTTCGTCTGGGGCCAGCGGGCCCTTTAGCATGTGGAGGGACTTGTGGGTTCTGTGTGGGGACGCAACAAGCCACCTGCTCCCCAAACACCGCCACAGGTTTGGTCTGCGCATCTTGGATGAATTGGTGGCAATAGGCGTCAATGGGTGTTCCAAAGTCTATCAGGATGGCCTCCTCAGCCTCTGAGGTAGCCCCGGGGGACTGGTCTTCAGGAACCTCCTGCTTACTGTTACTGTCGCAGCCAGTCACCCGGATGTTGAGCTCCATGCTGCCTCGACTGCCTAGTCGCGGAGCCGACGCCACGATGCCGCAGCTGGGCAGCACATAGTCCACGTTCTCCAGGGAGCTGGAGCGCAGGTGTTCGTCCGAGTTGTAGGAGTCCGAGTCCGATGACATCTCCGAGTGGTTGTCACAGAGGTCCTTCAGGGCCGGGCCGATGTTGGCCCCGTCCGACGTCTCCAAGCTGCTATCAGATTTCCAGAGAGTGACCCCCATGGTGGGTTTCAGAAAGTTCACCTTCATGTCAGGCTTGGTGGAGAAGGTGTTGCCCAGCCTCCCCTTGAAGGAGCCCATGTTGACGTTGGACTTCTTCACCCTCTGGTTGAGGGAGGAGAACTTGTTGAGGAGGAAGCTCTTGCCCTGAGCCAGACCAGAGCTGCCCAGGACCTGGTCTGGATGTCTGCCCTGGATGCCCATGATGTCCTCGTGAGGTTTACTGTGCCTCCTGAAACAAATGGATTGACAACACAGGTTTAAAAAAATTATAATAATCTAATTGACATGCATGATATACAGAAGCCCTAGCTAAAATACTCAGACTTTACATTGTAAATGTAAATGTAAAGAAACAATATACAGTCTTAGTATTTTAGCCAGGGCATCTGTTTAACATGCACATCCATGTCAATTATAATTATTTTTGTAAAACCTGTGTGAAAGGGATATTACAAACTGAACTACGAGAGAAGAATATTCTGAAGATCTAAAAGAGTGATAATGCATTCCAACTCACCTCTCCAGTTTCTTTTCAATCACCTGCAGGTCAAGTCCCATGGCTTGCTTAGTTATGCGAAGCATCTCCGCTATGCACTGTAACATGTCTGAAATCAAATGAATCATTCCCACAATGGATGTCAGGACAAGGAATTCAGGTTATTTGGGGGATATACAGGCAGTGTGCTTCCAATATACCAGGTTTTCTTCACAGTCAATTCGTTTTATGCTGACAGTTTTATGAAATAAATCATCTTCCCATACCTTTACCATCATCCTCAGGATTCCTTGTGACAGCCCTTAATGTGTGAAAATAACCACTTGTCTCCCCATTATTGTAGTGTAGACGCATACAGCAGAATTTGGGCTTCCCGAACAGAGTGGGTTCTGGGCCTACAAAAGAACACATAGGACATGTTGTGAGCTTTATTCAGGAGTAACTAAGATGTTTATGGTAAATCCAAAAAATAGTCGTCGCATCATTCAGAATTTGTGTACAATAGTTAAAACCATGTCTAAAGTGCTTAGCAGCTTTACAGTGTAAAATAAATCATGAAGCTGTGAAGGACTGCTTCAGACCCGGTCTACATTTGGGAATGTTCACTTGGTGGAGCTCTATTCCTCTAGAAACACTCCTCACCTATTTCAATCTTTTCCAAACCTTCTAAGTTGAGGCGCTGGTACTGATTGACTTTGTCAGCTTCCTCATCATAGCTGTACAAACAAAAGCAAATAAACAGAATTATATAAGGAACAGCTAAAATACATGTAATTGACTCTTTATCACTGTTCTGTAATAAATCCAGGCACTTACTAGGCAACGTAATATGCACTGTTGGATAGCAGCATGAGAACATCCACATCTTTGCTGGTTGCATCTATAAGGCTGATGAGGAGAAACATTAACTTTCCACATTAACAATTTATTGAGGAATAAACACTTTCAAGGTGTTGATTTTTGAAGGGTGTCTTAATTGCTCCTGAGGTGATAAGTAAAGTTGAACTGAATTGACGCTAGCTCACAAAGTGTTGGGAGAACAAACTGAGAGCAAATTTATTCGAAAGGGTTTCAGTGTTAAAGTTGGAGTTTTGATTTGTGGATGGTTCCAGTACTAACCTCATGTCACAGTCGATAAGGGCCCAGCCCGCATGGAACTTCTCATCATCGGGTAGCAGCAGCTGCATGTAGGTCTGCAGCAGGAGGCTGACCTGCTCCTGGGTTACTCTCTGGCTCTCCTTCTCCTTCTCCTCATGCTCCTTCTCCTTACTGAAGATGGAGTATAGGTCCTCCGTCACAGGATGCCCCATCATCAGGTCTGGAGAGAGAGAGAGAGGGGAGAGGAGGGGATGAACAAGGATGGTTGAGTCACTCTTGAGACTAAACTGATTAGGACTGAGTCACGGTTTTGAGACTGAGGGTGGAATCCATTTTGATAACACTTTACTGTACTTAGTGCCTGCAGGTATAATGCTTTTTAACTTGTTATAAGCATGTATGAACCTATAATGTCTTATAATATGTTATGTCTCTATGTTTAATATTTTTAACTGACTAAAAATGGCTATTGATATTTAGTCAGGATCCTTATGAGATGATAATAAGACATTATAAGGGGGTCATACATATTCATGTCTTAGAATGAATTACAACTGCATCATAATGCATTATACAGTGGGGGAAAAAAGTATTTAGTCAGCCACCAATTGTGCAAGTTCTCCCACTTAAAAAGATGAGAGAGGCCTGCAATTTTCATCATAGGTACACGTCAACTATGATAGACAAATTGAGAGAAAAAAATCCAGAAAATCACATTGTAGGATTTTTTATGAATTTATTTGCAAATTATGGTGGAAAATAAGTATTAAGTATAGAATAAGTATTAAGTATAGATTTCTGGCTCTCACAGACCTGTAACTTCTTCTTTAAGAGGCTCCTCTGTCCTCCACTCGTTACCTGTATTAATGGCACCTGTTTGAACTTGTTATCAGTATAAAAGACACCTGTCCACAACCTCAAACAGTCACACTCCAAACTCCACTATGGCCAAGACCAAAGAGCTGTCAAAGGACACCAGAAACAAAATTGTAGACCTGCACCAGGCTGGGAAGACTGAATCTGCAATAGGTAAGCAGCTTGGTTTAAAGAAATCAACTGTGGGAGCAATTATTAGGAAATGGAAGACATACATGACCACTGATAATCTCCCTCGATCTGGGGCTCCACGCAAGATCTCACCCCGTGGGGTCAAAATGATCACAAGAACGGTGAGCCAAAATCCGAGAACCACACGGGGGGACCTAGTGAATGACCTGCAGAGAGCTGGGACCAAAGTAACAAAGCCTACCATTAGTAACACACTACGCCGCCAGGGACTCAAATCCTGCAGTGCCAGACGTGTCCCCCTGTTTAAGCCAGTACATGTCCAGGCCCGTCTGAAGTTTGCTAGAGTGCATTTGGATGATCCAGAAGAGGATTGGGAGAATGTCATATGGTCAGATGAAACCAAAATAGAACTTTTTGGTAAAAACTCAACTCGTCGTGTTTGGAGGACAAAGAATGCTGAGTTGCATCCAAAGAACACCATACCTACTGTGAAGCATGAGGGTGGAAACATCATGCTTTGGGGCTGTTTTTCTGCAAAGGGACCAGGACGACTGATCCGTGTAAAGGAAATAATGAATGGGGCCATGTATCGTGAGATTTTGAGTGAAAACCTCCTTCCATCAGCAAGGGCATTGAAGATGAAACGTGGCTGGGTCTTTCAGCATGACAATGATCCCAAACACACCGCCCGGGCAACGAAGGAGTGGCTTCGTAAGAAGCATTTCAAGGTCCTGGAGTGGCCTAGCCAGTCTCCAGATCTCAACCCCATAGAAAATCTTTGGAGGGAGTTGAAAGTCCGTGTTGCCCAGCGACAGCCCCAAAACATCACTGCTCTAGAGGAGATCTGCATGGAGGAATGGGCCAAAATACCAGCAACAGTGTGTGAAAACCTTGTGAAGACTTACAGAAAACATTTGACCTGTGTCATTGCCAACAAAGGGTATATAACAAAGTATTGAGAAACTTTTGTTATTGACCAAATACTTATTTTCCACCATAATTTGCAAATAAATTCATTATAAATCCTACAATGTGATTTTTTTTTCTAATTTTGTCTGTCATAGTTGACGTGTACCTATGATGAAAATTACAGGCCTCTCTCATCTTTTTAAGTGGGAGAACTTGGACAATTGGTGGCTGACTAAATACTTTTTTCCCCCACTGTACCTGCAGGCTTTAAGTAAAGTATTACAGGTCTTTCCTTACCAATGACTGCTTGTCTGTATGCGTCCCTAAAGCGGTTCAGATAGTAACGGTTGGCTGAGTTCACGCCGTCTTTCATCACCCCAGCCAGTTTTCTCTCCCCCGTTCTGGTGAAGTCTCCCTTTATAACGGATAATGGGTTACAGACAGAGCATGTTAAAAACAAGCGAGATATGGCAGTCACCGTCTGATCCCGTTTATACTCTTCCTGGCTTAGGGCTGTGTCGAGTAAACATTGTTCATTTTCCCCCCCTTTCAGTCTGCACAACAATTATCTTAAAGGCCCAATGCAGCCGTTTTTATATCAATATAAAATCATTTCTGGGTATCAATATTTGTACCTTACTGTACTAGTTTTCCATTAAAATTGACAAAAATAGTTTTTTAGCTACAAAAATTCTCAAACAAGAATTTAGCTAGGACTGTCTGGGAGTGGTCTGAGTGGGAAGGGCCAAACAAAAAAAACTAGCCGTTATTGGCAGAGAGGTTTGGAACTCTTTGCTATTGGTCTATTAACCAATTTACCGCCTGGTGTTGTCACCAGGCAAGCTGAAACTCCCGCCCGTTCAAAACAGGCTGATTAGAAAGTCCTGTGTAGATTTTATTTTCAACCAGCAACTATCAGGAAATAACACTGATAAAGAAAAGTCACTTTTACAGTGTTAGTTTCATCAGCTGTTGTACAATATGATACAAAACAGAATTGACTGCACTAGGCTTTTAAGTTAAACCAGTACAAATAGCCTTTCATGCGACTGCCTTTTTAAAAATGAGTTTACTCCCTTAAGAACAGCCTTTTCACAAGCAGTGTTTTCCACAAGCACATGGAGTAGCCAGCCAAATAGAAAAAGTATCCAGCCAGGATCCCCCGGTTATGATCTTTTTGCCGAACTAGCTCTATTTTGGTGGCCTCTGGTACATTCTAATGCCTTGATTCCATCCGAAATACACAGTGAAATTATTGAATACTTTATTGAGTTTACCTCCCAGATTGGAAACATTTGTTGTGGTATTGTGTTTACAATAAATATTCCTGAAAATGTATGAATTCGTTTTTGGGGGATATCGTCTAGGCCTATATGATCAGGACTATTTTCTAAGTAAGAGAACATTATACCTTTTTTAACATTTAACCTGTCTTCTCTTGAAAATACAGCATTTTACTGCAAGATATGAATTGCCACAATTATGTTTGTTCTTCAAGTTATGTATTTTATTAAAACAGAAAAATGAAGTACGTAGCCCAAATTATCTTGAAAAAATAAATAAACGTTTTCTAATGGAAAAATGAGTCTAAATAAACAGAACTGATGCTCAATTAAGTTCTGGGTCTATATGTGTTCAGAGAAGAGATTATACGACATTAGTTAAATTAGTCAAAATATTTCAACAAGTGTTTGCAACTCTCTTTGTGAATTGCAGCATGTCATTTATTCTAAAAAATACTTGATTAACAACTGACCCACAGATTTCTTCTTAAAGAATCTTGTAAGAGTCTGCTGACTTCCACAGGCTTCAAGCTTCCTTTTAAGGCATTTTCTCAGCTATCTGCAATACAGGTATGATTGAAGAATGAAGCAGGTGTTAGAATGAAGCAGGGCTTTGCTACACAGAAAGCAGCAGTTGACTACTCCATTGTCAACACTGATTAAATCAGTAGACCTACAGTATATCAATATCTTTGAAAATACCATATAAGTATCATTAGCTTTTAAAACAATTACATCTGTTTTCTTTTATCATATTTTGGACCAGAGTGAGGCGATCACTCCACTAGCCTACCTATTGTTCCTGCAGTGAGGAGGAGTCACCATCTTCATCGAATGTTTTCATAATTTATCTGCAGATAATCGGCAAAAAGCCTACCAGTATACAAATTAGGGAGCCAAATGAACGGCTCTCTTACGGATGTGATTCGGTAGGCTACTGACGAGTCACTCACTTTAACGTCAATGTCTGGCAAGTCCTGATGGACTTCATATCAAAAATACAAACAAGATCTTTAGATTACTTGTCCCGATGCGATACCATGGACATATAACTACTTTGTAAGATTGATGAATGGCAAGGAAATATGAGATCGACTTTATTCGGTCAGTTAGACACCATTTATAAACTAGACAAGCTTGCTATTCGTCAACCAAATCACAGTAAGCCTATGCGCCAACACTTCGTGGCTGCATAAGAAACACGCAAAAGAAAAATGAATGTGCCAGAAAACAATAGGCTAAGTGGATTTCGATTCATCGTTACCACATTATGTGGGACGTGCAAATTGACTCACATAGACGATAAAGGAGCATCATGCCTTCTCCCTCTGTGTAAATACATTTGACTGCAAACACAGCGTATACAACAGACACCCAGGTACCCGGACAGACAGCAGACTGTCAAACCAGAAGTGTGTTTCCCTGTCATCACTCACTTTGTGACTGACAGGCACCTGTCCTATCAATAGATCGCTAGAAGATGCATATCTTTCATTCCAGCGGGAGAGGACTCGGCCGACTTTTCCTCCTGACTTGCGAATTGAAAAGCCTAGTTAATGAATATGGTTCAATCTAGCGGGAGAGGGCTGGGATGACTTTTTTTCTGAATTGCGAAGTGTAAAAAAAAAAAAGTAGCCTAGATAATTTACGTGGAAAAAGTACCCGGCTGAAAATGAGTTTGTTATCGACTGTATAGTCGACGCAAGTGGAAAACACTGATCAGGCCATTATACAAGAACAAAATGGTGATTTCCATAAATAATGCAGAAAATGTGCTTATCTTCACATGTTATGCCATGGTTATATATCACGCATTACATGCTAATCTAAGCCGCAGACAAAATAAGAGGCTGGAGGACTCCTCCTCCTTTTCGCCGTCCTCCTGAGGTACATTTCTCCCTGCAAATTGACGAGGCCTCATATAATTGGTAGTTAAACAAGACTGAGCAAATATGTTTCATTACTTGATACATTTACCCAGGCAGCGAAGGCATCTGTGGAGAAACAAGACGGTATACTGTTGTAAGATGTAACCCTAATATTAGCTTAAACTTTACACATGCAAATGATGTTACCTTGAGGGCAGCCGTACCGGCATACTGTCTACTGATGGTGTCGCCGTTGTTGGCCCACATGACCTGGTAGATCCTGTAGCACTTGAGGGGCAGAGGCTGCTCAGGGGGCATCACACCCAGTTTCTTCAGCTGAGGGACGCAGAGGCATACAGTTAACCATCAGTCAGGTTGCCAAAGCATATTTTTTACAGTTTGTCTTTTACCTTAATATTTCATCTGATATGTATACCATGTGTCCAAACCAGAGACTTTAGTTCAAATCTGTATTAGTGCACTAGGAAATGCAATGTTATGACATCATCAGCTTTAAGTTGACACATGTTGAAAGTGGGGAGATATCTCACCTGTGCCTCCATTACAGCACGAGCAATGGAAGCCTGGACTACATTGGTCCTGTCTAGACAGTCCATGCAGTTCACCCGGAAAATGCCCTCCTGGTGGCAGATGACTCCTGCCTGGTCCACCCTGACAGAGGAACATACACTGTGATTGCATGGGGATATGGAGCCACATGTTCTATCAATTACTGATTAGTTGAGGATTTTTACTTGCACTAAAAATAGTCTCCGTTTGGGCTTGGGATGACACTCGCACACTTACCAGCCCCATCTCATGTCTGCAATAATATCGGAGATGGCATCCGTCAGCGTTTGCACATTCTCAAACTTCATCCCTCGACTGATGAGACAGAAGACCAATTAAATATATACAGGGAAAGTGCATACTATAATAAATAAATACAAGGATTGTAGTTTAGGTTATTCTTTCCTCATTAGATTTACTTATTCGATTAAATTATCTGTGCTGTCAAGATTGTTTCTGTGCAGCAATTTTCTTACCAGTGCTCATGGAAGTCAAAAGAGACATATGTCAGGTTAGGATTGTTGTATAGAAGGACTTGTTTGAGATATGCATCGCCAATAATCTTCTCACGCCCACTTTGGTCCACTAAGTTAATGATGACCTGTCAAAACAAGGGAAAACAGTGGTAAATTGCTTTACTATAGTCTTTCCGTAGATAAGTGTAAGTTCAATGAAAACTCAAACTTTGGTATTGATATTAAACCCCTAGAGACGATTGACACACCAATCTAAGTTACATAACAAAAAAATCCCCATCCAAATCTGTCAGTTTAAGCTAGAGATATCGTTTTCTTTTTTGCATTGGATGCGTCTCAATCCACCGCATCCGCCAGTATCGCATTTCCGCATCTGTGGTGAAAGGTGGCAGAGCTAGAGCGGGGTTTGTCAGACCATGAGACATCCCGAAAATCGGTCTTCTCACATAAACGTCTGTAGCGTCCGAACGGTTTGACCTACAAACCATTATGACCACTTTATGGAAATGGGAGATTCTCACCCCGACAAGTACGACCCGACAAGTGTCACGGGACTCGTCTGAAGGTAACCAGTACGGGTTAAAACAATTTTTTTATGTTAGTATGAAGGTAGTTTTGTGCCTACCCAAAAAAAAGGGTTAAATATATGACACTTCAAAACCTTGTTTCTTATGATTTTTGTTATACCTAAAGGGATTCTAAAATTCCAAATCAAATAGCTAAACGATCCATAGTATGACCATCTTAAAACAATTCCATGTCAGCTTAGCACCCCCCCCCCCCCCCCCAACATCTTAGACTCTAAAGAATCAAAGTAATACCAATGCTATAAGGCATATGCTTCTCACCTGCTTCTTGTAAAGGTTGAGCTGTTCGTCAAAGTGAGCCGCAAAGTAAGGAATGGTCTCCTTCTCTCCTGACAAATCAGACAGTACATTGTAAGGAAAACAATCCCTGTCATACAGATGATCTAAAAAAGTAATCTGGAAATTGCACATAAACTCAACAAGTAGTGATGATTATAACGGGAAAAGTATATGATGGGGTCACGTGCTTTCGTTTTAGCTTGCCCAGTGTCCTGGGTGGGCGGAGTTTGCACATTTAAGACAATTCCATTAGTTATAAAAAGAAAAAAACTCCACCCACCCGGGGGACTAGGCGAGCTTAAAACAAACACACCCATTATTCCCAAGGCATTATTTTGGATTGGAAATTTCCCACTGACCTTTCTCCAGCCGAGGCCTGGGGTTGTAGCGGTAGCCTGCTTGGCTCCAGAAGACAGGCACCGAGCCGCGGCTCTGCACAAAGGACAGTGAGTGGTTGTGCACGTGGATCAGCTGCTCGGTCTCCACAAAGTTAGCCACGTGGCCGTCTGTGTCCACCCCTCTGCGTTTGTACCGCATCCCTTTGGGGAGAGGAAAACTATGATCATTCATTCACCCTCCAATAATCATCTGAGCTTAACTGACTAAGTTATGTGAGAAAGTAATGTAGTTTCGCTGACATTTTAAGTAAGTTGAAGAGAATTTATAGTTTATTATTCATCAAGTAATTCAAGTTCTATTTAAGAAAAAGGGAAATATTTGCTTATCAAAGTGTTGCAAATAGAACCTAGCTATTTGGTCATGACCTCTGTCCTGTACCTGCACGGTGGCGACTGCGGCGGGAGATGAGGGCCACGGTGAAGCGCGGGTGGATGTCGTCCACGCAGGCGAGCTCCTGGAGCGGCGTGTCGGGGCTGTTCTTCTCCTCGTCTGGGCTCTCGTTGTAGTTCACCACCAGCTCCTCCACCTGCACAAAGCCCTGGATGATGGGTGTCACCCAGAAGTCCACTTCTGGAACCTGCGACACAACAAGAAAAGTTACAAACAAACTCTATACAGTGATGCCAAATGTAGATTAATAAAGAGGAACTTCAGTAGTTCATTATACAGTGGGGAGAACAAGTATTTGATACACTGCCGATTTTGCAGGTTTTCCTACTTACAAAGCATGTAGAGGTCTGTAATTTTTATCATAGGTACACTTCAACTGTGAGAGACGGAATCTAAAACAAAAATCCAGAAAATCACATTGTATGATTTTTAAGTAATTAATTTGCATTTTATTTCATGACATAAGTATTTGATACATCAGAAAAGCAGAACTTAATATTTGGTACAGAAACCTTTGTTTGCAATTACAGAGATCATACGTTTCCTGTAGGTCTTGACCAGGTTTGCACACACTGCAGCAGGGATTTTGGCCCACTCCTCTATACAGACCTTCTCCAGATCCTTCAGGTTTCGGGGCTGTCGCAGGGCAATACGGACTTTCAGCTCCCTCCAAAGATTTTCTATTGGGTTCAGGTCTGGAGACTGGCTAGGCCACTCCAGGATCTTGAGATGCTTCTTACGGAGCCACTCCTTAGTTGCCCTGGCTGTGTGTTTCGGGTCGTTGTCATGCTGGAAGACCCAGCCACGACCCATCTTCAATGCTCTTACTGAGGGAAGGAGGTTGTTGGCCAAGATCTTGCGATACATGGCCCCATCCATCCTCCCCTCAATACGGTGCAGTCGTCCTGTCCCCTTTGCAGAAAAGCATCCCCAAAGAATGATGTTTCCACCTCCATGCTTCACGGTTGGGATGGTGTTCTTGGGGTTGTACTCATCCTTCTTCTTCCTCCAAACACGGCGAGTGGAGTTTAGACCAAAAAGCTCTATTTTTGTCTCATCAGACCACATGACCTTCTCCCATTCCTCCTCTGGATCATCCAGATGGTCATTGGCAAACTTCAGACGGGCCTGGACATGCGCTGGCTTGAGCAGGGGGAACTTGCGTGCGCTGCAGGATTTTAATCCATGACGGCATAGTGTGTTACTAATGGTTTTCTTTGAGACTGTGGTCCCAGCTCTCTTTAGGTCATTGACCAGGTCCTGCCGTGTAGTTCTGGGCTGATCCCTCACCTTCCTCATGATCATTGATGCCCCACGAGGTGAGATCTTGAATGGAGCCCCAGACCGAGGGTGATTGACCGTCATCTTGAACTTCTTCCATTTTCTAATAATTGCGCCAACAGTTGTTGCCTTCTCACCAAGCTGCTTGCCTATTGTCCTGTAGCCCATCCCAGCCTTGTGCAGGTCTACAATTTTATCCCTGATGTCCTTACACAGCTCTCTGGTCTTGGCCATTGTGGAGAGGTTGGAGTCTGTTTGATTGAGTGTGTGGACAGGTGTCTTTTATACAGGTAACGAGTTCAAACAGGTGCAGTTAATACAGGTAATGAGTGGAGAACAGGAGGGCTTCTTAAAGAAAAACTAACAGTTCTGTGAGAGCCGGAATTCTTACTGGTTGGTAGGTGATCAAATACTTATGTCATGCAATAAAATGCAAATTAATTACTTAAAAATCATACAATGTGATTTTCTGGATTTTTGTTTTAGATTCCGTCTCTCACAGTTGAAGTGTACCTATGATAACAATTACAGACCTCTACATGCTTTGTAAGTAGGAAAACCTGCAAAATCGGCAGTGTATCAAATACTTCTTCTCCCCACTGTATATTTAACATAGATTTAAAGGAGTACAATGCAATTCATTCAATCACTCCAATAATACCTGCCACTAAGCCTTTCCTTGCTAAAACATTTCCCTATTATTCAAATAGGGTTCTGCAGAAGTGACTGCCACACTAGTGCACCATGACCATCAGCACTCTTATATCTGACCATTCACAAATTAATATCTAGTCTATCCATTCCTGTCAAAACAGTTTTGAAATGAATCAGTTACCTGCAGATCAATGAGCTCCTGGACCATGTGTTTGTTCCAGAAGAATCTGTCATCCACCTTGAAGATGAAAATAACTATTATCAGTTACTTCATTTGACTTGTTGAAGCTCAGTTAAACCACCGATCTTAAAGACAGGAAATATATGTGGTAAAATACTACTGTACTTAAACCGACCCGATTTAATGCAGCCTGCGGTTATTTTAGTAAATGTCTCAGTAAATGCGACCTGTGTGCGCTGAGTGTAGTAATAACCCCTAACCTGGTTCCATAGGGGCAAGTTTGACTTTTCTGTGTCTCCCTGCCGCTGCACAGTGTTGGTGAGGTCATAGGTCATGCTGTAGTAGAAGGAATCGGAGTCCATGAATATCTTGTACAGCTCATCGAGCAGCCGTCTTTCGAGACGTTCCCTCTCTTTGTTTTCCTTGACCTGAAAGGCAGGGGAATACTGGGTGGTGGGCATGGACAGAGATGGTATTACATTGGCAAAATAAAAATATGGAAAGGAAAAAAATAATTTAAATGAACAAAAAAAGCATTGTATACTGTCAAAGTTACTAAAAAATGTACTATTGTAAAAACAACAAATAAAAGCAAATGTATCAATTCCAAAATGTACAACAGGTATGTAAGATGATAATACATGGGATATCTGAGCACAGTACTAAATATTATATTACCTTTTTCTTAGTGGGAGCCCCAACATTGGACTTGATCTGACTCAGAGTTTTCATCAGGAACTTCGACTCATCTGGAGACTGTGCAAGCTTCTCTGGTTTGTCGATCCCAAAGTGATGCTTCTTACAAAGCTGAAAGAAAAGGACAGACTTTCTATCCCACTTTCTATGTAATTGTACATTGTTAAGATACCAACATCATCTTCCGCTGTAGTGATGTGTGACAGGAATTTCAATATGAACTCTGGGTAATACACTCACTTTTAAACCATTTGAAGGCATTACCATTCATTCAGTTCAGCTTAGGCTAATTGAGTATACCAAAGCATTCTGATATTAATCTTCCTTATAATTGAGTGCATGATGAAAGTGTTCCAAATATATGTAAATGTATGTACAGGGAATGATAGACAATTGGGAATATACTGGTAGACATGTCTAATAGGTTGATTGACAGCTAATCGGTATGGTGTCCTTGGGTTAACTGGGTCTCTCAATGAGATTGCTAAACAATTACATCAATTCAAAGCTACCAAAAAACAGTCAACAACATCCAAAACTAGTGGTTTATAAAACTCTCTAAATACAACTTCACAGGGCTACTGAATTCCTAACCTAGACGGGATGGAATAATCATTCTGTGGTATGGACAGTACGTAGGGCAAGGATCTAAAAACATGCCAGAGAAATGATTATCCAACACATCCCGTTCTCTGGAAATGTTTCACTTACTTCCTCATCATCTGTATCTGTATCATCATCATGGCTCACCTGTAAGAATGGCATCTAAGCAAAATCCTGATTCCTCTGAGATCAAAATAACACTATTGTGATATCCATCTTAAAACGGTGATTCATTGCTATTGACTCAAGGAGTCAATCAAAACAGGGCAACCGAGATACTTTACTAGAAACATTGAAATATATATATTTTTTTTTTAACTCAAGCCAGCCTAGATGATAGCTATGGTTTTCATTACATCTCATGATGACTGTAGCCTTGATTGAAAAAGGAGACTACAATAGCACATCAGTGGCTACTTTAATGTGTTAATTGCTGCATGTGTAAACTTCTCAAAAAAGGCCCAATACTACTTGAGTGCTCAGAGATCCAGAAAGCTCCAAGATAAAACGGGCCTCATCACAGTCTCTCACCTCCAGCTCCAGCTCCAGAGGCTCTTCCTCAGACAGAGGAATGACAGCTATCTTGGTGATCTTGTAGACTTTGTGGTCACCTGGCATCTGGCCAACCAGCATTTTTTGGCGGATCAGTATGAGACCCAGAGGAAGATCTGCCAACAGAAAAGGGGTAAAGGATATGTCATCACAGGCACATAATTCCACACATTCCGTTAGGTGTGACTTCATCAGCTGTTTTCTCTCAGTCTGTGGTGACACACAGGATTTACATTTTAGTCATTTAGCAGACGCTCTTATCCAGAGCGACTTACAGTTAGTGAGTGCATACATTTTCATACTTGCTTAGCATCTGGCTAAGCGAACTGAAATTTCACCCATGAAAATGCACGATTCGTTAGAATCAGAAGTATTTGCATGCTGTTCTCTTCTAAAACCAATGTATTATGTAGGCTTTCTAATGCATTTGCTTTGCCTTTTTATAAAGCGTGTGAGGATCCACTGAACATCCAGCGCTGTACATACCTCTCTGAACAAACTTCCAACACTGTCTGTTACAGCATTATCAAGTCAAACTGACATTTATTTCAGATGGTAAACAAGTTCTTGCAGACTAACTCATCTTTCACAGTTATGTCTCAGTACTTTTCCTCAATCATTTAGCACACCTTTGTGAGTGTAATAAACAACATAAGAATACAATGATGAGCATATACAGTTGAAGTCGGAAGTTTACATACACCTTAGCCAAATACATTTAAACTCAGTTTTTCACAATTCCTGACATTTAATCCTAGTACAAATTCCCTGTCTTAGGTCAGTTAGGATCACCACTTTTATTTTAAGAATGTGATATGTCAGAATAATAGTAGAGATAATTATTTATTTCAGCTTCTATTTATTTCATCACATTCCCAGTGGATCAGAAGTTCACATACACTCAATTAGTATTTTGGTAGCATTGCCTTTAAATTGTTTAACTTGGGTCAAACGTTTTGGGTAGCCTTCCACAAGCTTCCCCACAATAAGTTGGGTGAATTTTGGCCCATTCCTCCTGACAGAGCTGGTGTAACTGAGTCAGGTTTGTAGGCCTCCTTGCTCGCACACGCTTTTTCAGTTCTGCCCATAAATGTTCTATAGGATTAAGGTCAGGGCTTTGTGATGGACCACTCCAATACCTTGACTTTGTTGTCCTTAAGCCATTTTGCCACAACTTTGGAAGTATGCTTGGGGTCATTGTCCATTTGGAAGACCCATTTGCGACCAAGCTTTAACTTCCTGACTGATGTCTTGAGATGTTGCTTCAATATATCCACATCATTTTCCTTCCTCATGATGCCAACTATTTTGTGAAGTGCACCAGTCCCTCCTGCAGCAAAGCACCCCCACAGCATGATGCTGCCACCCCCGTGCTTCATGGTTGGGATGGTGTTCTTCGGCTTGCAAGCTACCCCCTTTTTCCTCCAAACATAACGATGGTCATTATGGCCAAACAGTTCTATTTTTGTTTCATCAGACCAGAGGACATTTCTCCAAAAAGTACGATCTTTGTCCCCATGAACAGTTGCAAACCGTAGTCTGGCTTTTTTATGGCGGTTTTGGAGCAGTGGCTTCTTCCTTGCTGAGCGGCCTTTCAGGTTATGTCGATATAGGACTTGTTTTACTGTGGATATAGATACTTTTGTATCTGTTTCCTCCAGCATCTTCACAAGGTCCTTTGCTGCTGTTCTGGGATTGATTTGCACTTTTCGCACCAAAGTATGTTCATCTCTAGGAGACAGAACGCGTCTCCTTCCTGAGCGGTATGACGGCTGCGTGGTCCCATGGTGTTTATACTTGCGTACTATTGTTTGTACAGATGAACGTGGTACCTTCAGGCGTTTGGAAATTGCTCCCAAGGATGAACCAGACTTTTGGAGATCTACCATTTTTTTTCTGAGGTCTTGGATGATTTCTTTTGATTTTCCCATGATGTCAAGAAAAGAGGCACTGAGTTTGAAAGTAGGCTTTGAAATACATCCACAGGTACACCTCCAATTGACTCAAATGATATCAATTAGCCTATCAGCAGCTTCTAAAGCCATGACATTATTTTCCAAGCTGTTTAAAGGCACAGTCAATTTAGGGTATGTAAACTTCTGACCCACTGGAATTGTGATACAGTGAATTATAAGTGAAATAATCTGTCTGTAAACAATTGTTGGAAAAATTCCTTGTGTCATGCACCAAGTAGATGTCCTAACCGACTTGCCAAAACTATCGTTTGTTAACAAGAAATTTGTGGAGTGGTTGAAAAACGAGTTTTAATGACTCCAACCTAAGTGTATGTAAACTTCCGACTTCAACTGTAGATAAGGCTGTTTTTCTCCAATGTGAAAAAAAAGACTTGGCATTTATGAGGGCTGAGGCACTTGCTACAATTAATCTAAAAACCTCATTAAGGCAACACAATGATCCAGTAATCCTCTGTGTTTTCATGATGAGTCGCCCCAAAAGCATCTACCGCACAAACATTACTCATACTAGCCTGTAGCCAAGCCCCAGGCCTAGCCTAGGGCTACATTCTTGGGCTTGTTAGGGGGTGATCTGTGTTGTATATTTGAGGACCACTGATGAGGTTTGAAAGCTATAAAAAGCTCAAGCGAATAAAGAACAGAAGAAAGGCACGGTTTCAGAGAATAAAGGTACAGTAGTAGCCGTCTTGTGCAAGGGTCCACACTGCGCAACATTTAAAAGCATACATACATGTCAAGTCATATCTCAAATTATCCAGTTGTGTCAAATGTTGGTTAATAGCCCAGTACTTGTAGCACAAGGCCTACACCATATTCTTACCTGTATGAAGTTGTATTTTCCCGATGAGACCCTCAACCAGGCCCAAACACATTGGGTTCCAAGCTAACAGCAGGTCTGTTGCTGAAATAATAAAAGAGAAGAGACAATCAGAGAAAAGAAAGACTTGTGGAGTGGACACAAAGTAAAAACATTTTCTAAGAGAAATAGCTCTACACACTAAGAGCAATGAAGCTATTTGATGATAAACAGTACATGCATATAAGCCTATTTTCCAAACGGACCACCTAGTTGATGGATTGCAGCCTAATAATATTTACATTCCACACGGCTGTGGACCATTTCCTGCACCTTCCATGCTAGGCTTGGACTGAGCGTTTCTGTTTGTACTGTTAGGAATCATGGAGCATCACCAGTATGCAGCCAAGTTCAGAAGTATTTAATGCATCAAGAGATTCTTCTCACAGTTAAAAAAGACAAGTGTTATCAATTGTGTAGAATAGTACAAATGATGTAGAGAATACATGGGCAGAATACATGACAATTTCTTTGCCTCCGAAGCAGGTCATAAAGGATCACAGGCCCTGGATGGAAACCTAGCTAGTGTCCGAGTTTCCATTCTTTAAAAAAAACGGTGTAGTAACATGACGCACTGAGGCATGACTACATCACTGCCAAATGACTCCATCACAGCTAGCCTACAGAAAACTGACTGAAGCTGCTGACTAAAACTTTGTTATAACAGAGAACTAGACTTCAACTGCTTGACACACCCTTGAAGAGTTGAGTCATGAATGGGTGACAAAGAGGGTGGAGACTGGAGAACATCTAGGCAGCTCAGACAATAACTCTTCCTGTTCCATGGAGCCAGAGAACTTTTATGTACCGGCCTCAGCATTGGAGTCCGGGCAGGGCGGTGGAAAAGAAGGGCTGCCCCTACACACCTCTCTCTGTTTGTCCATGATACAGACACGCTTACATTAGGGTGAAACTCCACCATAGTTGTTCAGAAGTGTGAAATATTGTGGAAATTCCTGTCAGTGCTAGTGTCAACAGGCCCAATGAGGAGTAGAAATCCTTTTCCGATTAAATAATGGAAGAGTGGTGCAACCCAAACCTGTTCAGGCTGGCTGCACACACATGTGACCTCAGCCAGCCCACAGGGTACTCATTCACATCCACACACAATGGCTGCTCCTTCTCCCAACTGCCTTTTTGTTACTACAGAAAGGCAAGCTTCACAGGCTCAGCTGCTGGCTTTGCTCTGAATTTTCCCGGCATTGCTCATCACAGAAGGGGAGGTGTTTTGACAGGAGCACAAGAGCTAGCGATCTGGCCTAACTATGCTCGTCTCCCAAGAAGCAGTCCAGCAAGGTAGTTTAGTGTGTAGCAGTGAGCAGCTAACTAGTCTGAATATGTGGAATCCAGTGTAAGGAAATAAGGAACCACTGGACCAGATGCTTGAGTGGTATTTCAGGAAATGAATGGTTACCCATGTAGCCACAGGAATCTATTAAATAAATCTTATGAAAGACGAAGAATGGATGGAGGGAAGAATTATGAACCCTAACAGCTGTTTTGTTCAATACTTCACTATTTAAAGACATTTAAAAAACAAAACATATGGAACAATGACATCATCATCTGCTCTCCCGAATCATGGTTAGATTTGATTTAAATGGAACCCCTGCTGCTAAATCATTTTTACTGTTGTCCTCGAGCGTCCTAGTTCTGCACAACATCAGCATCACCGTGTCTGTTTATTCCAAATATCAGGTCAACGGGGCAGCACTCCACATGAAAGTAGGGCAATAATAAAGATGTAATGGCTTGGCAGTTAGGATAATTGTCTCGACAGCTAAATAGTTGGGAATAAATTATATCATTACAATGCCAAAATGGAATGAAACGCACTCGAATTTGAGTAAGGTGCGCTGTCTGACCCACAGATTCTCAACGTTACATAGTTTCCTACATAGCTGTCATTGTAAACGTGTATAGCAGTGCTAACTTGGATAATAAAGACAATATGAAATGCTCATGCCATGGGCTTGACATTGTAATTTAGCTATGGCTTTGCTGTCCGAGATAGCTAGATGATGTAGCTATAAAAAATAATAATTGACAAACGTATTTTGCTTACCAGGTCTGACATTCATGGTCCCATCTATTCGGCTACACCAAAGAGCATGATCCCCACTCTGGAGAATGTAATGGTCTTTGGCTTGAAACAGCTCCATTTTGACCGTGTATGTCAAAACATGTAAATATAACTGTGGTTCAAACCGTTTAGCTAGCTATCTAGCAGAGAAATTTGCTGGCTGGCTAGCTAGCTAACGTAACGTTAGTTGTGTGTTAGCTAGCTAGCTAACGTTGCTGACAGCACGTTGCCCTAGCAAGTTAGCTAACGTTTGTTTTGGTTATTTGATATCGTAGTTCAAAAAGTAGCCATAATGTCAATCAGGTGAGAAACTTCTTCAATGTGTGAAAATGTCGCTGGCTTATCATTTCCATTTTGAAGCCCGACACTGTCGATTTCCTGCAGAAACAATCACACGTGACCTTAGTCGTCATCCGATATCTACCTCCACAGGAGGTGCGTTCAGTTCAATTCAACGTTTGCTACGTTGCGTGGCAGTTTGTACTGAACATAGAAACTATAGTACTGAACAACACGTTTCCAACAATGGTGCAAACCGTTCTTCAACAGCTTTTGAGGTACGTTTTCTCCCGTTTGTGGCCGTGGGTGTGGCGAGGTGTGGCCTGATCAATATGGGTGTGACCATTTGAAATAGCAAAACTCGTGCAGCACACACCATACACAATCTCTATCTGGGCCACAATAATCACACTGTTCTTGAACTGGCCCAGACAGAGACACTGTAGAGGAGATGGGAAACTCCATTGAAATAGTTTTAACGCCCATTATGTACTTTACCCATGCGTCGTCAATGGGCCGCGCGGGCTACTTTGGGACAAGGAGAGCTCTCCTTCAAGGAGTGAATGGGAGTCAATTGGGCGCTAGCTCAAAAACCCAACATTAGCATGAATTTCGTGAACAACAAGTATAACATTACACATATTTTCCGAGATGTAAGATAACTAACTTGTTGTCTGTAATATCGTATAGCTTTGGAATCGTGACATTACGTACTTTCGAGGAAAATAGTCAGGTTTCGTGACTTTGAGAAGGGATTGCGCGAAGATTAGTTTAGCAACAAGTGTGACGCAAATTGACAACGTCAACGCGATTAGTCAACAGTCTGCTGGGTGGGGCGTTACACGCTCTTTCATTAATTGTCTAATGGGATTTCTATCTCCTCCTTTCTCTAATATATCTGGCCCAGGTTTACTCTATTAACCTCAGAACAGCCTCAATTCGTCGGGGGCTTGGGCTCTACAAGGTGTCGAAAGCGTTCCACAGGGATGCTTGCCCATGTTGACTCCAATGCTTCATATACTTTGGGTGGTGGACCATTCTTGATACACACAGAAACTGTTGAGTGTGAAAAACCCAGCAGCGTTGCAGTTCTTGACACAAACCGGTGTTCCTGGCACCTACTAACCCATTCAAAGGCACTTACATTTTGTGTCTTGACCATTTACCCTCTGAATGGCACACATACACAATCCAGGTCTCAATTGTCTCAAGGCTTAAAAATCCTTCTTTAACCTGTCCCCTCCCCTTCATCTACACTGATTGGTGGATTTGACATCAATAAGGGATCATAGCTTTCCCCTGGATTCATGTGGTCAGTCTTATGTCATGGAAAGCGCAGGTGTTCTTAATATTTGTATACTCAGTGTATGCTCCCCTAGTGAAAAACACGCAGTTGGTGGTGAACAGGACATTGAATTGAATGTATTAAACCTATAAAAAAAATCACCCCTCGTCAAGTTAGAGTGCTTATTCGCTCTTATTAATTATCCTAAATGTGTGTCAATTTTACTTGGTTCCACAGGGACGTGTAGATCTACCATGTGTTGCTTGTGTCAAATAAGACATGGAGTCAAGATGTGAAGTGATGGTGAAGATGCAAGGAGAGGTTTAGGTTTGAGTAAACCATGTAGAACCACTTGATAGCAAGGATAGCAACTTATCACAATATACTGTAAAAGCACTCAATTATAGACCATTTCAAAATAATACATTTTATTTGCAACCATGCCAACGTGACTCCAAGCTGTCAACACTGCCACAACCTGCAAAGCACAAGCGGTGATAAACAATGCATACTTTTAACATTGACCCTTGAATTGTTATTCTTGATTAGCATTTGATGCTGATAGTCTCACATCTCATGTGAGATTATGCAGCTCACATCCAATATTTCTCAATGTATTCTTGAATTAAATAATTCCTTTCTTTAAATAAATGAATGATATTTGGATCATATTGCAAGTGAACTTACAAATGTACAATTATTCAAACAATCTACCAGTTTCAAACGTTACACCATAGACTTGAATCAAAGGTCAATGGATGGAATTGTTGTATGTTACATCAAGATCCTTTCATAACATTTAAATAGGCCTATTATAATGGTGAAATAAGTGCCAGGGCCCAGTTGCATAATACACCCCTCATCAATCTACACACAATACCCCAAAATGGCAAAGCAAAAACATGTTTTTAGAAATTTTAGCACATTTATTAAAAATAAGAAACGGAAATATGACATTTACATAAGTATTCAGACCCTTTACTCAGTACTTTGTTGAAGCACCTTCGGCAGTGATTACAGCCTTGAGTCTTCTTGGGTATGACATTACAAGCTTGGCACACCTGTATTTGGGGAGTTTCTCCCATTCTTCTCTGCAAATCCTCTCAAGCTCTGTCAGGTTGGATGGGGATCGTCGCTGCACAGCTATTTTCAGGTCTCTCCAGAGATGTTTGATCAGGTTCAAGTCCGGACTCAAGGACATTCAGAGCCTTGTCCCGAAGCCACTCATGCGTTGTCTTGGCTGTGTGCTTAGAGTCGTTGTCCTGTTGGAAGATGAACCATCGCCCCAGTCTGAGGTCCTGAGCGCTCTGGAGCAGGTTCTCATCAAGGATCTCTCTGTACTTTGCTCCGTTCATCTTTCCCTCGATCCTGACTAGTCTTCCTGTCCCTGTCCCTGTCGCTGAAAAACATCCCCACAGCATGATGCTGCCACCACCATGCTTCACCGTAGGGATGGTGCCAGGTTTCCTCCAGCTGTGACGCTTGGCATTCAGGCCAAAGAGTTCAATCTTGGTTTCATCAGACCAGAGAATCTTGTTTCTCATGGTCTGAGAGTCTTTAGGTGCCTTTTGGCAAACTCCAAGCGGGCTGCCATGTGCTTTTTACTGAGGAGTGGCTTCCGTCTGGCCACTCTACCATAAAGGCCTGATTGGTGGAGTGCTGCAGAGATGGTTGTCCTTCTGGAAGGTTCTCCCATCTCCACAGAGGAACAGCTCTAGGAAGAGTCTTGGTGGTTCCAAACTTCTTCCATTTAAGAATGATGGAGGCCACTGTGTTCTTGGAGACCTTCAATGCTGCAGAAATGTTTTGGTACCCTTCCCCAGATCTGTGCCCCGACATAATCCTGTCTCGGAGCTCTACGGACAATTCCTTCAACCTCATGGATTGGTTTTTGCTCTGACATGCACTGTCAACTGTGGGACCTTATATAGACAGGTGTGTGCCTTTCCAAATCATGTCCAATCAATTGAATTTACCATAGGTGGACTCCAATCAAGTTGTAGGAACATCTCAAGGATGATAAATGGAAACAGGATTCACCTGAGCTCAATTTCAAGTCTCATAGCAAAGGATCTGAATACTTATGTAAATAAGGTATTTCATAAAATAAGGAATAAGGTTGTAACGTAACAAAATGTGGAAAAGGTCAAGGGGTCTGAATACTTTTCGAATGTATACAGCTAGCTAGCTGGTTGATGTTTTGCTTTTGCAACAAGGGCAGAGGAAAGCAACATTCACCTCCACATTTGCTCTGTACATTGATTTGATATCCATAGTTAATGAAGCACAAGGGAACTCATGGGCACCCTTAACTTTTTCACTTTATTTAAGGAAGAAATTCACCTTAAAATGTTTTGGAAACTTGAAGGGGAAAAGATAAAGGAGAAATTAACTGAAGATTTCTCATGCAACCGGGCCCAGGACAGCAAAACAGGCAATGCACCTACGGGCTGAAACTAATGAAACCCAAATTAACCATATAATTTGTTGGGTATGTGTGTGAAATAACTATTTTTTCATTGAGGAAAAAAAAGAAGATTTTGCTCTCAAGTGGCTCTGTCATCTGAGGCACAAAAATAAATGCTTTTCTCTGACTGAGTTATTAACATTCACTAATATTGATTTGTCCCATTTCTTCTTACAGAATCTGAGGTAAATATTGTTTCTCGAAGTAGTGGATTAAAAATAAGAGGAAATATTAGACATCTCTTAGAATCGCCACAGAAGCCCTTTCTTATAGAGATGTCGTCTACTACTATCCATACCAGTGTTCTTCTTATTGAATATGTATTGAATAACTTTAAAACAACCACATCACATGATCCGAAATCAACTACATACACGTCCATTTTTTTCTTATATATGGATGGATAAAGGCCTCTTATATAACCTCTATACTGCATGTCTCTTTAACACGTTGATCATGAAAATGGTCTTGCAAAAAGACATCGGCACAGCAAAAGACGACAACAATGGCTTAACATCATTGAATACATGTTGCACTCCGATACCACCATCACATACAGTATGTGGCGAATGCCAGACAATACCAACACTGTACATTAAGTAATACATGCATCGTATAGTTCATATGTGATATCTGCAGTAGAAAGGGTGGTATAGGGACCATTTAGAGCAGCCTATTTCCACGTTACCTTTGACTACATTTCGCTCCTCTTCACTCTAATCAAGCTATACAGTCATTATGAGATCTCTCTGGCCATCTCCACATTCGCTTGGCTGATCATGCTGGGCTGCTCTGCTTTCTGTGGCAGGCTGTCGCCCTCCATCGAGGACTCATTGACTGACCCCGATGGCCGCTCATCCAGCATCTCCAGTGCATCCAGTGTGTTCTGGACCCTCCGGACTCCGTCGCGTCGCGCCTGTCGCACGTCCACACGCCCCTCTGGGTCCACGGAGTCCAATGCCAAAAGCTCTTTGGTCAACAGCTCCTCCAGTAGCAAGTACCTCTTATCGTTCTTCTTCCCATCAAAGCATTTCACCTCTTGCTCCAGTTTCACAACTCTCTCCTCTATCTTTTGCACTTTAGCCAAGCCTGGGTGACACGGAGCGGTGGGCTCGTTTTCTGATTTTGGGGGCAGGTCCTCCTGTGGAGCAGGAACAGCCACTGGCTCCTGGGCTTCTGGTTTCGGAGACATCTGGACTGTGATGTTTGCTGTCTGTTGTGGCTGCAGTTGCGGCTGTGGCTGGGGTTGTTGTGGAGGTTGTGGTTGTTGCTGGGACTGTTGTGGTTGTTGATAGTGCTGCGGTTGTTGTGGTTGTTGGTACTGTTCAGGTTGTTGGTATTGTTGTGGCTGTTGGTACTGTTGTGGCTGCTGTGGTTGTTGTGGTTTTTGGTACTGTTCAGGTTGTTGGTATTGTTGTGGCTGTTGGTACTGTTGTGGCTGCTGTGGTTTTTGGTACTGTTCAGGTTGTTGGTATTGTTGTGATTGTTTTGGCTGTTGGTACTGTTGTGGCTGCTGTGGGAGTTGTTGTGATTGTTGTGGCTGCTGTGGTTGTTGTGGCTGCTGTGGTTGTTGTGGCTGTTGTTGATAATGTTGTTGCTGCTGTGGTTGTTGTGGTCCTTGGTACTGTTGTGGCTGTTGTGGTGGCTGCTGTGGTTGCTGTGAGATCTGTGGCTGTTGACGCTGCTGTGTGTCAGCCTCTCTCTGCGCTGTTTGAGGATACTGAGAGATCTCCTGCTCCTGCTCCATTCTGTGGGGTGATTCTCTCTGTGGCACATGGTGGTGGACCTGGACCTGGGGAAGTAAGAAGGAATTATTCATCCTGAATAAACATTATGTCAAATTTGCTAGACTGGCATTTGTGGCTATGTATATTATACTTTTTTTATTTAGAAGAATCCTACTGGCTGGTTATTGGCTGACTGGCAATAGGGTAAGTGATGAGGGAAAAAAGGTACCTGTGGTCTCTCTGTAATGACCTGTGCTCTGAGGGGAGACTGGCTCCTTATATGCGGTGGGATATGGATGGCGGCAGTCTCGCGGTGCTGGGGAAGCCCGCTTGGGGATGGGGAGGCACGCTCCCGGGAAGAGGGCGTGGCCCCATGATGACTGCTCCAGTCCTCTGGCTGCAGTCGGTGGAAGGAGGGCTGGTGCTCTGAGTAAGCCGGAAAGCGCTGGGTGTAGAGAGCGGGGTTGACAGGGGATTGTTGTGAGTGACCTCCGGCCCTCTCGTGGATCACTGGGATGGGGATATAACCTGCCTGGAGGCCTGTGCTGCTGGGTCGCGGGGGCTGGTGGAGGGGATGGCCCTAAGGAATGGAAGTCCAGTGTGAATCAGAGGAAGTACAATTGTATATTCAATATTAGAAGTAGTCTAGAAGTAGCTAGAGGTTTCGTTTGATTCCAACATCAAACACGTATGTAACTTTCCCTTAAAATTCTCCAATGACATCAATGTATGGTTTTAGCAAATGGTAAGAGTTCATGCGCAGTAATCTCATTAGATAAAACAATCTCACCTCAGGTCCTTGTAAACTAGGTGAACAGGACATGCAGGGCTCAGGAGTAGAGCTCTCGGAGGGACCCTGCAAAGGAGATCTAGGCCTGCAGTGGAGCGTCGGGGTGGGGGAGGGTGTCTGCCTGTCTGCCCGTACATTTTGCAGAGCAGTCGGCTGGATGTAGGAGAAACATGGGTGTTGCTGACGGAGGTCTACGCCTTCATGGCAGACTGGAATTGGTATGTAACCCTGGCGGAGGGTGGGGTGCTTCATGTCCTTCACAAAGGACTTCTGCATCTCCTGAGGACTCAGCTCTGGGGGCACACTTGGGCCATTTTGAGACAACTGGCTGACCTGAACAAGAAAGCAAAGTCTGAATTAATACATATCTAGGATATGAAAATAAGTATGTGAGTAAAACCCTAACCCCAGAGGCAAGCAATTACTGCCAATCCATGGTAAAACATTCAGTTAATGTATTCTACAAGGGAATGATGTCCATCATCCCAGAAAGATTTGCTCTTTCTTCCAAACTAAGACCATTAGGCTACTGAGATTAAATTGAGATTGATTGAAAAGAGCTGTTTGCTAGAGGCTGAAACAAATGAGTCTTCGCTGGAATCTGCTCTGGTATCCAGGCTATAAGCAAAAATCATTAGGTACCATGTGAAATATCCCTGGGAGATGTCAAAAGTATCGCCTCCCTGGCCAATTGGAAGAGGAAACTAGTTCTTATCCAATTGCAAGTATGTGCCTGTCATAAGAAGCAAGCCATCACTACATGTGGATATGAAGACTATGCATTTGTTGGTTTCCTTGGTAGTATTTACTATCATTAAACATTACAAATCATATTTCTCTTATGTCCTCATATGCGTGTTGATAATAATTCACAGTAAGAGACCAAAAACTCCATGATGCTGCCTTGGTGATCACCAGAACAACCAATTAAGAGTGAGACACCTGGCATTGACAGCGGAAAATAGTCTCTCTGTGATATCATCACATGACCAGTTTTATTTTACCATGCTAATCTAATTAGCAATAAAGTATATTTCATTGAGAGTGATTTAAAAATACTCCAATATTTGCTTGCCTTCAGGCTATACATGTGTATTGTCACAAAGTAACTTAAGTTGTCTTGAGGCCTGGAGAACACAAGCCAAATACCTCAGGGGTACATACCACAGTCCAACAACTGATGTTTGGATGTGTTCATGTTTGTGGTCAGAATCTAACTGGTTCACCAACAATTACAACCTTAATGCTTTGTTGTCTTTTATGCTTATGCTGTCGTCTTATGCTTGCTTATATAAAGGACGTCACACTGCTTGCTTAGCGAGTACCGCTTCCTCCTGATTCGGCTCAAAACCGAGGTTCGAACCCAGGACCTCTGCCTCGCTAGCACACATGACCAGTGGTGTAAAGTACTTAAGTAAAAATACTTGAAAGTACTACTTAAGTTGTTTTTTGGGGGTATCTGTACTTTACTATTTATATTTTTGCCTACTTTTACACATCCCCATGTGCTACACTTACATACTTCTACAAGGTGTGGCTCAAACTAAAAACAAACTGTCCAAACTGGACACGTCCTACAGACAGAGCTGAAACAACAAACTGTATGTGTGGGTAATGCATGACAAAGCACAAAACTCCACTGGTACAAGGGGCAAAATAGCCTAGGCTTAGACAAGCAGGAGCAACCCACTGAGCAAAAGTCTATATAAGTCCACAGTCTACACAGTTTGGCACGACAAAGACATAAGTGTTCACAAGACTATGTAGGCCCATTGGACCTACTGTATTGGAACAGTCTCAAGCTCCTCATGACTATTTAATAACAAAATTGCTGTATATTGTCTGGTAATAAATAATTACAATTCATTGTGATTTTAAATAAGTACTGTGTGAGGCATAGTGTTGTACCTTTTCTTTACATCATTCCACGTTTTGCTTTTTTGATACAACAACAGTAGTTATGAAACTCTGAACTACCTTTTGCCCTCTACCATTTTGGCAGAGTCCCTGTCCACTGCCAGCATAGCACCAATTTGATCTCCTGACAGCTGTGTCTTTCCAGCATATTCTTAGTGACACTAACTTTGGACAGCAGCAAGACTTGATCTTCCTAATGGAAGATGCCAACCTAGGGTCTGCTCCCCAACCCTTCAACATTTAAGTTGACACAGTTCTTCTGGAAACAGTTTAATGGTGTAAAACCATATCACCAATTTTTGTGATTTGTTAATTTAATGTATCGTAGGTTACTTGGAGCTGTTAGTAAGCTACTGGAGTTGGGTGGGTGATGAACGCGCCTCAAATCCCTTGTAAGGAAAAGTTTTAGTAACGGGGTATACGAAATATGAACAAACGCAGTCTGTATGGCCTAATAGGCTTTAAATAAACATTATGGAGATGTCCAAACACTCAAAGCCATGGCTTTACATATGACTGCAGTGCGTCATCAACCAACCAGCCACGCTTAGATCATCACACAAGAACATAACCTAACAGCCATTGCCCGTTATTTAACCCGATATAATGCATGTGGGAGAGGGCTGAAGCTTACAAGAGACAACATTCCATTGCGTTGGCGTATATGAAGTCTAAGCAGATATGAAGTCTGAGCAGTGGCAAGTTGTAACCTATGTTTCTAATGTTAACGAAAAGGAGATAGCAGCTTAGCCTACTATAAATAGAATATGCCCACTCTGTCTCCCCTATAATAAAAGCCAGTGCGTATCAGAGGCAGTGACCATAATTAACCACTGAAGCGCTTGGTCGACGGCCATGCAATATATTAGAGATATTCTGTGTTGTGTCTGCCATGCTATAAGCAGACATTACATTTTAAATCCAACTTTCCATATCACACTAGCCCTCCCACGCTACACATACTTTTTACTACATCCATTCGCCTACCTTTTTGACATCGTGTCTGGGGTCATTCCAGCTTGTTGTGCGATTAATGTGATCCACAAAAAAAGGCCATCCTGTCTGTGGGTCAATTTTAATTTCCCATCCTGGGGGTAGAGGGTCGTTGTTATTGGCCATATCTACCATTGGTGACTGTGTCTTCATGCTGCTCAAACTCCTTGATCCTTTATACTGTGCCATTTTATACAGTCAACGGATCCTTTAAAGATTCCGCACGGTGACGTGTGAGAAAGGGGGCTGGAAGTTTCTCGAAATAGCACGGTCAATGTTGGGATTGAGAAAAAGTTGCCACTGCCAGTGTCTCGAGATTCAGGGAGAAGGTGCCAGACCAACAGTGAGGCGATCTGGCATTTACAGTCAGGACAGGAACACCTATGTTTGTTTGGCTACAGTTATAAATGTATCATTGGTCAATGGGCGGATTCGATAATGCTGAGCCGCGGGGCACCGGTCTATGGCCTGTGACGTATGGGCAAAATCATCAAATCAAATCAAATCTTATTGGTCACATACACGTGTTTAGCATATGTTATTGCGGGTGTAGCGAAATGCTCGTGTTTCTAGCTCCGACAGTGCAGTAACATCTAACAAATAATATCTAACAATTTCACAACATATACCCAATACACACAAATCTAAGTAAAGCAATGGAATTAAGAATATATAAATAAATATATGGACGAACAATGTCAGAGCGGCATAGACTAAGATACAGTAGAATAGTATAGAATACAGTATATGTAACCGGTGTGAAATGGCTAGCTAGTTAGCGGTGCGCGCTAGTAGCGTTTCAATCGGTGACGTCACTCCCTCTGAGACATTGAAGTAGTTGTTTCCCTTGTCGCGGCTTTTGTGGAGCGACGGGTAACGGTGCTTCGAGGATGACTGTTGTCGATGTGTGCAGAGGGTCCCTGGTTCAAGCCCAGGTAGGGGCGAGGAGAGGGCGGGAAGCAACACTGTTACATACATATGAGATGAGTAATGCAAGATATGTAAACATTATTAAAGTGGCCAATGATTTCTAATCTATGTATATAGGCAGCAGCCTCTAATGTGCTAGTGAAGGCTATTTAACAGTCTGATGGCCTTGAGATAGAAGCTGTTTTTCGGTCCCAGCTTTGATGCACCTGTACTAACCTAGCCTTCTGGATGATAGCGGGGTGAACAGGCAGTGGCTCGGGAGGTTGTTGTCCTTGATGATCTTTTTGGCCTTCCTGTGACATCGGGTGCTGTAGGGTTGGTCGTTTGCCCCCGGTGATGCGTTCGGCAGACCGCACCACCCTCTGGAGAGTAGCGCAGGCTTCTCAAATCGAACAGGAATGTGCGCCGCTCGGTCATGTTAAATTTTTTTGTCATTTAGCAGACGCTCTTATCCAGAGCGATTTACAGTTAGTGAGTGCATATATTTTCATACTGGACCCCCGTGGGAATCGAACCCACAACCCTGGCGTTGCAAACGCCATGCTCTACCAACTGAGCTACACGGGACCTTGTCAACAAGGCAGCACAGTGCATCATCCAGAAACATAAAGCATCTGTTTTTCATTAAATATATGTTTGAATCAAAATCAATCACTTTTGCATGTGAAAACACAGACTCCTACTCATTACTCTACGTGCTTAATTACGTCATTTTTGTTTTGAGCCGATTTCGCCGTGGGCTTTGAACGGGCACCTGGCTCACGACCGGGTGGCAGCCCGGTTCCGAAACGAATGCAATCAACTTTCACCTGGTGCAAAACACGCCTACCAGGGCGCCCGAGCCAGATTATTCGAATCCCCTCAATGTTAACGCAGTATCGCTTTAATTGACATTATTTTCAAAATAAAAGCTCCCAATTAGGTTTATGATGTTTGACAGATGTCGGCACAACGGGGATTCCACCTTCCTCTCGTGGCTAGCGTATTTTAATGACACACGAGATGTTATAGTATAAGAGTAGCCTACTCGAGATATCTGATTTTATTTTAGTGCTGACTCAACTTTATTAAATCCCCTGTAGACTAAATGCTCATGCGCATCAGTCGGCTTCCTGACTCTCCGGTTTGCGCCATTTTCTTCCTCTTAGCTAGCTAGCTAGCTTAGCTACCGTATAAATACATTGATTAGGCTATCTTCTTATTTAATTCAGCCTTCCCAGTTAGTAAGTCGGCATTTAAATCAATCGATTTTTTAACATGGAAGACGAAAGCCACCCCAAAACGCTGTAAGTAGTCAACACAACAGCCACGACTTTGCCTCCTAGCTAGCTTGACAATGTTAGCTAACTAACTGTTAACTAGCTAGATAACTATCGACCTCAACAGCTTCCTCATTTCAACCTCTCACTAGGCGAATCAGCATACTTTTTTTCTCCCCAGTGAAACAACGGTTACAGTCAGTAGGCTGACCAAACTGTATTCGTGAACTTAGGCAATCATATCTTGCATGGCACATCAGCTTGCTGCTAGCTAAGTTACCTAGCTAGATAACTAATGTTAGCTATCTTCATGTTATTGAAATGTCCCCATCATGGCTGGGATAACGTTATAGTAGTTAGCTAGCTGACAGCTAACTAAGTCATGCCTTTCTCTCTAGCCGACTATACTCAACGATTTACGAGTTGAGTTTAATCGACTTGCCTTTCTCTTGTCTGCATACTGCAGTAATGAGGAACATGTGTTATTTAAAACGAATTAGCTACTTAATCTTAGTATCAAGACAAGTTGATACTTATAGATAGCTAGCTACTTTGGTTGGTCAATAAATAATAGCTACATAATAATTAGGCTATAATTAATTGCAAGAAGAGTGCCTTGGTCCTCGTCTTTTGTTGACCAATTAGGCCTAACCTTAAACCAAATAACAAGTAAAATCTAAATACATTTTGTCAGATCTAGAGGCTATGCAGACCTTTTGTCTAGTGCCAAAAGGTGTCCGCTAGACTCAGAGCCAAAAGGAGTTCCCTAAATGGACAGATTTGTTTTCCAGAGGTGTCTTCATTGGACAGATCGGGGCACATACCTTCCCACAATCATGAGCAAAATCAGATTTGTGTGCTTAAAACTAAAGATTTGTGTAGTTAAATTTGATATTCAATAAATAACATTCAAGCCAATATTTGAAGCAACTAAACTTATCCTATCCTTAGCCTATCCTTAATCAACCTCCTAAGATCACTCATTTGCCCCATCTTTTCCCTAGGTATGTTGGTAACCTGTCCAGAGATGTAACAGAAATTTTGATTCTTCAGCTGTTCACCCAAATTGGACCTTGCAAAAGTTGTAAAATGATAACTGAGGTAAGATATGTTCTGCTCTGTTAGCTGTGATGACTTATGGAGACATTTGTGTTGACTAGTTTCATTATCATGTATTATGCACTAGGTCTAGGAATTCAAGTCAGTATACAGGGTACTACTGTTAACCTTTTTGACTGTAACAGCTGCCATTGGCACATACCAGTTTTTCACATAATTCCACCCCCTTTTCCATTCATTTTGAATCAATGTTGCCTTTGTTTGTTGGTCTTTATTTCCCATATAAAACTGATAAGATTTGCATCATGTTGAAAAACACACCATTACATTTACATAATTGCCTTGACATATCAAGGACGGGAAAGGTCATTGGTAATTAGGCTTACCCTTTTATAAAACATTTAGCCTATATCCTTGCATTACCTAGCATTTATTTTTGATGCAGTTTTTTTTTCAATAATTTCATTGTCACCCAAAAGGGATTGGATTCAGCACCTCCCTTAAACCGGTCTAATATCCTCCCTTAAATCGGTCTAATATCCTACTCCTTGCAGTTACCGTAGTTACAGGGGGATAAGGGTAAACATGGTCTACCATGGGATGCCGATGTAATGGTTTCTAGTGGACCTGACCAAGACTTTGTCGACATCTCCAGCGTAGCTGGGTGAGACATTATAGGCTACCCTCCATATGACCTACAGTGCATTCGGGAAAGAATTCAGACCCCTTCACTTTTTCCAATTTTTTTTATGTTACAGCCTAATTTTAAAATGGATGAAATTATTTTTTCCTCCAATCAATCTATATACAATACCCCATAATGACAAAGCGAAAACAGGTTTTTAGAAATGTTTACACATTTATAAAAAAATAAAAAAACAGATACCTTTACATAAGTATTCAGACCCTTTGCTATGAGACTTGAAATTAAGCTCAGGTGCATCCTGTTTCCATTGATCATCCTTTAGATGATTCTACAACTTGATTGGAGTCCACATGTGGTAAATTCAATTGATTGGACATGATTTGGAAAGGCACACACGGCTATATAAGGTCCCACAGTTGACAGTGCATGTCAGAGGAAAAACCAAGTCATGAGGTCGAAGGAATTGTCCGTAGAGCTCCGAGACAGGATTGTGTCGAGGCACAGATCTGGGGAAGGGTACCAAAAAATGTCTGCAGCATTGAAGGTCCCCAAGAACACACTGGCCTCCATCATTCTTAAATGGAAGAAGTTTGGAACCACCCAGACTCTTCCTAGAGCTGGCCGCCGGCCAAACTGAGCAATCGGGGGAGAAGGGCCTTGGTTAGGGAGGTGACCAAGAACCCAATGGTCACTCTGACAGAGCTCCAGAGTTCCTCTGTGGAGATGAGAGAATCTTCCAGAAGGACAACCATCTCTGCAGCACTCCACCAATCTACCCTTTATGGTAGTGGCGAGACGGAAGCCACTCCTCAGTAAAAGGCACATGGGAGCCCGCTTGGAGTTTGCCAAAAGGCAACTAAAGGACTGTCAGACCATGAGAAACTGGTCTGACGATACCAAGATTGGTCTGAATGCCAAGCGTCACGTCTGGAGGAAACCTGGCACCATCCCTATGGTGAAGCATGGTGGTGGCAGCATCATGCTGTGGGGATATTTTTCAGTGGCAGGGACTGGGAGACTGGTCAGGATCGAGGGAAAGCTGAACGGAGCTAAGTACAGAGAGATCCTTGATGAAAACCTGCTCCAGAGCGCTCAGGACCTCAGACTGGGGTGAAGGTTAACCTTCCAACAGGACAACAACCCTAAGCACACAGCCAAGACAATGTATTAGTGGCTTCGGGACAAGTCTCTGAATGTCCTTGAGTGGCCCAGCCAGAGCCCAGACTTTAACCAGATTGAACATCTCTGGAGAGACCTGAAAATAGCTGTGTAGCGGCGCTCTCCATCCAACCTGACAGAGCTTGAAAGGATCTGCAGAGAAGAATTTGAGAAACTCCCCAAATACAGGTGTGCCAAGCTTGTAGCGTCATACCCAAGAAGACTCGAGGCTGTAATCGCTGCCAAAGGTGCTTCAACAAAGTACTGAGTAAAAGGGTCTGAATACTTATGTAAATGTGATATTTCAGTGTTTTATTTGTAATACATTTGCAACGATGTCTTAACCTGATTTTACTTTGTCATAATGGGGTATTGTGTGTAGATTGAGGGGGAAAAAACAATTTAATCAATTTTAGAATAAGGCTGTAACCTAACAAAATGTGGAAAAAGTCAAGGGGGCTGAATACTTTCCGAATGCACTGTAGGTGACAGTTGAGACGTCTTAGGTTTGGTCTCTTTTTTTTGTTGTTGTCCTGAGTGACGCGTTCAGTCAGATGGATCAGGGAATGTTTATCAGTCGAAATGGGATGTTTTCCATTTCGGCTAACTTTCTTTCTCCTTTAATAAATGTATGATTAGGCCAAGTTCACATGGCACCAATTGTAGTTGGTTCTATTTAGATGTTATGCAATGAATGCAATCAGATCAAATTGCTTATTTTTTCAGCCTTTGGCTGGTTAACCTTTTTTGCACACTTTTCCAAAAGAAAGAGGTTAGGGTTATTGAATCCCAGCCTTTTAAATATGATGGCCATTATTTTTAATTGGCTAACATTGGCTCAGTTACATATAGCAGCACAATATTGATGATACACTGTAATCCTCCGATAGAGTAACATGGTCACTCAGTACTTGCAATTGTATTCCAAATATACGTTTGGCAATAATATACTCTCCCAACTTTTTTTTCTCAGCAACCCGATAGCAGGAGGATGAACTCTTCTGTGGGATTTTCTGTTTTGCAGCAATCAAGCAATGACCCGTATTGCTTTGTGGAGTTCTTTGAACACAGAGATGCTGCTGCTGCCCTAGCAGCCATGAATGGGAGGAAGATATTGGGAAAGGTAATTTTTCCACTCTGCAATGAAATACTCTGTATGAGGCTGTTTCTTGCTAAGAAGTGCTGGTTCTAACCCTTTCACAGTGGCTTTTAGGGACATGGAATGAATGCCTTTGCTCCACTTACATTTGATTGTTCTGTGAAATGTTTAATCTTCAGGAGGTCAAAGTAAATTGGGCCACCACTCCAAGTAGCCAGAAGAAAGATACATCTAGTAAGTGTTTACATTTTTTAACTTTTTCCTGTTTACTACAAAGTCAGTAGCTGCATCAGGGAATAATAATGATTATTTCTTGGCCGTTTCAGATCACTTCCATGTGTTTGTGGGAGACTTGAGCCCTGAGATCACCACTGAGGATATCAAAGCTGCATTTGCACCTTTTGGGAAAATTTCGTAAGTTGCTTTATGTTTTAAGCTTGTTGGATTTAGTATGTTTCCTCTGACTTGACATCCTCTGGAAATTGTTTTACTCAGTTATTTCTTCTGATCATTTTAGTTACTTTAGAGTTTTTCTCATGTGTTTGTAAGGGGTCCATAAACAGAATAGATGTGTAACCACATATATACAGTTGAAGTCGGAAGTTTACATACACCTTAGCCAAATACATTTAAACTCAGTTTTTCACAATTCCCGACATTTAATCCTAGTGTAAATTCCCTGTTTTATGTCAGTTAGGATCACCACTTTTATTTTAAGAATGTGAAAAAAATAGGAGTGATTTATTTATGCTTTTATTTCTTTCATCACATTCCCAGTGGGTCAGAAGTTTACATACACTCAATTAGTATTTGGTAGCATTGCCTTTTTAAATTGTTTAACTTGGGTCAAACGTTTCAGGTAGCCTTCCACAAGCTACCCACAATAAGTTGGGTGAATTTTGGCCCGTTCCTCTTGACAGAGCTGGTGTAACTGAGTCAGGTTCGTAGGCCTCCTTGCTCGCACACGCTTTTTCAGTTTTGCCCACACATTTTCTACAGGATTGAGGTCAGGGCATTGTGATGGCCACTCCAATACCTTGACTTTGTTGTCCTTAAGCCATTTTGCTACAACTTTGGAAGTATGCTTCGGGTCATTGTCCATTTGGAAGACCCATTTGCGACCAAGCTTTAACTTCTTGACTGATGTCTTGAGATGTTGCTTCAATATATCCACATCATTTTCCTTCCTCATGATGCCATCTATTTTATGATGTGCACCAGTCCCTCCTGCAGCAAAGCACCCCCACAGCATGATGCTGCCACCCCTGTGCTTCACGGTTGGGATGGTGTTCTTCGGCTTGCAAACCACCACATTTTTCCTCCAAACATAACGATTGTCATTATGGCCAAAGAGTTCTATTTTTTTCATCAGACCAGAGGACATTTCTCCAAAAAGTATGATCTTTGTACCCATGTGCAGTTGCAAACCGTAGTCTGGCTTTTTTATGGCGGTTTTGGAGCAGTGGCTTCTTCCTTGCTGAGCGGCCTTTTATGTTATGTCGATATAGGACTCATTTTACTGTGGATATAGATACTTTTGTACCTGTTTCCTCCAGCATCTTCACAAGGTCCTTTGATGTTGTTCTGGGATTGATTTGCACTTTTCGCACCAAAGTATGTTCATCTCTAGGAGACAGAACGCGTCTCCTTCCTGAGCGGTCTGACTGCTGCGTGGTCCCATGGTGTTTATACTTGCGTACTATTGTTTGTACAGATGAACGTGGTACCTTCAGGCATTTGGAAATTGCTCCCAAGGATGAACCAGACTTGTGGAGGTCTACAATGGTCTTGGCTGATTTCTTTTGATTTTCCCATGATGTCAAGCGAAGAGGCACTGAGTTTGAAGGTAGGCCTTGAAATGCATCCATAGGTACACCAATTGACTTAAATTATGTCAATTAGCCTATCAGAAGCTTCTAAAACAATGACATCATTTTCTGGAATTTTCCAAGCTGTTTAAACGCACAGTCAACTTAGTGTATGTAAACTTCTGACCCCACTGGAATTGTGATACAGTGAAATAATCTGTCTGTAAACAATTGTTGGAAAAATTACTTGTGTCATGCACAAAGTAGATGTCCTAACCGACTTGCCAAAACTATAGTTTGTTAGCAAGAAATTTGTGGAGTGGTTGAAAAACAAGTTTTAATGACTCCAACCTAAGTGTATGTAAACTTCCGACTTCAACTATATATATATATATATATATATATATAATATGCGTTGTAGGTATAATTACTTTGACTATTGGTTGAAATACAATTTTTAAAGAACGTCACTCCCAGTCTTGATAAATAAATCACTATCCCTTTCATTAGTTATTCATTCAACTGTTTTGATCATTGTGAGAAACGGAATGACAGAAGTGACACAAGCTCTTTTCAGTTGTCACGTATAGTATGGATATTGACTTTCAGTCTGTATCAAAACCCCCACACTAATTTCACTCCCAACATTGAATGTCAGCTTTCAATTCTCCCTCATGCTTTTTTGATAAATGTAGGAAATGGTAAGTAGTTTATGATGGCAGATTTAAGATGGTACTTGTATGTGTATCCCTGAGAAGCTTTCTGCCTTTCCATAGTTGTGAGTCTCAGTTAAGTAGTAGTGCTCTGGTTATTTTACAGAAATGCTTATAGGATTGGACAGGAGCTTGAAGGCTAACCGCAAGGAACTGTACACACTGGAAACTCAGATGTATACTTTTTTTCTCATTTATTATTCCTTTCCATGTGTATTTTTTGTATTAACATGACCTAGTTTAGAATAACAAACTCCAATATTCAATATACAGTGGGGTCCGAAATTGACACCCTTGATAAAGATGAGCAAAAATGAGATAAAGATGAAATAATTCAAATATCCACCACCATATTTTACAGTATTTATGGGGTTCTTTTCTACTCATGCATTCTCATTTTGACGCCAAACCCACCACTGGTGTCCGTGGCCAAAGAGCTGTATGTTCATGTCATCCAACAAATGTAAACGCCTGGAGTTTGCTAAATGGCATTGGCACTTAGATTGGAACCGGTGCTTTGGTCAGGTGACATGAAAATAGAGCTCTTTGGCCACACACACCAGCAGTGGGTTTGGTGACAATGAGAACGCATGAGCAGTAAAATATGGTAGTGGATCTTTTTATGTTCTGGGGCTATTTTGTTTCCACTGGTCCTGGGGCCCTTGTTAAGATCAACTGCATCATGAACTTTACCCAGTACCAGGACATTTTAGCCAAAAACCTGGTTGCCTCTGCCAGGAGGCTGAAACTTGGCCATAAGTGGTTCTTCCAGCAAGACAATAACTCCAAGCACACATCAAAATTAATCCACAAAGAAATGGTTAGTTGGCCACAAAATCAACATTTTGCAATTGCCATCTTTCTCCGGACTTGAAACCGATTTGAAAACCTGTGGTTTGAATTGAAGGGGGCTGTCTATAATGCAGATGAAGGATCTGGAAGGATTCTGTATGATCCCTCCCAATGTGTTCGCCAACTTATAAAACATTGTAGAAAAAAGGTGAGATTTTGAAAGGTATTGAAAACAGGGGTGTCAATAACTTTGACCCCAACCTTTTTTAGGGGGGGAAAATAACTTTTAAACAACAATTTGAGTGTACAATATAGCTCAGTATTTAAATTATTTATTTTATATATTATCAAGTGTCAATAATTTTGGATCCGACTGTATATACACTGCTCAAAAAAATTAAGGGAACACTAAAATAACACATCCTAGATCTGAATGAAATAATCTTATTAAATACTTTTTTCTTTACATAGTTGAATGTGCTGACAACAAAATCACACAACAATGATCAATGGAAATCAAATTGATCAACCCATGGAGGTCTGGATTTGGAGTCACCCTCAAAATTAAAGTGGAAAACCACACTACAGGCTGATCCAACTTTGATGTAATGTCCTTAAAACAAGTCAAAATGAGGCTCATTAGTGTGTGTGGCCTCCACGTGCCTGTATGACCTCCCTACAACGCCTGGGCATGCTCCTGATGAGGTGGCGGATGGTCTCCTGAGGGATCTCCTCCCAGACCTGGACTAAAGCATCCGCCAACTCCTGGACAGTCTGTGGTGCAACGTGGCGTTGGTGGATGGAGCGAGACATGATGTCCCAGATGTGCTCAATTGGATTCAGGTCTGGGGAACGGGCGGGCCAGTCCATAGCATCAATGCCTTCCTCTTGCAGGAACTGCTGACACACTCCAGCCACATGAGGTCTAGCATTGTCTTGCATTAGGAGGAACCCAGGGCCAACCGCACCAGCATATGGTCTCACAAGGGGTCTGAGGATCTCATCTCGGTACCTAATGGCAGTCAGGCTACCTCTGGCGAGCACATGGAGGGCTGTGCGGCCCCCCAAAGAAATGCCACCCCACACAATGACTGACCCACTGCCAAACCAGTCATGCTGGAGGATGTTGCAGGCAGCAGAACGTTCTCCGCGGCGTCTCCAGACTCTGTCACGTCTGTCACGTGCTCAGAGTGAACCTGCTTTCATCTGTGAAGAGCACAGGGCGGCAGTGGCGAATTTGCCAATCTTGGTGTTCTCTGGCAAATGCCAAACGTCCTGCACGGTGTTGGGTTGTAAGCACAACCCCCACCTGTGGACGTCGGGCCCTCATACCACCCTCATGGAGTCTGTTTCTGACCGTTTGAGCAGACACATGCACATTTGTGGCCTGCTGGAGGTCATTTTGCAAGGCTCTGGCAGTGCTCCTCCTGCTCTTCCTTGCACAAAGGTGGAGGTAGCGGTCCTGCTGCTGGGTTGTTGCCCTCCTACGGCATCCTCCACGTCTCCTGATGTACTGGCCTGTCTCCTGGTAGCGCCTCCATGCTCTGGACACTACGCTGACAGACACAGCAAACCTTCTTGCCACAGCTCGCATTGATGTGCCATCCTGGATGAGCTGCACTACCTGAGCCACTTGTGTGGGTTGTAGACTCCGTCGCATGCTACCACTAGAGTGAAAGCACCGCCAGCATTCAAAAGTGACCAAAACATCAGCCAGGAAGCATAGGAACTGAGAAGTGGTCTGTGGTCACCACCTGCAGAACCACTCCTTTATTGGGGGTGTCTTGCTAATTGCCTATAATTTCCACCTGTTGTCTATTCCATTTGCACAACAGCATGTGAAATGTATTGTCAATCAGTGTTGCTTCCTAAGTGGACAGTTCTATTTCACAGAAGTGTGATTGACTTGGAGTTACATTGTGTTGTTTAAGTGTTCCCTTTATTTTTTTGAGCAGTGTACTTAAGGTCTGTGTAAAACTGTTGTCTCATTCTGGTTTGCTTAGTATTGTTGATAGTTTTATGCTCCTTTCCTAAAATTCTGAAAATGTAAATGTTTTAAAATTTGCAGCTCCCCAAACTCCATATTGGTGGTAACGAATTGACCAGGAAAAATAAAGAAATCTGTTATCAGGCCATGTATGCCGTTTTAATGATTTTTTTTTCTCTTTGATATTTCTATTGATAGGATGAGCACCATCAGCAAATATTAGGAATGCATGGTAATCCATAAGAAGTGTTGTTTTTGAGGATTATAATTGGTGCAATATTTGACAGAGAACCCGTAACTGAAAATTAATCTGGAGAAAGAAGCAATTAAAATATCAGTGTAGGTCGCATGTCTTTGTACTTGTTTTTGTTTTCAAATGCAATATTACCAGTAATCATTTGAGGATTTTAAAAAAGTAATTAAGATTTTTATGGGAGAATGTAGTCTATTTGCAGTTCAGTGTTATGGATGCTGTTGTCTTGTGTCCTTTTCAGGGATGCTCGTGTTGTGAAGGACATGACGACAGGAAAATCTAAGGGGTATGGATTTGTGTCCTTCTATAACAAACTGGTAAGGCTCCAGTGCAGGAACACAAGATGAAGGTTATTTCTATTTCTGTTTTACTCTTTTCTATTTTCAGTAGATTTGATATTTTTAGATAATTTAAACTTTTAAAAATAAGTACACAGTAAATGCACATTTCGTGTTCTGTTGATCGAATTGTAACTTAAGTACAAGTTGTAGTTTGTTTGATAGTTCATTATTCCTGTTTATCTATTCTAATCTATCCATCTAGTATGTAAAACGTTATAAATTACATAATAGCACTTAGTTTATAGAATATGTATAGAAGCATGTAGAATCTGGAGAATAAACTTTGTATTTTGTTTAAATCGACAGGATGCAGAGAATGCAATCGTTCACATGGGGGGACAGTGGTTAGGAGGACGCCAGATCAGGACCAACTGGGCAACTCGCAAGCCACCCGCCCCCAAAAATGTGCAAGACAGTAAGTATGAGTGAGCTATGACTAATGAGTTGAAATGGGAGTTATGAGGCTGAATGCTCCATAGGTGCAGTCGGCGTATAAGTGAGGGGGACACGTCCGTCCGTCCCCCCAATATTCTAGAGAGCTATTTTGTCTCCCCCAATAATTTTCGATCCACTGAATGTGCCGCTTAGTTCATAGAACTGCGGTTACGTGAGCGACCTCCAATATCCGCTAAATGCAATTGTGTCCAACAGAGCAGTTTTAGTTTTCTTCCTACAAATTTGGCTCCAACTTTTGAACGGTTGGTGCTATCAGCTATTATGACCCCATCTCTGAAAGCCACGACTCTCAGGGAAATGTACTTGTTGGAACATGTACATTTACAACACGTACATTTCCCTCTACAACACACACAAGTTGCGCAGGACACGTTAGAAGCTGGCTTCTCTTGTTATGTCAGTCACTGACACACTCACCCATGTCAGCAATTTTTTTTTAGCCTGATGACTCGCACTAAATTCTTCTGCTGCTCTGTCATTTTGCTACATACTCTAGTCTGAGACTGACATTGAAGTTGTTTGTGGTGACGAAGGGCACGAGGGGTGTTTGTACAAAATAGTCATCAGCGATTGGATCGTCTCTAACCAATCAGAGTATCTAACCGCCGCTTTACCCATGTGTGTTTTGGCCCAACCTGTCAGTTTCTGGACCAATCAGACGGCCCCCTAATGTGTTCGCATTCGGTGAAGGGGTCAGGAGGTAATCGGATCCAGACTCATTGCAGTGAAGAAACGAACGTCCGTGGGTGTGGCGTAGTGTTTGGCCGGAGCCAGGAGTCTGGGTAGCCAGGCAACAACATTTTTAGATTGGTAAATTAGTCTAGCCAGCTATCTAAACTTGTAGTAATCATGGTCGAATTACCGACCGGGGGGCCCCCATTGATTTTGTTAGTCACTCTCAATCAGATATCATATTAAAAACTGCAAACATTTCTCTACATGCCATGGCAAAATGTGTAGACTGCAGGAAATTAACTCTATAACAAAAAAACTTCTCTCCTCTGTCAAGAGGGGAGCCGCTAAAATGTTTAGCTTAGGGCCCCAAAAAGGCTAGGTCCGGCTCTGACTGCATGTGTGAGTATGGATTTGGGGACACAGACCCGCGAGCCACTGGCACTGTGGAACGCTTTCGACACCTTGTAGAGTCCATGCCCTGACGAATTGAGACTGTTCTGAGGACAAAAAGGGGTGCAACTCAGTATTTGGAAGGTGTTCCTAATGTTTCGTACACCCAGTATAAATTAAACACAGGAAAATCACGTTTTTGACTGCACTGGGCCTTTTAAAGTTTCCAGATTGGAAAGTTGGAAGTTCGATCCCCGGTCGAGTCCTACCAAAGACTCTACAAATGGGATCTGATGCCTCTGCTTGGCACTCCGCACTAGGAGATGGATTGGGGGTAAGGTGCTTAGCCATGGAGCAAATGAAAATAGGGGGTGCAAACTTGTGTTTATGCACCACCACCTTTTTTTACCAGAAGATAATTATAATCATTGGATCATTTGTCCATTTTCACGTCTTTTTTTAGCTAGTCTGTATTTAAGAAATGTCTTACGTGATGTGATGGCATTTTGCAAACCCTTTCCCCGTCGCCCCAAAATGAAAACTAAAGTTTTGCTTCACTACACACACACCACTGCTTTGATTGGTGTAACGTTAGCTAGAAGCCACAAGTGTCTATCCAGATAATGAAACGGCAATTGTGAAAGAAAATGAAAGGAACTTATAGTTACATGTCATTTGCGGCCTCCATGCTCATGAGAAAAGTCATTGTAGCCTATAATTTCATTTCCCCTGTGAGAACCATGAGGATGGGCTGACTTGGCTTTGCTGTGCCGCAGCCAAAGCCTGTCAGCAGCCAGTTTACCAAAGGTTGCACCGTGTCCATTACATTGTAGAAAAACTCATATCAGCTATCATTCAATAGTTATCCATATTACCGGAGCTTCATCTTATTCATTCTAACTATTTCTATGGTGGATTCGCGGCTGCAATTTATGGAAGATGCCAACACTTTGGAGATAACAATAGATGGCGAAGTCAAAGATACGCCAGTGGTTTCCATATGTGGCAAAGTTTTCTTTAAATCAATGCTTATGACAAGTCCAGTTCTAGAACAAGCCAAAACCACATCAACAACAGTTAACATTAGCTAGCTAGATAAGGTTAGCATGCTAGCTAGCTACAGTTACAGCTGTAGCTAGCTAGCATATTTGTTTATGTTTATTAACTCCACATGGAAATTCCCACACCCAATTCGTGAATGTGTATAAGGAGCCTTCGCCATTCTTTGGAGGTGGAACCTAAATGTGTATTTCATCTCTAGGACAGGAAATTACTTTGAAATTGTGGCGTCAACTTCCTCTGGGGGGGGGGGTCCTTTTAAAACACTACTCAAACGTGTCTTTACTATGTTTTTCTACAAACCTTCCAGAGAGATCATGAATAATGGCGAACCTTGTTAAAGGCCCAGTGCAGTCAAAAATCTGTTTTTACTGTGTTTTGTATCATATTATACAACAGCTGAAGAAATTAACACTGTAAAAGTGCGAGATAATGTGAAATGTAATTGTTGCTGGTTGAAAATACAATCTACACAGGACCTTCTAATCAGCAGGTTTTGCATGGGTGGAGTTTTGGCTTTCCTGGTGACGTCACCAGGTGGTATAAGTTAATAGACCAATAACAAAGAGTTTAAAACCTCTGCCAATAATAGCACATTTTCAGGTCACATATCCCTCCCATTAGGCCCCTCAGCTCTGGTAGATTGATCCACATTGTGGTTAATGCACTGCTTTGGTGTCATTCCCCTCCCGAGTCAGACCACTTCCGGAGTCCTAGCAAAATTCTTGCTTGAAAAATTGTTTTTTGCTAAAAAGCTATTTTTGTTAATTTTTTTACCATTTGAATGGAAAATTATTACATAATACACTTTAATTGTTACCTATAAATAATTTGATATTGAAATAAAAATGGCTACATTGGGCGTTTCTAAAATGTAGGAAATGCGTTTTCAAGTTTAAATTTTTTTCTGGGTCCAGACCCCCCGCCAAACTTGGTCCCCCCCAATGTTCAAATCATGACTACACCACTTTTTTGTATGTTTACACCAGATGGCTCGAAGCAGCTGAGGTTTGAAGATGTAGTGAACCAATCCAGTCCCCAGAACTGCACCGTGTATTGTGGAGGAATCCAGTCAGGACTGTCAGGCAAGTTAATTTAAACATGAAAAGATACATGCAGACGGTTTAGAATCATTAGATGTTGCCAACAAAGTTGCGACTGGGTTGGCTGAATGTTTCATTGAAATATTTTTTTGTTGCAGAGCACCTTATGCGACAGACATTCTCGCCCTTTGGACAAATAATGGAAATCAGAGTTTTCCCAGAGAAAGGTTACTCTTTCATCAGGTACTGTTTTGTTCTAAGCGAAGGTTAACTATTTTGTTTATGTACTACACTATATATTGCCTCATTCGTCCTGTAGATGGCAGTACCGGGACATGACTCAATGATACATCTTCCAATACTACACCAAAAGCCCCCAATAATGTCTAGAATCCAATCAGATTTAGTTGTGGAAGTAGTAGTTCAATGATTTTATTACAACCTTGTTTGGTTATGCTTTATAGTACATTTCATGGATAATCCATTATAAATACATATACAGCGTCAATACAGGACTAAGATTGAAGCCTACTACACTGGCTCTGACGCTCGTCGGATGTGGCAGGGCTTGCAAACTATTACGCACTACAAAGGGAATCCCAGCAGCGAGCTGCCAGTGACGTGAGCCTACCAGACAAGCTAAATGCCTTTTATGCTCGCTTCGAAGCAAGCAACACTGAAGCATGCATGAGAGCACCAGTTGTTCCGGACGACTGTGTGATCACGCTCTCCGTAGCCGATGTGAGCAAGACCTTTAAACAGGTCAACGTTCACAAAGCCGCGGGGCAATACGGATTACCAGGACGTGTACTCAGAGCATGCGCGGACCAACTGGCAAGTGTCTTCACTGACATGTTCAACCTCTCCCTGACAGTCTGTAATACCTACGTGTTTCAAGCAGACCACCATAGTCCCTTTGCCCAAGAAAGCGAAGGTAACCTGCCTAAATGACTACCGCCCCGTAGCACTCACGTCGGTAGCCATGAAGTGATTTGAAAGGCTGGTCATGGCTCACATCAACACCATCATCCCAGAAACCCTAGACCCACTCCAATGCTGCCCCAACAGATCCACAGATGACGCAATCTCAATCACACGCCACTCTGCCCTTTCCCACCTGGACAAAAGGAACACCTATGTGAGAATGCTGTTCATTGACTACAGCTCAGCGTTCAACACCATAGTGCCCACAAAGCTCATCACTAAGCTAAGGACCCTGGGACTAAACACCTCCCTCTGCAACTGGATCCCGGACTTCCTGATGGGCCGCCCCCAGGTGGTAAGGGTAGGCAACACATCTGCCACGCTGATCCTCAACACGGGGGCCCCTCAGGGGTCCGTGCTTAGTCCCCTCCTGTACTCCCTGTTCACCCCCGACTGCGTGGCCAGACACGACTCCAACAGCATCATTAAGTTTGCTGACGACACAACAGTGGTAGGCCTGATCACCGACAACGATGAGACCGCCTATAGGGAGGTGGTCAGAGACCTGGCAGTGTGGTGCCAGGACATCAACCTCTCCCTCAACGTGAGCAAGACAAAGGAGCTGATTGTGGACTACAGGAAAAGGAGGGCCGAACACGCCCACATACACATCGACAGGGCTGTAGTGGAGCGGGTCGAGAGTTTCAAGTTCCTTTGTGTCCACATTACCAAAAAACTATCATGGTCCAAACACACCAAGACAGTTGTGAATAATAATAATAATAATAATATGCCATTTAGCAGACGCTTTTATCCAAAGCGACTTACAGTCATGCGTGCATACATTTTTTGTGTATGGGTGGTCCCGGGGATCGAACCCACTACCTTGGCGTTACAAGCGCCGTGCTCTACCAGTTGAGCTACAGAGGACCACAGAGGGCACGACAACACCTTTTCCCCCTCAGGAGACTAAAAAGATTTGGCATGGGTCCCCAGATCCTCAAAATGTTCTACAGCTGCACCATTGAGAGCATCCTGACCGGTTGCATCACCGCCTGGTATGGCAACTGCTCGGCATCCGACCGTAAGGCGCTACAGAGGGTAGTGCTTCCTGCCATCCAGGACCTATATACTAGGCAGTGCCAGAGGAAGGCTAAAAAAATGTGTCAGACTCCAGTCACTCAAGTCATAGAATGTTCTCTCTGCTACCGCCCGGCAAGCGGTACCGGAGCGTCAACTCTAGGTCCAAAAGGCTCCTTAACAGCTTCTACCCCCAAGCCATAAGACTGCTGAACATTTAATCAAATGGCCAACCGGACTATTTACATTGACCCACCTCCCCTTTGTTTTTACACTGCTGCTACTCGCTGTTTATTATCTATGCATAGTCACTTTACCCCTACCTACATGTACAAATTACCTCGACTAACCTGTAACCCTGCACATTGACTCGGTACCGGTATCCCCTGTATATAGCCTCGTTATTGTTATTTTGTGTTCATTTGTATTTTATTTTATTTTTTACTTTAGTTTATTTAGTAAATATTTTCTTAACTCTATTTCTTGAACTGCATTGTTGGTTAAGGGCTTGTAAGTAAGCATTTCACGGTAAGGTCTACACCTGTTGTATTCAGCACGTGACAAATAAAATGTGATTTGATAAAAATGTAAAAGGTGAAATCCACTCAATCTTTTTGGTCTTTTTTTCATTAGTCCACTGTTGATACAGTCCCAAAATGTTTTGCATGCCAGCAGTCAAGTTTTCAAGATCTTGGACTTTCAAGAAGCGAAGTGTCACTTGCCAAGTCCAATATCTTGAACTTCACTGCTGACATGTAAAACATTTTGGGACTGTATCAACAATGGACTAATGAAAAAAATACCAAAATAGTTTTTGAGTGGAGTTATAAATGCTCTTGAATGAAATACTCATTTATTAATAGTATAATAATATGCCATTTAGCAGACGCTTTTATCCAAAGCGACCTAGTCATGTGTGCATACATTTTTACGTATGGGTGGTCCCGGGGATCGAACCCACTACCCTGGCGTTACAAGCGCCATGCTCTGTACTTATTACTTTCTTAGTAAACACTACAGGTAACTGCCAAAATAAAAGAAACCCCAACATAAAGTGTCTTAATAGGGCGTTGGGCCACCAGAACCCGCCAGAACAGCTTTAATGCACCTTGGCATAGATTCTACAAGTGTCTGGAACTCTATTGGAGAGATGCGACACCAGTATTCCTCGAGAAATTTCATCATCAAACCATTCAGTGCCCAACTGTGCCTTGTGGATGGGAGCATTGTCATACTGGAAGAGATCACTCCCATCAGAATAGAAATGCTTCACCATAGGTTGAAGGTGATCTCAGAATGGCTGTGTATTTATTGGCATTTACCTTGCCCTCTAAGGGGTTGAGTGAACCTATACCATGCAAGAAAAATGCCAGAACGGAGCCACCCGAACCCTAATTTACTCAAGTGCTTCCTTTATTTTGGCAGTTACCTGTATATAAACCATAAAAATTAAAAAATGTAATTATGCTGCACGTTTTTACTTTACATTTTCATTGCATTGCTGAAATACATTTCTTGACCTCAGTTTCTTGTTGACATTTGTGTTCTTCTGACAGGTTTTCCTCCCATGAAAGTGCTGCCCATGCAATTGTCTCTGTAAATGGAACGTCCATCGAATGCCACATAGTGAAGTGCTACTGGGGCAAAGAATCCCCCGACATGGCCAAAAACGTACCACAGGTAGGACACAAGTATCTTTTTAATTGAGACATTGCTCAAATAAAATCTCTACATTTCCCAGTGCACATGATTTGCTTTACTCACCCAGAAAAATGTATCCTGCTCTGTATTATGTTTCCTGTTATCTTTCAGATGGAGTATGGTCAGTGGGGACAATGGAACCAAATGTATGGGAGCCCCCAGGCCCAGCAGTATGGACAACAGTACATGGCAAATGGTTGGCAAGTGCCTTCTTATGGAGTGTCTTATGGACAGTCATGGAATCAGCAAGGATTTGGTGTTGAGTGAGTATTAAACATTTTGGACATTGTAAAATGCTCTTGAAAGGAGAATTCTTTCCTAAGTATCTAAACCCGTTCAGTTGTTTGCAGCACTTCTTTGTTATGGAGTTCTGTTCTTGCCATCTCCAGTTATGGTAGACTGACTGTTCACCATTTTCTTCTGACTATACTGTAGGCTTCCTGGTGCGGAATTACACCATAGCACGGTGATTTCACAAAATAGCCTCACATTGCTGGTTACATTCATAATTTTTTCCCCCACACTATTTTCTTAACTCAATAGCTGTTATTAGGGGTTCACAGCGAACCTGTGAAAACCTATTGTTATTGTCTGAAAAGTTTGTTCTTGACATGGTCAAATAACGTTTTTTTCTAATTTGGCACACAGATACTAGAGGCCATGAGTAACTTGGTCAAAAAAATTGGCACCAATTGGCCTGTGGGGGGCACAGTAATAAGCAGTCTCACTTAAACCCTATCAGTCGCCCCATTGAGCTATAAAAGAACTAGAAAGCGTCCAAGATGGCCAACCGTTGTTTTCAACGTAATCTACTCATGTTCGCATACTGTTTCATGGTTGCTGCCATCTTTCTAGATCTGGTTTTACTGAACTAACACTCCGTGCGCACTAGACAGACAGCAGTATCACGCGAACATGCTCCGGGAATTTTGCCAGAACGTGCCAAGCACATGGACAGCTATAGAATGGCTGATTTGCTCATATTTGCAAAGGCCTACCTGTGATTTGGCTGTAGGAATGGGAGGAAGGAATATACATGCATAATGATCTGCATTTCATTGTCAGTAAGGGGAAAACACAGCATTAAACCTTCTTTACTCTTTAGTTAACACAGACACATACTCTCCCTCCCTTCCTCACACACTCTGTCTCCCTCACTCTCATAAACACACACGTCATTCTCTTTCCCACAAACACATACACACACTGCTCCAAACTTTTAAAACATTAGGCACCAAACAGAATTTATGGAGCACCAGAAATAAATTGATTTTGATATAGTTTAGGCTTACATTAATTAGGCCTATATGAATCCTACCTTTTTTGAAGCACATATCATGAGTAGCAGACGCTTTTCCTTTCAATTTGCCTAAACCTACTGTCAAGTTACCAGGGTTGTTAGCTAGCTAGGTAACATGACCTGAACAACATTGTTATCAAACCAATAATTAACGAATAGAATTTAAGATAAAACGTAATAAATATGAATAGATCTAATCTAGGGCAAGGATAAAGAATGACATAATTAAAAACCTGTCTAGGTTCTCTACTGGAGTAGGCCTATACGATCCTAAAATAATTTATCTTTTACATTTCAAAAATAAATCTCAATATTAAAAATGTCAAGGACATATTATTGTTCCGATACACACCGGCAAATGGATTGAGTATTGTCAACAGGGTTGTTGTCTCTATTAGTGTGTGGCGGGCTGGTTAACACTGGGTTAAACTGATTAAAGCTAACTGTAGAGCCAACACAATAACTGGCTTATGGAAGCACTTCTCTAAGCAAGAAGGATATTATATAATTTTTACATTAGCTATTTACGCTACCCTTATATTCTCGATCCTAATGATATAGGCCTAGGTGTAAAACAGCCGAGGTGATGGAGCAACGACCCTGGAATAAAAACAAAATGTGTGTTTGTGGAGAGCGGGTGGGTTTTACAGGTTTACTCGCTCTGGATTGTCAGTACTGCATGTTTTTTTATTTTTTTGCTATCGTGCCATGGCTGTGTCAGGGTCGATTTGTAAGTTAAACTTATGTATCCCTTTATGGGTAGTGTGATGCCTAAGACACATTTTTACTGGAAGTCATTAGAATGTATGTTCCTTTTTCCTTCTTCCGTTTTGTCGGGAAGAAACAGGATATCAAATCAATATAGTGAGGACTACATGAAATACAGTGGGGGAAAAAAGTATTTAGTCAGCCACCAATTGTGCAAGTTCTCCCACTTAAAAAGATGAGGCCTGTAATTTTCATCATAGGTACACGTCAACTATGACAGACAAAATTAGGAAAAAAAATCCAGAAAATCACATTGTAGGATTTTTTAAAAATTTATTTGCAAATTATGGTGGAAAATAAGTATTTGGTCAATAACAAAAGTTTCTCAATACTTTGTTGTATACCCTTTGTTGGCAATGACACAGGTCAAACGTTTTCTGTAAGTCTTCAAGGTTTTCACACACTGTTGCTGGTATTTTGGCCCATTCCTCCATGCAGATCTCCTCTAGAGCAGTGATGTTTTGGGGCTGTCGCTGGGCAACACGGACTTTCAACTCCCTCCAAAGATTTTCTATGGGGTTGAGATCTGGAGACTGGCTAGGCCACTCCAGGACCTTGAAATGCTTCTTACGAAGCCACTCCTTCGTTGCCCGGGCGGTGTGTTTGGGATCATTGTCATGCTGAAAGACCCAGCCATGTTTCATCTTCAATGCCCTTGCTGATGGAAGGAGGTTTTCACTCAAAATCTCACGATACATGGCCCCATTCATTCTTTCCTTTACACGGATCAGTCGTCCTGGTCCCTTTGCAGAAAAACAGCCCCAAAGCATGATGTTTCCACTCCCATGCTTCACAGTAGGTATGGTGTTCTTTGGATGCAACTCAGCATTCTTTGTCCTCCAAACACGACGAGTTGAGTTTTTACCAAAAAGTTATATTTTGGTTTCATCTGACCATATGACATTCTCCCAATCCTCTTCTGGATCATCCAAATGCACTCTAGCAAACTTCAGACGGGCCTGGACATGTACTGGCTTAAGCAGGGGGACACGTCTCGCACTGCAGGATTTGAGTCCCTGGCGGCGTAGTGTGTTACTGATGGTAGGCTTTGTTACTTTCGTCCCAGCTCTCTGCAGGTCATTCACTAGGTCCCCCCGTGTGGTTCTGGGATTTTTGCTCACCGTTCTTGTGATCATTTTGACCCCACGGGGTGAGATCTTACGTGGAGCCCCAGATCGAGGGAGATTATCAGTGGTCTTGTATGTCTTCCATTTCCTAATAATTGCTCCCACAGTTGATTTCTTCAAACCAAGCTGCTTACCTATTGCAGATTCAGTCTTCCCAGCCTGGTGCAGGTCTACAATTTTGTTTCTGGTGTCCTTTGACAGCTCTTTGGTCTTGGCCATAGTGGAGTTTGGAGTGTGACTGTTTGAGGTTGTGGACAGGTCTCTTTTATACTGATAACAAGTTCAAACAGGTGCCATTAATACAGGTAACAAGTGGAGGACAGAGGAGCCTCTTAAAGAAGAAGTTACAGGTCTGTGAGAGCCAGAAATCTTGCTTGTTTGTAGGTGACCAAATACTTATTTTCCACCATAATTTGCAAATAAATTCATTAAAAATCCTACAATGTGATTTTCTGGATTTTTTTCTCAATTTGTCTGTCATAGTTGACGTGTACCTATGATGAAAATTACAGGCCTCTCTCATCTTTTTAAGTGGGAGAACAATTGGTGGCTGACTAAATACTTTTTTTCCCCACTGTATGTCTCTCTGCCGATAGGCAACGTGCATGTAATGGACATAAATAACTGGTCTTGTGATATCTATAGGTTTCTTTCTAAAAAAAAATTGAACAATTGGAAAGGTGAACTGAGCAGGCTGGGCTGACATGGTTATAGCCTTGGCTAGGACTTTCTTAATATGACCATGAATTTATAATATTGTGCTATTATTATTTCTAGTAATATTATCTATTGTTGTTTTATTTTTTTCAGACTGTTTTCCATGTTATTTGGTTAGTTCTCTCTTTAAAAACACCCTCCTAAATATGCAATAGACTTATGGGACTTTGAATGTGTGAAGGGTGGCAGTATTGAATAATGTTATCATGGGACTGCCCATATTTCCCTCTGGCCTACGCCAAGGGTTTGCCTTAGGACGTGAAGGTGCGTCATGAGTCAGGGAGATGGTCTTAGTGACAACAGAGGAGGACGGTTTTAGTGGGTGGAATATTAGGACAATTGGAGGTTTACACAGTTGCAGCTACAGTATTCTTAACAGTGCAAATATTATGGTAAAGCTATATGGACACTTAATCATCATGGTCCTTTTTGATGGTAATTTTACAAACATTGGTTGTGGTAAGTATAATTGAAAATTGTATCTCATTATGGTAAGTGGTGAAATAAGTATAGCCAGTTGTAATGGCTTAGCAGATAATAAGAAAAGACAATCCGTATTTACCTGGCTAAAAGAGAAGGAAAATAATATATATTGTTTACAGGGAACTCACTCTACAAATATAGATGAGGTTGGGTTGGAAAGGACTGGGAGGGAGCAATATATGTTTATATTAATTAGCAATAATTTTGGAAGATGGATCATTTTAAATATGCTATTGGACCAAAAACCGATCCAGCTAATTCATCTATATGGACCAAATAATGATGATCCACACGGAAAGTATTCAGACCCCTTGACTTTCTCCACATTTTGTTACGTTACAGCGTTATTCTAAACTTGATTAAATTGTTTTTTTCTCATCAATCTACACACAATACCCCATAATGACAAAGCAAAAACAGTTTTTTTTGAAATTTCGGCAAATGTATTATCAATAAAAATGGAAATATCATCACATTTACATAAGTATTCAGACCCTTTTACTCAGTACTTTGTTGAAGCACCTTTTGGCAGTGATTACAGCCTTGAGTCTTCTTGGGTATGATGCGACAAGCTTGGCACACCTTTATTTGGGTAGTTTCTCCCATTCTTCTCTGCAGATACTCTCAGCCTCTGTCAGGTTGGATGGGGAGCGTCGCTGCACAGCTATTTTCAGGTCTCTCCAGAGATGTTTGATCGGGTTCAAGTCCGGGCTCTGGCTGGGCCACTCAAGGACATTCAGAGACTTGTCCCGAAGCTACTCCTGCGTTTTCTTGGCTGTGTGCTTAGGGTTGGTGTCCTGTTGGAAGGTGAACCTTCGCCCCAGACTGAGGTCCTGAGCGCTCTGGAGCAGGTTCTCATCAAGGATCTCCCTGTACTTTCCTCTGTTCATCTTTCCCTCGATCCTGACTAGTCTCCCAGTCCCTGCCACTGAAAAACATCCCCACAGCATGATGCTGCCACCACCATGCTTCACCGTAGGGATGGTGCCAGGTTTCCTCCAGACATGACGCTTGGCATTCAGGCCAAATAGTTCAATCTTGGTTTCATCAGACCAGAGAATCTTGTTTCTCATGGTCTGAGAGTCCTTTAGGTGCCTTTTGGCAAACTCGAAGCGGGCTGTCATGTGCCTTTTACTGAGGAGTGGCTTCCGTCTGGCCACTCTACCATAAAGGGCTGATTGGTGGAGTGCTGCAGAGATGGTTGTCCTTCTGGAAGGTTCTCCCATCTCCACAGAGGAACTCTGGAGCTCTCAGTGACCATCGGGTTCTTGGTCACCTCCCTGACCAAGGCCCTTCTCCCCTGATTGCTCTGGTTGGCAGGGCTGCTGGCTCTAGGAAGAGTCTTGGTGTTTCCAAACTTCTTCCATTTAAGAATGATGGAGGCCACTGTGCTCTTGGGGACCTTCAATGCTGCTGACATTTTTTGGTACCCTTCCCCAGATCTGTGCCTCGACACAATCCTTTCTCAGAGCTCAACGGACAATTCCTTCGGTCTCGTGGCTTGGTTTCTGCGCTGAGATGCACTGACAACTGTGGGACCTTTTATATAGACAGGTGTGTGTGCCTTTCCAAATCATGTCCAATTAATTGAATTTACCACAGGTGGACTCCAATCAAGTTGTAGAAACATCTCAAGGATGATCAATGGAAACAGGATGCACCTGAGCTTAATTTCTAGTCTCATAGCAAAGGGTCTGAATACTTTTGTAAAGGTATTTCTGTTTTTTTTTTTTATACGTTTGCATAAATGTCTAAACCTGTTTTCGCTTTGTCATTATGGGGTATTGTGTGTAGATTGATGAGAAATGTATTTAATCCATTTTAGAATAAGGCTGTAATGTAACAAAGTGCAAAAAGTCTAGTGATCTGAATACTTTCTGAATGCACTGTATAATAATCTATTGAGCTCACAAGCAATGAATGAATCTATTATTATTGTGAGATATAATATGGTTTTAAGTACCTCAATGGATCGTAAAGGAAATCACACTACAGAAAATGATCACCCTCATGATTTTAAGGAGATTATGGCTACATTAGAACTAGTGGATATATGGACGCTGAAAAACCCTGACCTGGTGAGATATAAGGAAGCACACCTGTTAATTGAAATGCATTCCAGGTGACTACCTCAGGAAGCTGGTTGAGAGAATGAAAAGAGTGTGCAAAGATGTCATCAAGGCAAAGGGTGGCTATTTGAAAAATATAAAATATAACATATTTTGATTTGTTTAACACTTTTTTGGTTACTACAGTTTAGGTCAAAAGATTAGACTAATAAAGAAAATAGAGGAAATAATAGCGCAGGTAGATGGCAATAAACTCCTATAGAGCCACAAAATAAGTTGGAGGGAAAACAAATAATTGGAGGAACTTATTCAAGAACGATCAAGTGTAATTTATTACAAAAATAAAGCGAATTGGATGGAAATGGTGAAAGATGCACTACATTTTTCTTGAATCTTCAACATAGAAATGCTACCAAAAAGAATTGATAGAAACTCGTTACAAATGACCGTCATCCATGATTCACCAAATGATATTTTGAAAGAGGAAGCAAAATATTTTAAGCATATGTTTTCTTCAGTCTCCATCTCCACTTAATGATGTTAACTGTAAGGATTTATTTCCTAATAATAATATCATTAATAATGTAAAATGTAACAATTCCTGTGTGAAGGCCAATTTACAGAGGAGGAACTTTTTGAGGCAATTCAATCTTTTCAGTCTGGAAAAACACCAGGGCTTGATGGTATACCAGTAGAGGTATATCAGACCTTTTTGGTGTACTCAAAGATCCATTATTAGCATGTTTTTAATTACTCCTATAAAAATGGTAGACTTTCAGGTACTCAACAAGGTCTGATTTCATTACTACTGAAACAGGACCCAGGTGCTAAGTATAAAGATCCAGTCCGTTTAAAAAAACTGGAGGCCTTTTACACTTCGATGTTGTGATGTGAAAATCCTGGCGAATTGCATAGCACATAGAATAAAAAATGTTTTACCAGATATTGTTCATCCTGATCAGACAGGTTTTTTACATGGACGATATATTGGAGATAATATATGACAATTACTTGAAACAATTGAACATCATGAATCAAAGATACCAGGCCTGGTCTTCATAGAAGATTTTGAAAAGGCGTTTGATAAAGTACGACTAGAATTTATATATAAATTCCTGGATTACTTTAATTTAGGTGAATCTCTTATACAATGGGTTAAAGTTATGTACAGCAACCCCAGGTGTAAAATAGTAAAAGTATTGAGCTTTAAGAGGAGTAAAACAAGGTAGTCCGTTGTCTCAAGTTTTTTCTTTAGTCCGTAATCTGTATTAGTTTAAAATGGCCCGCGACATGGTTTGTGAAATTATATAAAATGTGCGCGAATCCTGATAGAAAGGGGGGGGGGAAAGGCATCCCCGGTAATATGGGTCATATTTTTAACCGTTTAGGCCAGACACAAGCCTTTTTCTTTGCTGTAAAGCTGCAAGCATGCCTGTCGCAAAGCGGTGCTCTATTGTCCCCCTCTGAACTCAGAGGCTGCATGACTGTGAACTTGCAAAGTCTACTCAGACTGGTCTGTGCTCTTGGTTATAACATGTGATGAAATGATACAATGTATTGCTCACTTTGCACGCTGCTCCAATGTAACAAATGTACAAATCTTAAAGGGTCTGCATCCCCGCTCGCCATCGACTAAATTATATTTATAAAAACTGACAGAGGAATAGACGCGCATGAAGAGCGGACGGAGAGAAGCAGGTGAGTGAGACTAGTGGCTGTTGCTTAAATTCAACTGAATTTTATAAACAAAACGGACTTTATAAAAATGTTATAACGTGCCAGCAGGTTCTTTAGATCGGTAGTGCTGAAAATCGTTGGTAGTATCATATAAAATGGTACTACGGTATTCTAAAATGTCGGTATCGTGATGTTTTGGTACAGTGATATTATCGTGGTACCGGTATACCTTGCAACACTACACATCGTAACTTATTTTGAGAAATGCTAAGGGATTGGTCAAAAGATGGCAGTTATTATCAAAAATCTGATTTTACATGTCCAGTTTAAACCATGGTAAATCCACTCCGCAGTGGCCTTGCTTTGTTATCCGACTGCTCGTGTCCTTTGTCATCCTCTGAACCCCGTTCATTGCTGCTCGCAGCTATATTTTCATTATGTAGTTTCAATTTTAACAGCGTCGAAGTTATAAAGCTCATGTCACTTTTACTCCTACTTTTCTGTCAACAATATTCTCCTGAAAAACAGCAGTTTGGAGACATTTTAAGGACAGTCCTGATCATTCTGACCACAGTTTCTTGTTGACATTTGCAAGCATAGGCCATCCAGTGTCATAGCAAACCTGGGGAAATGGTTTGACTCCGGAGCCACACTTAACTATGACATCTTGTTCACAGGGACTCCATTCTGGCCGCAGCAGCACAGAACATTTCAAGGTGACAAACACACTCAGTGCTTCCCAGCCCAAAGCTTTCACTTACCAGCCTCTGCATCTTGCTGTGAACCTTCCCTTGTGTGTACCTTCTCTCTTGCAGACAGTCCCAGTCCCCAGCCTGGGTGGGAGGGTTTGGATCCCCGGCGCCGTCCCAGCCCGGTCCTGTGATGCCCAACCAGGGAAACTTCAACATGGCTGGCTACCAGACACAGTGATCAGGCTCTCACTCACATCAGTGGGAATTAGTGGACTTTCAGTTAGGAGAACATAAAGAAAATAACATTGTAATCATCTGGAGAGATTGTGTTAAAGCAGAGAAGATCAGGAGCAACAATAGTTTACCTCTTTTGAGGAAGCAAATGTTATTTATAAAGACGGGTAGGGAGTTGTTTTTATTGGCTGAAGTTGTGTTGTGTACAAATTAAATTTCAACAAGAAGTATGAAAAAAAAACTTGGACTGAATTTTCACGCTTTTATATAGGGGATATCTTGGTAAAGATTTTTTGATGAGTTTTAGTTGACCACTTAATGTAGTCTAAAACAGACTTAATGTCATTTATATACCCATGTTTGTCACAGGACATTGCACAGGTACATATAGAAAGAAGTTGTACATTTTCAGAACATAATGCTCTTTAAATTGTTAAAGAGTTTCTGATTAAATCACTTTCTGAACATTTGACAGATGAGTAAACACATGTTCAGTCTCCTGCTTTAAGACGTTTAGCATTTTGGCCCAACAAAGCAAGGAAAAAGCACTTTTAGGGTCATATTTGCTTTAAATCTTCCAAGGCATATGGATTTGTGTGCCATTATGTATATTTACATTTTATTTACTTCACTTTCTTTGTCTCCTGACATTGTACTAGCCGTATTCCTTAATAATGCGTGTAAATCTGTATGCTATTATTTGCTTATACCTGTAAATGTCACTTATAATGGAAAAGGGTCATGAAGGCCAAACGTGTGTGTGTATATAACCCTCGAACACCTGATTTGAAATAAGGGTTTCCAAGCATGTACTCTTTAGTGTCACAGGAGCTCCACAAACCTAATGTTGTATATACTGTAGATGGGTGTGCAATGCAGGGCTGACATATTGAATCTATTCAATATAATTTACAAAGAAGCCTTAATTTAAATGTCAGTTACTGCACCCTTTATTATTTTACTCAATGAAGCCCTGTTAGAAAGCTGAACTCTAGATTTTAGAACCAATGTTTTTATCATTTAAAGTTGTGCCATTTTCAGCTAATAGCAGGAGACAAGTAGTGAACGTTTCCTGGAGACATTTTGAGGGTGAATTGCACGTTTTTGAAAATGTATTATCTTGGTTGCTCAAAGTATTGAATGTAAAATGGCAATTGTTTTAATGACAAATAAATTCAGCAATTGACAATTCAATTTTCAATGTAAAAGGGTCTCAATAAAAAATAATTATTGGAAGAAAATAAGCTGATCCCCCTCTTGTTTGTGTTCAGTGCATTTACTGTAGTCTAATTCAAGGCTTGAGCTATGTTCGCCTAAATCGGGAGTAAATATAATAAAGCTAATGCTTTATAAAATTAAGCATGAGTAACTACTCAAAATACTATATCTGACTTGATACTACTTATAAAGTGTAAATACCATTAACATGAATAATACATAATTTAAAGCATTTTTCTTTTGACAACATTTAGGACATAAATCAAGCACAGTCTTGTAACAGATACACAACACCATTGCAATAGCAAGTAGGCCTACAGAACATAGAAATCACATTATGATGCTTGTCACAGTGCCAGACAGTATCCATCTTTCTTAAAGGGATAGAGTGAGAATTTGGCAATTAAGCCCTTTTTCTACTTACCCAGAGTCAGATGAACTCATGGGGAGAATCTCAGTTGGTTTTGCTTGCCTCCTCTCCTCAGTCCTTTAACCTTTTTCAAAGAGCTGAGGAAAGTAGAAGAAATGTGGAAACAAATGCACTTCATGGCTCTCCTTCACTCGCACGTCATCAGGCAAAATATGTTTACAGGGGTGGAATCCCAAAATAAATGTGTAAAGTGATTAACCTTAATTTAGCTAGTTGTGCAATACATTTTATAGATAAAATAATAAGTAGCAAATCGTTTTTAAACGTGTGCATGCTTTCTCCTTCGAGAAAACAATAGCTGATTCAAAGGGGGTTGGCTGATTATAAAACACTGGCGCTACTTGCCGCGAGAAAACTCTTGTGCATCCTCTGTCGAAGTAGGTAATGGAGGAAAGGAGCAGACTCCTTTGTTCGCCTACTAACGAATTGAGACTCCTCGATCACTTACTGGTTTCCGGGTCACAGAGGAGAGGACGACGGAGGAGTCTCTGGGTGCAGTTTGAAGGTAGCTTTGCAAGGGATTGCTAACTAGCGTTTGCTCAATGGCTGTAAGGTACATTTTACATATACAGTCATTTAGCAGACGCTCTTATCCAGAGCGACTTACAGTTAGTGAGCTACACAGTACATCATAGGAAGTCAGGTACAGCATAGCTCCTTTAATAGTCAGGTAGGTTGCCTGCCACGAAAAAAAGGGTAGAACACCTTTAAAATTAAACCTGCAGAATATTAGTCCCTAGGCTTAGGGTTTTGAAGACAAGGCAGTTTCCCAAACTTGTGTAGGAAAAAAAGTGGCTGAACAGAATTTGCTTGGAAAGGACAACACATAGGTGATTGAGCGAGCTATGCAAATCTTGTTGTACAAAAGCACTTCATTCAATAGAGACACGACCCGATACTGACCACCAGCACCACCAGGATGACCATGATTGTTCTGAATGCCCTCATCTTGTATTGGTCACTCCCTACCCCTTCCCCCAGCCCTGGACCATTCAGAGCTCTCAGAATGGCCAAGCTGCAGAAGCACATGATCGTAAAAGCGAGCAGGAACATACCGAACAATTGTTTGGTTGGAAAGGATGGAAAGTACCATGCCACCACCCCCACCCAGCCCAGACTGATTAGCCAGACAACCCCAGGCCCTGCCCACTCATACCGGGGAGTTCTGAGCCTCAGTTAGGCCACAGGGTGGACCACAACCAGGTAGCGCTCCAGACAGGTACAACAGTGGAACACAGATCTACCAGACATGATAAGGCTGTTCTCTACCACGGTGATGACCATCAGTACAACCACATTCAGGTAGTGGCCAATTATTTTGCAGAACATTTCAAAGCTGTTGATTATCTCCATGGCAGCCAGGTTACAGGTGAAGATGTCTGTTGTCGTTGGTATTGCCGTGGCAACCGTCAGCCTGGTTTCGAGCCACAGGACCGAGGTGTTGAGGGGTAGGAGGAGGATGTTGGCCAGGGAGAACACAGAATAGCAGCATTCCGGTTCTGGAATCGGAACACTCGTAGACGGGGGGAGGCGTAGAGAGAGGTGTTGGTGGTGTTGGGGGGGAGAGAGTACGAATACCCCTCCATAAAGAGGTTCTCCATGGGTGTCTGTGGACAAGAAAGGAGGTGAAATTAAGAATGTGTGTGTGTGCATGCGCGTGCGTCAGTGTCCATGCCTGCATGTCCATTACTGATGCAATCAACGTTATGAGTAACTAAACTCTGGAAATTGCACTAACATCATAAATATAAAATTGCTCTGTCAAACATGCAAAATAATACCATACATTTGAATTAAATAAATTTGAACAAACCTTATACTGTGTCTTACTCAAGTGTGAGTGACGGATCGTTCTCTGTAGGTAATTGTAGAGGGTAACCTACCCAAACAGATATACTGATGTTATAGCACACACACACTTATGTCCTTGAAACATTTAATTGAAATACTGTAGAATTCCATTCATTCCTATGGAGGACTGCTTCTTCTGGGGAGTGCCAATATAGCTGAACGGTGGCCAATACATAGCATTGGCAGTCTAGGGTTTTGATAGAATAATTATTAATGACTAATTATTACACCCTGAAACTGTGTGAATGTGTTAGAATGTGTGAGTGTAGGACCAGTAAAGATTAGACTACTATTTAGCAATGTGAGTAAGAGTTAGGCCAGACAACAAAGGACAAGGAGAAGTCTACAGGCAACTGAGAAACCAAGATAACTGAGGAATTTAGGGAGGAGAGAAACTGTTAGGCTTGGAAGAGTGCATGTGTGTGTGTGTGTGTGTGTGTGTGTGTGTGTGTGTGTGTGTGTGTGTGTGTGTGTGTGTGTGTGTGTGTGTGTGTGTGTGTGTGTGTGTGTGTGTGTGTGTGAACTGATGGTCAGGAGAGCAGTTTTAAAGTGGAAAACTACAGCCCGCCTAAAGAGGGGAGGGATTTTTGTATGACGTGTGAGTATAAAAGATGGACTCTGAAATTGTGATGGCAGAATTCTCAATGAATAAACATCTCTGACTATGCAGACCGGGACTCTGTCCGTTTCTTGATCCTTTTGGGAGACGCACAGAGACACTGAAATAGTTTGTTAAATAATTCTAATAACAGGTTGATATAGATTATTGATGCACACTGCACTCCAAGAGATTGTAGAAAGCACTGGCACATCAATCATAAACCACGTTTCCATCCAACCATTTCATGCGGCTGAATTACCTGACGCATGAAAAAAGTGACGACCCCCCTGATGGAAACAGGAAATGCCGGTACAATTTGATAAATGCCGACAGACAATTTGTTCGTTCAACATGGTGGGATGTTTTTGTGTCAGTAAATTTTATCATGCGAGAAATGGCAGTGGAAACGCCTCTATGCGCAAATATTGGTATACAGTCGTATGAAAAAGTTTGGGCACCCCTGACGATTTCCATTTATAAATAATTGGGTGTTTGGATCAGCAATTTCGTTTTGATCTATCAAATAACTGATGGACACAGTAATTTGTCAGTAGTGAAATGAGGTTTATTGGATTAACAGAAAATGTGCAATATGCATCAAAACGAAATTAGACAGGTGCATAAATTTGGGCACCCCAGCAGAAAAATCACATAAAAATTTAGTAGAGCCTCCTTTTGCTACAATAACAGCCTCTAGACGCTTCCTATAGCCTCTAATGAGTGTCTGGATTCTGGATGAAGGTATTTTGGACCCTTCCTCCTTACAAAACATCTCCACTTCAGTTAGGTTTGATGGTTGCCGAGCATGGACAGCCCGCTTCAAATCATCCCACAGATTCTCAATGATATTCAGGTCTGGGGACTGGGATGGCCATTCCAGAACATTGTACTTGTTCCTCTGCATAAATGCCCGGGTAGATTTTGAGCAGTGTTTTGGGTCGTTGTCTTGTTGAAATATCCAGCCCCGGCGTAACTTCAACTTTGTGACTGATTCTTCAACATTATTCCCAAGAATCTGCTGATATTGAGTGGAATCCATGCGACCCTCAACTTTAACAAGATTCCCAGTACCGGCACTGGCCACACAGCCTCACAACATGATGGAACCCCCACCAAATTTTACTGTGGGTAGCAAGTGTTTTTCTTGGAACGCTGTGTTATTTTGCCGCCATGCATAACGCCCCTTGTTATGACCAAATAACTCAATCTTTGTTTCATCAGTCCACAGCACCTTATTCCAAAATGAAGCTGGCTTGTCCAAATGTGCGTTTGCATACCTCAAGCGACTCTGTTTGTGGTGTGTGTGCAGAAAAGGCTTCTTCCGCATCAATCTCCCGTAAAGCTTCTCCTTGTGCAAAGTGCGCTGAATTGTTGAACGATGCACAGTGACACCATCTGCAGCAAGATGATGTTGTAGGTCTTTGGAGGTGGTCTGTGGGCTGTTTTTGACCGTTCTCACCATCCTTTGCCTTTGCCTCTCCGATATTTTACTTGGCCTGACATTTCTGGCCTTAACAAGAACTGTGCCTGTGGTCTACCATTTCCTCACTATGTTCCTCACAGTGGACACTGACAGCTTACATCTCTGCGATAGCTTTTTGTAGCCTTCCCCTAAACCATAATGTTGACCAATCTTTGTTTTCAGGTCATTTGAGAGTTGTTTTGAGGCCCTTATGTTGCCACTCTTCAGAGGAGAGTCAAAGAGAACAACAACTTGCAATTGGCCACCTTAAATACCCTTTCTCATGATTGGATGCACTTGTCTATGAAGTTCAAGGCTTAATGAGCTCACCAAACCAATTGTGTGTTCCAATTAATCAGTGCTAAGTAGTTACAGGTATTCAAATCAACAGAATGACAAGGGTGCCCAAATCATTGCATAGCCTATTTTTCACATCTGATTTAATTTCATACAACTTAATATTGCTACACTAAAAATCTTTGTCTGGATAATACCCCAGTACTCAGCTTTTATTATAAAATGAATGGCATGCCACTATGATCATTTTCTGTGACGACAGAGTAAATTATTATGCAGCCTCAGAGGGGTGCCCAAACTTTTTCATACGACTGTAATAACCATTATATCTAAGTAATTTGTGGTCCTCCCACTATGACTCGGGAAAACATGCAGTTTATTAGGATCACGCACAGACTTTTATCCGCAATAAGTCCGTTTAATGGAAACACATTTCTGGTGGGAAAATGTGCATGTTGTTTTATGCAGAGTTTAAAATATTCGCATGAAAATCTGTCACAAATTGGATGGAAACCTAGCTATACATGTAGATACAATATCTATTTTTTATAATGCTTCTTTGCTTGATAACTAAGTTCTTTATTATTATGATGATTATTATTTTAAATTTTTACTTCTATGAAAGGGATCTGTTATTTCATTGGAGGATTTTCGCCACACATACAACGATCCCTTCACCTACTGGAATAGTGTTTGTACTTCTATTATATTCTTAATGACGGTAAAAGATTTAGTTATATTAAGTAATTCAGTATTTTGGATCTTTAAAGACTGTGTTGGGGCGAGAGAGATGGATTGAGTTGGAAAAAAGAAAAGGAAGTGAAAAGAAAGGAACCATATAAAGTAAAGTTTCATGAATAAATGTAAAGATTTTCTGACCATGTATAAACATAAGCATTTATAATGACTTACACTATACATTGTTATAGTGTAATCTAAAAAGTAGTCAAAGAGTGGTTGTAAAGTGGTTGTAAAGTGATTAGCCCTCATGGGGTAAGAGATTAAGAAGGAAAAGTAATCTTACTATCTGACTTTATTCAGAAACATTGAGAGACACTTTATTGAGTAATTATTTATGTACAACAGATACAATGAGCAACAGCTTTGAATTGAGGCTAGTCTAGATCGTTACAGGAAATCTATATATATACCTATCTCATATTTTGAGGATATTCTAGATTTAAACAAAGATAGAGTAGTCAAAAGATAAATAGTCTTAGTTGCATGTTCCAAGGGACGCTTGTCAATATTAAAGCTCATAAACTCAATTTAGATGTTCCTGTATATTTTGGAATTATACACATTAAGTCAGGTGCAAGGTGGTGGGAGTACTTATATAGTATAGAATATTGTACATATACATTTAACTTTTGTCTTATACACAAATTCATAAGATACAATTATTTTTTTTTAATGGCAACAACAAACAAGATTAACACATCAATCACAAAGCCCAGCACAAATGTATGGACAGTACAATTAATATATAAAGTTACATGTTACATTATCTTAACCTCTCTCTCTGACTTAAAAGGAATACATGTACAATATATAGCAGAATTTTGAACATGAATTGAAGTGATTATAACCTGTTAAGCCATTCACCATTGCCTTTAAGTCAGTTAAATATGCTTCACATGTGGCTGTTGGCCGTTGGCCAGCCTGTCCCAGGACGATCATAGGTGGCACTTCCAGCAGGAATGGTTGATCTCCAGGGTGCCATCTCAGCCCTTGTCCCTCTATCCATATATACCATAACATTCCCATCTGAAGCTGATTTTTCATTCTGGGGGAAGTGTACAGTAAACAAGTGGTCAACTCTTGCAAACTTTATTGAAGAAATACCAAAAATGCACGACAGATAACCTGATTGAATACCAAACATGCTCAAGACAGAAAACTTGACTGAATACCAAACATGCTCAACACAGAAAACTTGATTGAATTCAAAACATTCTCACGTAGTTTTTGACCGCACTTGGTTTTCCTATTGTTTCCTTCCCTTTAGTCCTGTTGCTCTCCTGCAGTTCCAGTTTCTCCATGACTATATCCATCTTGGCCATGATAGCAGCTACTGAGTGTTCTAGTTGGAGAACCTGTCTGACCAACCTTTGATTGAATAGAGGAAAAATTATTGCCATTAGAGTAGATGGTACACAATGAAAATGGTGCAATGCTGGACATGACTGCATGGATGTGTGGTTTGATATTTACTTCCTCTGATACACTCTATATACAAAGGTATGTGGACACCCCTTCAAATTAGTGGATGTGGCTATTTCAGCCACACCCGTTGTTGACAGGTGTATTAAAATCGAGCACACAGCCATGCAATCTCCATAGACAAACTTTGGCAGAAGAATTACCTTACTGAAGAGCTCAGTGACATTCAACGTGGCACCATCACAGGATGCCACCTTTCCAACAAGTCAGTTCGTCAAATTTCTGCCCTGCTAGAGCTGCCCCGGTCAACTGTAAGTGCTGTTTTTGTGAAGTGGAAACGTCTAGGAGCAACAACGGCTCAGCCGCGAAGTGGTAGGCCACACAAGCTCACAGAATGGGACCGGCGAGTGCTGAAGCGCATAGCGCGTAAAAATCGTCTGTCCTCGGTTGCAACACTCAATACCGAGTTTCAAACTGCCTCTGGAAGCAACGTTATCACAATAACTGCTCGTTGGGAGCTTCATGAAATGGGTTTCCATGGCCGAGCAGCCGCACACAAGCCTAAGATCACCATACGCAATGACAAGCGTCGGCTGGAGTGGTGTAAAGCTCGCCACCATTGGACTCTGGAGCAGTGGAAACGTGTTCTCTGACCCTCAACCCCATCGAACACCTTTGGGATGAATTGGGACGCCGACTGCGAGCCAGGCCTAATCGCCCAACATCAGTGCCCGACCTCACTCATGCTCTTGTGGATGAATCGAAGCAAGACACTGCAGCAATGTTCCAACATCTAGTGGAAAGCCTTCCCAGAAGAGTGAAGGTTGTTATAGCAGCAAAGAGCGGGGCTAACTCCAAATTAATACCCATGATTTTGAAATGAGATGTTCGATGAGCAGGTGTCCTCATACTTTTGGTCATGTAGTGTATTTCTAGTCTCATTTGAAAGATAATTGTTGTCTGACAACAACAATGCATGTACAGTATACATCTCTACCTCAGTATGTAACCAGCTGTTGATGTTTCGTAAGATTATAAAAAGCTTGTGGTTTTCATATGACACAAGTCAATTAGGAGTTATTTATGGTGCACTTACATAGGTGTTTGTTTGGAGTGGCCATCTCATCAAGAGACAATGGTATCAGCTTCCTGCGCTTAGTCTCTCTTGATAGCCTATCTGATTTGGTTCTGGGAGCCGAGATTAACCTGCGTTATATTCAATGCAAATACTCAACACACCTCTGGAAGTCCTCCTGCTCCATCAGAGTGTTACTTGGCTTGCCATGCTCCACCGTTGATTTCTCCAGAGAGCCATTCCCATAGTTTTTTCCAAGGTTGTTGAGCTCGGCACTAAGAGCATCCTGAGGATAATGACATGAGAATATATGTGAATGGATTTATTTTATCATATGAATAGCAGAGGGGTTAGGTTACATTTCTAGTTTTCCACTAACCCTCTTCTCCTCCAGCTCCCTCTTCATCCTCTCTTGCTCCTCTTGGTCCAGAATTTGGTTTCCATCACGGTCGAATTTGGAGAAAGCTTCAGATATCTCATGGTCGGCATGTCCCAACCTGTAGGGTTAAGACAAGAAAGGAGAGAATAGACTAGAATCTGATTGATTTGAATTTATGTTTACTGATTTTTATTTTGTCTACGAGGATAGTGACCTACTCTTTCAGAGTTTCTCTAAAGTCTTTGAATTCTAGTTCGTTCGATCCAGATCGTAGGACTTTCTGAACATCGGATATCTTCTCCTTTTTCAGTTTCAATTTCATAAATGTCTTCATGTAGCTCTGAAACACAAAAATGTATGCATGTTTTATTTATTATTTTGCATATATTATATACACTGAGTATACCAAACATTAGGAACACCTTCCTAGTATTGAGTTGCACCCCCCCTTTTGCCCTCAGAATAGCCTCAATTCGTCAGGGCATGGATTCTACAAGGTGTCAAAAGCGTTCCACAGGGATGCTGGCCCATGTTGACTCCAATGGTTTCCACAGTTGTGTCAAGTTGGCTGGATGTCCTTTAGGTGGTGGACCATTCTTGATACACACAGGAAACAGTTTAGCGTGAAAAACCCAGCAGCGTTGCAGTTCTTGACACAAACCGGTGCACCTGGCACTACTACCATACCCCGTTCAAAGGCATTTCAATCTTTGGTCTTGCTCATTCACCCTCTGAATGGCACACATACACAATCCATGTCTCAATTGTCTCAAGGCTTAAAAATCCTTCTTTAACCTGTCTCCTCCCCTTCATCTACACTGATTGAAGTGGATTTAACAACAATAAGGGATCATAGCTTTCACCTGGATTCACCTGGCCAGTCTGTCATGGAAAGAGCAGGTGTTCTTAATGTTTTGTATACTCAGTGTATATATTATATTCTGATTTGTATCATATGCCATCTTACATTGGTATAATATAGATGTTTACCTGTTTGATGATGTCAGTAATCTGCAGCTCATCCTTCTGGGATGACAGCTCTTCCTTGACCTCAGAATATGTGTCGTTGATGATGGCCAGAAACATGTTCTAGGGAAGAAAATCCATGAAAATAAGATGGCAAAGTGTAGTTTACTCTTCTAAAATCTAGTAGAAAGTATTTTGTTCAGTTCAACTTACAAGCAGCACAAAGAAGACAAAGAACACATAGGTGACGAAATAGATTGGCCCCAGGACTCTGTTGGCACGTTCAATGGCATCATAATCAAAATCTCCAAGAATGATCCGGAACTGTGTAAAGCTACAGAGAAAAAGGAAACCAATTTGAGTAATTGATTAATAGTGTTTCAAAATCTGGCCAATTGCTTGAGTGGGTCTTGGATTGTTATTAATTTTGGTGCTCTCTTACATGCACTTGACGAAGGTGCTGAAGGATTTCACCTCCGTACCAAAAAGCAGGTAGCCGAGCTGAGCGTAGGCAAAGAACACGATGAAGAACATAATGGCGAATCCCATGATGTCTTTGGCACAGCGGCCCAGAGTAGAAGACAGCTGAGTCATAGTCTTGTTAAAACTGATGTACTTAAAAACCTAGAGGCAAGAACAGAAGGAGTCAAGCTTTGGGTTGGAACAAGGGCAATGTCAACAATTCAATGAAATGCATTAAAGTATTGATACATTCTGAGGAAGAAAAAACGTAATCTACCTTGATCCAAGCGAAGAACAAGTTCACTGCATTCATGTTGTTGTATTGTGTTTGCCAGAATGCAAGAAATTCAAAGTCTGCATAAATGTCAGGTTGTTCTAAGAGTTTACCAAGTAAATTGTCCACTTTAATGGTGCGAAAAACATTGAAGATGATTGCAACAATGGCAAGCTGTGGAAAAACAGATTTGTGTTAGGTTTTTATCATGACTCATAAATCAACAACAATCATCCCCCTCAACTCTGTAGGTCACCAGCCACCACTGGTTGATATGTAACTGATGCGATTCTTGGATTACTGAGTACTTAGATTGAGAATGATGTTTCAGCCTGTCCTCGCACCAGTATGACAACCACATCCAGAGTGTTCCAGATACTGCTGAAGTAGGAGAACCCGTGGATTCGGAGCTCAAGAATCTCCTCCACAATATAGTAGAGGATGAACAGGCAGAACACCATCTCACAGCCAATGATGAAGTAGTCCCAGTAGGTGATGTAACGAATCAGCTTCACCGTTCTAATCTGATATGAGGGTATCGCTCCACCAGTGGCTGGAAATTCAACCAATAACCTGTCAGAAAAGGAAGTCACTATTAACCACTGGTCATTTGTGAAAGAATACATGTATGATGTCCATATTAGGACATCCATGGAAGACATCCAAAGTCACCTGACTCAGTCCTAATATGGACACCATATACAGGGCCTATAGAAAGTCTACACCCCCCCTTGGATTTGTTCACATTTTATTGTGTTACAAAGTGGGATTAAATTGATTTAATTGTCAACGATCTACTCTGTAATGTCAAAGTGGAAGAAAAAATCGAAAAAAGATTAATGAAAAATAAAACACTAATATAACTTGATTAGATAAGTATTCACCCCCCTGAGTCAATACATGTTAGAAACACCTTTGGCTGCGATTACCGCTGTGAGTCTTCTTGGGTAAGTCTCATAACAGCTTTTTACACCTGTATTGTGCAACATTTGCCCATTATTCTTTAAAAAAGTATTCAAGCTCTGTCAAGGTGTTGGGGATCATGGCTACACAGCAATTTTCATTTCTTGCCATAGATTTTCAAGCAGATTTAAGTCAAAACTGTAACTTGGCTACTCAGGAACATTCACTGTCTTCCAGTGTAGATTTGGCATTGGGTTGTAGGTTATTGTCCTGCTGAAAGGTGAATTTGGTATGGTATTTTATTAGGATATTTAATTCCTCTCCCAGAGTCTGGTGTAAAGCAGACTGAAGCAGGTTTTCCTCTAGGATTTTGCCTGTGCTTAGATCCATCACGTTTATTTTCATCCTGAAAAATGTCCCAGTTTTTTTGCAGTATTACTTCAGTGCCTTTGGAAAGTATTCAGACCCCTTGACTTTTTCCACATTTTGTTACGTTACAGCCTTATTCTAAAATGAATTATTATTTTTTTACTCAGCAATCTACACACAATACCCCATAATGACAAAGTGAAAACAGGTTTTTAGAAAATCTTGCCAATTTATTAAAAATAAAAAACAGAAATACCTTATTTACATAAGTATTCAGACCCTTTGCTATGAGACTCGAAATTGAGCTCAGGTGCATCCTGTTTCCATTGATCATCCTTGAGATATTTCTACAACTTGATTGGAGTCCACCTGTGGTAAATTCAATTGATTGGACATGATTTGGAAAGGCACACACCTGTCTATATAAGGTCCCACAGTTGACAGTGCATGTCAGAGCATAAACTAAGCCATGAGGTCGAAGGAATTGTCTGTAGAGCTCCGTGACAGGATTGTGTCGAGGCACAGATCTGGGGAAGGGTACCAAACATTTCTGCAGCAATGAAGGTCCCCAAGAACACAATGGCCTCCATCATTCTTAAATGGAAGAAGTTTGGAAACACCAAGACTTCCTAGAGCTGGCCGCCCGGCCAAAATGAGCAATCGGGGGAGAAAGGCCTTGGTGACCAAGAAACCGATGGTCACTCTGACAGAGCTCTACAGTTCCTTTGTGGAGATGGGAGAACCTTCCAGAAGGACAACCACCTCTGCAGCACTATACCAATCAGGTCTTTATGGTAGAGTGGCCAGACAGAAGTCACTCCTCAGTAAAATGCACATGACAGCCCGCTTGGAGTTTGCCAAAAGGCACCTAATGACTCTCAGACCATGAGAAACAAGATTCTCTGGTCTGATGAAACCAAGATTGAACTCTTTGGCCTGAATGCCAAGCGTCACGTCTGGAGGAAACCTGGCACCATCCCTATGGTGAAGCATGGTGGTGCAGCATCATGCTGTGGGGATGTTTTTCAGCAGCAGGGACTGGGAGACTAGTCAGGATCGAGGCAAAGATGAACTGAGCAATGTACAGAGAGATCATTGATGAAAATCTGCTCCAAAGCGCTCAGGAACTCAGACTGGGGCAAAGGTTCACCTTCCAACAGGACAACAACCCTAAGCAAACAGCCAAGACAACGCAGGAGTGGCTTCGGGACAAGTCTCTGTATGTCCTTGAGTGGCCCAGCCAGAGCCCGGACTTGAACCCAATTGAACATCTCTGGAGAGACCTGAAAATAGCTGTGCAGCAACGCTCCCCATCCAACCTGACAGAGCTTGAGAGGATCTGCAGAGAAGAATGGGAGAAACTCCCCAAATACAGTTGTGCCAAGCTTGTAGCGTCATACCCAAGAAGACTCTTAAGCTGTAATCGCTGCCAAAGGTGCTACAACAAGGTACTGAGTAAAGGGTCTGAATACTTATGTATTTTTATAAATTAGCAAACATTCCTATAAACCTGATTTTGCTTTGTCATTATAGGGTATTGTGTGTAGATTGATGAGGGAAAAAAAACAATTTAATCAATTTTAGAATAAGGCTGTAACGTAACAAAATGTGGAAAAAGTCAAGGGGTCTGAATACTTTCCAAAGGCACTGTATGCATGTTTTGGAATATTTTTATTCTGTATATTTGTATTCTTTTCAATCAGTCAATCTGTGCTTCAAATTCAATACTTGACTGTGGGACCTTACATATGTTGTTTTTATGGGGGACAGAGGAAGGGGTAGTCATAAAAAAATAATGTCAACCCATATTATTTCCCACAGAGTGAGTCATTATAATTTATGTGATTTGTTAAGCCAAATGTTACTTCTGAACTAATTTATTTTTGCCTAAACAAAGGGGGTGAATACTTATGTAATTTGTAAAAATTTGTAGAATTTTCTTTTCACTTTGACATTATGGAGTATTTTGTGTAAATCAATGACAAAAAAATACAATTAAATCTATTTACATTTACATTTTAGTCATTTAGCAGACGCTCTTATCCAGAGCGACTTACAGTAGTGAGTGGATACATTTTTCAAGGAGTGTAGACTTTCTATAGGCACTGTACTTGAGAACTTGTGAAAGAGTCTACAGTGGCGTTACTGCGTGAAGTGGTCTGTTCTCCCTACCTGATGACACAGAACAGATTGATGTTAGCGTTGTAAGTGGAAAAGTCGACGAACACGGCCCTGGTGCCATGGTCCAACCATAGGTTGTTATTCATCTCCATCAGGATCTCAGCACTCTCCTCCTTGGTCTTGTTCAGGTTCTGGTAGTACCCTCCACCGCTGTACGTGGCAAGCAGACCCCAGTGGGCTGAACCCTTTATCTCTTTCTCATTGTGGTATTGCCAGCTGCAGACATGGAGGAGATATGGTATTTTATCATAGGCCATTCAGATCTACAGTCAATATTTTCAAAGTTTTCTTAATGTCTATTTGATTGACACACAAATTGGTCAGAAAAAAGAAACATACAAACACTTTGCCGTGAGACATGGCTCTAGACTCCTACACTTAGAAAAAAGGGTTCCAAAAGGGTTCTTCAGCTGTCCCCATAGGATAACCATTTCTAGGTCCAGGTAGAACCCTTTTTGGTTTCAGGTAGAACCCTTTTGGGTTCCATGTGGAACCCTCTGTGAAAAGGGTTCCACCTGGAACCAAAAAGGGTTCTTCAAAGGGTTCTCCTATGGGGACAGCCGAAGAACCCTTTTAGGTTCTACATAGCACATTTTTTCCCCAAGAGTGTATGGTTCCATAGGAGTCAACTACAGCCATGTCAGGACAAACAAGCATCGAAAAGAACATTGAACTCACGCAGTTCCATTAAGAAGGCCAAAGTCCACCTCATCCTCCTTCTTCTCGTTATAGACATCAAAGCATCCGGAGATCTCGTTGCGGAAGTCTTTGTGGACCTTACAGGAGTTGTTCATCACCTTGATCTGTCTCATCCTGGGGACCCCCAGCAGCATGTTCTCATAGAAGATGAAGGACTGGTCTCCATTCTGCAGAGACTGGTTGTTGTACCATTTGGTCCAGTAGAGGCCGTCCAGCATTGGGCCCTGGGCATACTGTTGAAATAGAGGTAGGTAGGTTACAGCATGAACAAGTAGAAGCATTTAAAAAAATTAAAAATATATTATAACAATGCATTAGTATTTCCTTTAATTTTGTATTATTATTATTATCTTATGATATCTTGATGTCACTTATGGATTTATGTCACATTTTTGCTATTAGTGATCAAAGTAATTGTATCTGTACAAGTTGATATCAGACAGTTGAATATTTCAGTAGTGTTAGAGCAGGGAGGGTACGTACCGTCCAGAAGTCTGCCATGTTGCTAATGGACTGAAACGTAACCCCACTGTCACTGGGCGTAAGCACAAACAGGTCCGTCATGACTTTTGTGTAGTAGTAGGTATTGGAGCTGGTCATGCCATATGTCACTGAAAGACAACACACAGCGACATTGTTATGTCCAGCCATTGATTCATCATATCAGACTTTGCTCAGGGCTCAGTCAGACCATGTTGTCCTTTGAAAAGTCCAAGATAAGGAAAGTCTGAAACAGACACACAGGCCAGAGCCTCTCATTCAAGATTTGTCATTTAGTGAAAATCACGTCACCGAAGTCAAAGTGGCACCGATTAGAGCAGGTCATTTGTTTGAAGAGAGGGCACACTGGAGCGACGCAAATAGTCTCATCAAACAATGTAAATCCGCTGCAGACAAAGCAACAATAGCTTAAGCCCCATGCTCTTATCAGTGAAAGGCAGGAGAGCTCTGCCTGTGTTCCTTTGAGTCGCATTGTCCCGCTGGACAATGCCTTTCAGCCAGAAGGGAGGAGGAGGGTATTATATAGTAGGGCACTAAAGCAGATAGGAACAGCTGATGATAAATCAACACATTACACAGGTTTCAGTTTGCCAAAACACAGTGATCATTTAGATGTCAATTACACCCAGATAAGGCTGTCTGTCTGTTTGTTTTGCCTACCGTTCACCAATCTGCATCATTACTAGATCTATATACAAGGCACGAATCATACGTTTGCTTTGCTTTCCTAAGACCTGGCATACTCTGACAGACTTCCAAAACAGAGCATTATATAGAAATTCATACAAATGCCAAGTTAAGCCCTGCAACAACATTGATTGTTCCTGAATTGTACCAGAACACTTAAGAAATTCAATTAAGGAACTCTACTTTACAAATAACACAATTACTGTTAGTCCTAAAAATAAATTATTGTATGAATTTCAGTTTTTAAGACACATGTACAGTATCGACAGAATTACAATTATGATGTTACTATACAGTCATGTTCTTACAATGAAATATATATTCACTCAATATACATAGACATGAACAAAAATAAACATGTATTGTTGACATACTTACATAGACATATGTCCACAAGGAACACCAAATAGACCAGTAACTCCCTCATTGTAGTCTTAACAAACAGTTCCCGGTTGTCCGATGTATTCTCAGTCAGTGTAGTGCCCCACAGTCCTACATAATTGAAGAACATCCCATAATTTCAGAGAATTCTGAAATTATATACTAATTTAAAACACAAGTACACATTTCCTTCAATGAGATACTAAGGAAGGGAATATTTCCTGTACATAATTTCAACTTGATAACATTACAGGGTAAAATAATACAAATTAAGCAAATGCAAATACATCAACAACAAAATGTGGTGAACCAATTCCTACCTTTAAAAAATGAGCAGCATCCACCACGTTTTTTCTCGGAACCTGTCTCCAGCGGCTTGACCTCGGTTGGGAAAGGGCTCGGCGTGGTCAGTTTGCACATGCTGTCGAAGGAGCCTTGGGGATAGAGGGGCTGGGGGTTGTAGACAGTGCTGATAGCCCGAGGTATGGGTGGAGGAGAGCCACAGTACCCCTGGTTCACCCAGGAACCCTTCCCCAGGCTGTCCAACTCACACTCCACCTGCCCACTGACGTGGCTCTCCAACCGGTTGTTGAGGCGCTGCATTGGTGCCTGGTTGGGATCACCTGGCTCTCTATTCTTCAATATATTATTACTGTAGGTTCTCAAACAAGATGATAGTGAGGCAAGACCAGTCTAGCAAGCTTGTTAACCATCAACTGTTGGTGGGATCACTTTAAAGGGCCGATGACATAAGCATGGAAGAGGGAGGAGCTGGTGCTTTCCTGTGCACAATAAACTGCCCAGTTTAACATTGTATACAAGAGACACAATGCTCATTCTTCTAAAAAAGGCAGCATATTATGCAGTTATTAGAAATGTGCACTTTTTCTCATGTACATTTTCTTCAGCCATGGGGGTGCTGAGAAAATGTTTTGATGATTTGTTTGATGATGTTACTTCAAACGGACATAAAAAATGAGTAAAATTAAAAATGACATATTTTCCTTAGAAAATGTGAGATTAATGCTGATAAATCACTTTTAATGTTTGTTTCTGTGTAGCTCTCAATTATTTCCATATTCCATCAGATGTTTTCCAATGTCACAACCTGTTAACCACTCAGTCATTCGCAATGGCAACAAACTCCTGCTAAACCGATTAATTTACTTCATGTCAATTACATGTTCAATTGACAACTGTTGAATGCGTGGCTGAATTAATCAGAATATAGCTGCTGTGTGCCTCTGATCTCCTGCCCGAAGACCTACTGTCTAATAGGCCCTGGTCATCTCATTAGCATATACATTTTTGACCAACTGTCAAAAAGCATATTAAGAATGCAAACAATCCACAAAGCTTCTGAATGACCATGACCATCTGTATCATTTACCTCATCACACATACACATACTCATTACTACTTAGCTAAGTGTATGTTGAGGATGTGATACACTCTGAGATTAAATAATAAATCAAATCATCTTCGCGCTGGCTTGGTTAATTTGTAATGACACGCTTCTGTGAAAGTTTTATTGTCACATACACCGGATAAGTGCAGTGAAATCTGTTTTTTTACAGGGTCAGCCATAGTAGTACTACACCCCTGGAGGAAATTAGGGTTAAGTGCCTTGCTCAAGAGCACATCTGTAGCAGCAAATAATTAATAGTTCATAAAATTAATTGATTAATTGAGTTTTAATCAAATTATTTTTGACAATGAATATAGACTAGACATAACTACACTTATAGTCATACCATCAAAGAGTGGGCCACCAACCAAATAATTGAACAATGGAGACAATATAGATTTTCTTTTTTTACAATGGAGCAAATGCATCCTATGCCATTTTCACATGCAAATCCATTGATTTCTATGATATATCTGTAGAGGTCAATGAATGTCATTCCATGAGAGGGCAACATTACTTTTCTAAACATAATCGTAAGCTATACAGCGATGCAAGTCTCATAACAACGGAAACATAACCAATGGAATAATAGATCCCACATTTTTGTGTATGGTAAAAGAAAACGTTATACTAAGGATAGGCTATATTTCAATAGTTGAAATTACTGGAAATCTTACAGACTTTGGCTTTGGAGGGACAATCTGCAGTTCAAACAATAACAAAGGGATATATTCAACCCGGACCGCGGCGTTATAGCGCGATTGAAATGTAGAGGTAATTTCCAATTGAGCCGACATATGCAGCGTTTACCGTGAATGCAGTCCCCGCTAACGGGGGATTTAAAACACGCTATAGCACCGATCTTCCTCGGTCTGGATTGAATCTAGACCAAAGTGATCACCCCACTGCTGTTTTGGTAAACAGCTAAGGGATGGGGTGAAGAAATGTAACCACTTTCAAAATCATAGACAGAGCTATGTATGCAAGGACTGACCATCCATGAAATCAACATTATGTTATTATCTATGTTCTGAGGCTATACAGTGTTAGTTTACAATTGCAATGTTTACAAACATTGGAGTAAAACAAGCTTATATTTTGGGTTCTGATGGGGTACGACAGTTGAACTAAGCTCATGAGGCATTTATAAGTTATATTCTTCAAGAATCAAGGGGTATATAGCATTCTTTTAAAAGTCCAAAAATGGAAGTTGCAATCGCAGATTGTTCCCCTTAAAATTAAATAATTATCGGATGAAATGCTATTTAAAGAGTATGGTGGCAGTAACAGATTATGTATTAGAGTCCAGCCATGGAGGTTCACGCTTCAGTGCCCCTGAACAGTATCATTAGGTACAGCCATTGCCCAACAATAGAGTTGAATATCTCCTCCTTGGCTGAGCCTTTGGCAGGATCTGGCACACAGGCTTCAATAATCAGATGCAGCTTGTACCACGATGGCAACATTTAAACATTTCTAACGATTACTTTTCCATCCCTAATTCTTGGTATTCAAACGAATGCAGGTTTGTTGTGGTCATATGACTATTCCAGGGGTAACTGTTCAGTTGTTTTAACGTAACATGGGACTTCTTGTTATTGGTGAATTATTATTGACCTGATTTATGTAATTTCTTGGGTGTGCGTCAGAGGTACTGTATAGGCCTACATTACCTCCTTATTCTGGTGCCAAAACATTGACAGGGCATTTGTCTGAAATAATAATCCCAATCCCTAGTGATCCTGATTCAACCATTCTGTTTAGCACTTTGTTCATTTCTGGTAATGAAAGATTGGTTGATCAATTGGATGACATTCATTATTAATGATGGTGATGATCGATTGATTCGATTTTTACTTCATAAAAGAAAAAGCTCAATGACTTCACTCTCACCTATTCTCTCACATTCTGGGGCCAAAAAACGAGGCCCTTTTATTTGTTCATGTTTTGGTCTACCATTGACGTAATCCCGTTTTATCTCAGGGCACAGGAGCTCCGGACAAAAGGATGGCACACTGATCAGGGTGGTGCAGGACCAGACTGACCCGCCATCACTCTCATTTAGAACCTGACACATCAAAAGAAAATAAATGCTGTACATTTTTAGGTCCCCTTTGCACCCCCTGTTGTCTGGGGATACAACATAGATGAGAAGGTGCAATTAAGATATAATTAGTTTAAATGGCTAAGGTTAATGGATTTTTTGGGTACCAGGATGTACAGGATGTACATTCACATTTAATTCCAAAAATATGTGTTATGATTGGTTACCATAACAATCAATTTACCTCCTTATTAGATGATAGACAAATACTGGCTCAGTTAAATGGAAATTGACCTTCACCTGTAAAGTAATCTGCTTTGCTGTCTCCACTCAAACCAAACAGAATGGTTGTTGGATGAGAACCATTGCTTGTTGGTCAAGGGATCCATCAGACGATCAAATATGAGCAAATGTACAAAAGAACAAAACTTGACACAACTCAAAAGCAATTTCATTAAAATAGCTAGCAACTTTTATTTCAGTACAACAACTATTATTAAACAAAGTATAGGTCATCGTTTAGAAAAACTGAAGAGCACAAAAAAAACATGTAGAATTTCCAAAATGCCTACATTTTGGGGCTAGAGAACATTATGTTAACTAGACTCAATCACAAAAGGTTTTACATTTACAAAAATAGATTCAAAATGTATCTTACCAAAGTCGTAAAATGTCACTGTTTGTCTACACAATAACAATAGAGGCAAATAATTACACTTTTAATCCTATGATCGGCATTCATTATAAATTACACAATATTATGTCAGGGTCTCATCTGGAAGATTTGATACAAATCAAATCAAATTTTATTTGTCACATACTTCGTTAAAAACAGGTGTAGACTAACAGTGAAATGCTTACTTACAGGCCCTTCCCAACAATACAGAGAGAGAGAAAATAGAGAAAGCTAAGCTAAAATAAATTGCAGTACAGTACACTGAAATGCAATACAAGCTGTCAATTGCTTTGTTTGGAACCATTTTTGATTAAATGTATGTCTTAACTTAATAATCATAAAATATAAACAAACGTCAATAAATAGATTTAAAAAATATATAAATAAAAGTAATACAAATGTATTTACTGACTCCTGGGTTGGAGCAAATGCCTGCGTCATAAAAACAAGCACAGATTGTAATTCACCTCAAACAACATGACTAGTTTTTGCAGTTTTCCATCCAGTCTAAGTAGGAACTTGGAGGCCATCACATTGGTAGGGAAAGGACGAATGCATGTACTCGTGTTCAACTGGAGAGCTGTACCTGATAGTACTGAAGCACTGATAGTTCTCTGGCTGCACACAATCAAACTGCAGGTCCAGCCACTGTCTGTGGGGGGCTTTGCGCTTCTGGGCGTCCGTCAGGATCCGGTTGAGGGCCATGATGTAGCTGAGAGCCATCTGCAGAGTCTCGTACTTGGACAGTTGCTTATCCTGGCCCCACTGGGGGACCACTTTACGTAGGCGGTCGAAGGCTGTGTTCAGCCCCTGCATCCTCTTCCTCTCACGGGCGTTGGCTGCCATCCTCCGCCGTGTGGAACCATCATGCTTCTCTGGAGATCCAGACTTGGAATCCACACTCTCAGACTCGGATCCAGAGTCAGATCCAGTGCAACTGGGCTGGCGGGACACCATGGTTTTGGTCACAATTCCACGATTCAGTTCACACGTTTTTCTCCTGGTTCTGTCTACTGTATGTTTCCGAAATCTCCCAAACTGTGGTGATGAAGAGTCAACCAAGTCAAATAGTGTGTTAACCTTCCAGTTGAACAAACTCAACCGCAAGACTGTTTTAAGAGGTTGTCAAATTTAGCAAAGTTCCTCTTTGTAGCTGTCCAAAACGGTCTGGTGTCGTGGTAGCTGTCCAAAGTCCTTGTCTAATAAAGCTGTAAATTGATAAAGCTGTATGTCAAGTGAACAATTTGAAGTTAATCCAGATTGTTGGTCCTCTGCTAAGCCTAAACAGCAAAACAGCTTCTGTGTCTCTGGTCTTGGAGAGACTGAGGAACAAGCTTTTATAAGACTGAGGAGATGAACAGGTGGCAGCAGGTGGAGTCCCATCCCATCCCTCATCCCCCCCATCTATCCCCAATATTGCTTTCACCCCCTCCCCAATATTGCTCCCCCTATCCAATATTGTTTGCTGGGATAGACACCAATGCAGACACACACACACACACACACACACACACTCACAAAAAAGCAAACAAAACCTTAATGAAATTCCAATTAAGTCGGCCTGTTCTATCTGGTCATGGTTTACTAACAGCCATGCGTTGCAAAAACAGAAATCTACCATCTGGCAATGAAACCTATAGAGCTG